CATGAGTTTGTAGAGAATTGAATGCTGAATCTTTTGGGAAAATGTTCAGTTCAAATCAATGAAGAGCAAAAAAGATATTGAGTAAATAATGAGACCGCCATTTTTCATGGGCCACCCGTTATTTCTATTCAACAATATCAACTATTCATGGTCATCATAGTTAGCTGATACAGAAGAACAAAAATAAAATTTAAGTTTTATAACACATATTTATTTAATAAAAACAAAAAGTCAAAATCGCAATAAGAATAAAGCTCCTGCTTGTCTCATACACAATGCACCAAGTGTAACAATACCTAAAATAAAGAGAATATGTATATTTTGTTCAAAATTTACAAGTTGTTTAAATCTAGATTCATTGGCGACTTCGTAATGATTAATTTAACAATTGTTTAATGAAAATGATGGAACATATTGAAAATAAAATATAGACTGTTGAGGAGTATAGATTCGTTCACAATCAGAACCAATTTTATGAACAATAGTAAACAATCGATTAGTTGTTGATGATGATGATTTATTCTTTAAACGCCATGTCAAATAATCATTGACAACTGATTCAGTTGTTGCTCCATTTTTATTCCAAAACATGTTGTTCGTTATTATTCTTCGACTTGAAATGAATAAGAATGAATTGAATCAATTGATGAATAAAGCGGACGTTCATTCAAAAGAGCGAGAGAGAGAGAGACAAAACAATGACTATATTAATCTCTGCTGCTCTTTTTCTTATCGTCCATCCATATCGTTTGATTAATTATTGTAAAACTTAAAAATATTGAATTATACAAGTCGCAGGGGCGCTACTGTGAAGTCATTTTGTCGAAGGAACAAGTAGTGTTTCGTTGTTTACACTAACGCTATTATGTTGAAAAATAATTGTGGAAGTAAAATCTATGTTAAACGATGATTATGAAAAAAGAGTGTCGGTGTGTGTATGGGTACGCTGGAATCTTATCTTCGAGTACACCCACACCTGTCCTCGACGTGTAAACCAGAGTGTTTTCGATATTTGTAAAATTTGTTTGAGTAGATGCTTAACTTGACAATAATAAATCAACGAAACATATCCTGGGGTATTTGAATTTTCAGCAAATTTTAATACCCAATTTAGTAAAATTCCTTTGAAATGGAATGAAAATAACAGCAAAAAGTACGATATGAGAAAACTAAGAAGAAAATAGTAGAATAATTCAATTATAGTGAGCATCGAAGAGAATCAGCTCTGTTGATGAAAGATAAGATGAATTAAGGTAAGGCTGTGGCTGTGACTATGGTTGCATATGAAGAGATGGATCTAGTGAACAACAACAACAACCATAGTCACAGTCCGCATCCATACCCCAAACAGAATCGATAGAAAAAGCTGTAACTAAATGACAAAAAACGAATAAATTGAACATAGAGACAACTTACGTTTACATTAATAAAAAAACAATCTCATGAACAATGAAAAACAGGATGATATAGTAACAATAGGAATGCTGTCGTTTGTTTATAACAACGTAAACGAGATATAAATACAATTCGAAGACAGAGAGAGAGGTAAAATCTGATTTTCTCAATATGATGAAACGATTAAAGTAAAATGTATTATTTGCTTTGCGAATCATTCACTGCTGATGTGGCTTCATTAGATCAGTGGTAGTGGTAGTTATTTTGTTAAATTATACAAGATGATGACGTTGATTCACAAGAACATGTAAATTTAGTGTAACTAGTTGAAAGATTTATCATTCGTATCTGAAATATTCATTTCTAAATAAAGCAGTGAAAATTCTAGCCACATGATGTTCCATTTAATCTGCTATATTATCTAAGTGTGTTTTTCGACGCATATAGGTGAAGTGAAATTTGATAAAAGTAAACCTTGTTGATCGTAGATGAATGTTTTAACACTTCATATAATGATTTGAAGAACGAGTATTGTTATTCTTTTCGTTGGTTTTAGCAGCTTCCATCGTAGTATACATAGTTATCGATTAATTAATAAATATCTTTAAATTACGTCATTGACTTGAACATTATCTTTATTTGATTTATCTCTTTCAATTGTGTAAATAATGTATAGATTGTATATCAAATATTCATGGAACAGTCTAATAATATACATTATTTTATCAAAATCATCAACATTAAAATAACTGTTAGACTTACCATAATAAATCTATCTGTGATGGATTATTACACATTAATGTATTCAGCATTTAAAATAAATGGTATACCATCTCATGAATAACAGCTAATGTCAACTTCATCGTGCATCGAATTGAACAGATTGATCCATAATTGTGTTATTATTATTATTAACAGTCATTATTTAACACATTATATTGTTAGAATTTGATTTATATTGTTTTTATGCTGAGCTATTGTTATTGACAGTCAGATTAAAGTAGATTGTGTTACTTCTGTCATCTAGTTGAGTTTGGCTCTGTCTGCTAACAACTATGCACAAAGACACTGAACACTAAGAATACATCGATAGAAGAAATCAGAATACACAAGTAACAGCATGGGGCATAATTGGATCTCGAATAATTTGAAATTCACCAAGTACGAAGATCACAAACAAACAAACAAAAAAGAAAACTAATAGAACAAGTGAAAACAGAAACAAAATATACATAGACATATAAGACTTGTGTACACTGTAACAGTTTATCTCAATATTTTTATGATCAATATCCATCTGAATTTTCCATAATATTTTGCTCTAATAATTTTTGATCCACTTGAATCATATATTGTTTAGCATAATCAGGAGACCAATCATCATTACTAATCATTCGTTCTGCAACCGTTAATGCATCTGTTTTATCAGGAAAATGGCCTTTGGCATAATTTATAGTATTTTGTGCTTCATCATATGCTTTGTTTTCAATAAACGCAGCTATCACCATTACAAATGAATTAAAAATAACATCCAAAGGTTGTTTCATAGACGCTTCATGAAATTTCGAAACTGCGTTTTCATACATATCAAGAGCTGATTCTATTTCGGCGGCGGCTTCTTTCAATTTTCCCTCCCGGTAGAGCTTTAATCCTTGTTCATTTATTCTTAACGCTTCAATTATCTCTTTCCAACGAGTGACAATTACCGAGGTTGGTTGCTCAGTAATGTGCTTGTCAATTACCTTCTTCCAGCGGTTTTCAGCCTTTTGTGAAGCTGGTTCTGATTGAACAATGAGCTCTTCGCTTGCTTGCTCATTTACAGCAATCCTTTCAGTTCTACCTATCTCCATTTCATTCACAGTTGTGATATTGCTAACTGATACATTTTCATACGACTGCTCATCTTCAGCAGACTGCCCAGACTCGTCAAGTTGCTCAAATTCAGAAGACTCCTCAACTTCAGAAGACTGCTCAGCTTCAGAAGACTGTTCAGCTTTAGCAGACTGCTCAGCTTTAGCAGATTGCTCATCTTCAGAAGATTGCTCAGCTTCAGAAGACTGTTCAGCTTTAGCAGACTGCTCAGCTTTAGCAGATTGCTCATCTTCAGAAGATTGCTCAACCTCAGAAGACTGCTCAGCTTCAGAAGATTGCTCAGCTTCAGAAGACTGTTCATCAATAATCTGATTATTGTCGCCAGCATGCTCTAGTTCATTTTTTGCAGCTAATTGCTGCTGTGCGGCGATTTCAGCAGCATTAACATAATTCTTCAATGTGGTGAATACATCATATACGTTTGATAAATCATATGCTTCCTGAAATTTTTTCTGTGCTTCTAAAAAGCTTCCTGCATTTTGTAAATGCTGGCCATCAATAGCGATCTCCATTGCATTTTTACTTTTGAGGAAACGTTGCTCATTGCTATACCCACTTTCGCATGTGTGATAAGCTGCATTGAAAAGTTTTTCTGCCTTTTCGAACTTACCATCCTTGCAAAGCTCTAAGCCAGCTTTATTTGCAGCCTCAGCAGCATCGTTTCTTGTTTGGCCCAAATGCATGTCTTCATAGAAGTAGTGGTATTCTTCTACAGTTTGAGCGCCTTTAGTGAATTCTGAGAGTCCAACAGAAAAAATACCAGCAAAGACCCGTGCTACAGTATTGGGTGCATCGATAACAGTGTATTTTGTAATTCCTCCAGGTAATGATTCAGTTTTTGACGATTTATCTCTAATAGTTAAGAGTAAATCTGCGCCTATCATTGTTTACTTCGTTTGATTTCTAAAATACTAAGAAAATAAACCATTGAAAAGCATATAATAAAGCTACAAAGAAAAACAATTATTATTTTTGCGAAAGTATACTTGTATTTCTACAATAAATAGTTTATTACTAAAAGTCTTTTAGAAAATAACTGTACCATAGAAATAAACTAAAAGTATTCTTGTACTTCGATAAATATCTGTAATCATTGTGCCATGCTATAGGCACTTCACTGTATCACTTCTCAATCGTTTTTCACTACGGTTTCTAATGATCAAAAATATACATAGCGTAGCGATTATGAATGTGCTTTCAGAGAGTGAGCACGTTGTCCATAGGCAATATATGTTATGCTTAGCAACAAAATGGAGTGAGATCATGGAGGAAACGCTGGCTGTCCTCTCTCCCCTGTCTTTAATATCATGCTAATAAAATTATAATTTATACGTACTCCAGAATTCCATCTCCATCCATGTGGGTTTATGATGAGCAACACTGCAAAATTATTTTTTATTTCAAAGTAAAAACATGGTGTGATTTACAAATTTTACTGATAGAAGTAACGAGAATAAAAGCAAGTCTCATCGATAACATGAAAGAATTCAAAGCAGCTGCTGTAACATATTCGCGTTCTCGATAGAGAGAAGGAATTATGGGTATGCTGAGGGGAAATATCCACTATCTCATACGTAGAATACTTTCACAGAAGTACATGATTGCTACGAGGCAAGATGTTACTCTGACTTATCGTACTTTTTTTGTAGCATTTATTGTAAACTAGAAAAGAAGTAAAATTTTATACCATGTATTCATGCCAATACATCACACTTCGATTTGGTAGAGCTGAAGACTTGCCTGCACCTTCCAGAGAGAAATAAAGTACACTGAAACGAATACATTACGCTAGTTTTCATTTTTTTTCTCTTTTTCGCGATAAATACTAACAAAAAGTACGACAGGAGAATACACAATTTTGTCTTGTAGGTGCCATGCACATTTTCGAAAGTATTCTAAACATGCAATGGTAGGTTTTTATTTCTTCAGAATAAACTTAATCTCGTCTCTCTACACAGAGAACGCAAACACGTTGCAGCAGTCATTTTTCGTTATCTGAGATTATCGATAAGACATGTTTTCATATTCGTCTCTTCTATCAGCAGATACATTAGACTGATAATTTTCGTTTGGAAAGGAAGAGAAAAAATGCGATTCTAAAGCGTTACTGTCTATAAACCCACGTCAATCGAGATAAATAAAACAGAATCTGTAAAAAAATGTACAAGAATTATTCTCGTTTTTTATTTTTGTCAAAGGTAGAAAAAAGAGAGCTGCGAATACAAAAGAATATTTCAGAATCTCTAAGCGAGTAGCGAATTTTATTGGTGCATATGGTAGGTGAGTATTACCCAGTATGTAAAAGTACATCACGAGGTAAGGTCATGTATCTAGTATGGTATTCGCTTTTTTATTCTTTTCGATTTACTCTTGTCTTTTTCTCTTCTATTCTTCATGTCAATATCTCAATTAAAATCAAGCAAAAATAAAACGGTATTCATTTATTCTAAATATTTCGTTACTTATCAATCGCAGATTGATGTTTTTTTTCTGTTTGATAAGAATAAGCCAACAAGAAGGTAGGCGACAAGAAAGAAAAAAAAAGAGAATGTTCTCGAATGTCGAAAAAAAACCAACAAAGTCAATACCGAGTTGCCTGTATGGTCATTATTAGTCATGATATTGATTCGACTTTCATACGAACCGAAATAAAGCCAACGCACTATTATGAACATAGGTGAGGATATAGCGAATATTATAGATACATATTTATAAATTAACAGGTATACGAAAAAAGAATTAAACGAAAACTATTCCTAAATTTACAGGGCAGTGTAGGCGCTTGTACACATATTTGTATATTCATACAGAAGAAAAGAAAAAAAACTGTGCCGAAAATAAACGGTCAGCCTGCATATATAAACTATACAACGAAAACAAGCAAAACTATTGGTGAATCTAAAGATCAGTAATATGCACATATACAGTAAGTAAAAAAAATGTAATTATTCGAACATTTTGTGTAACGTCTATCTTGCAAAGTGAATTCCGTAATGGAGAAGACCGTATTTAATCGCAATTTTTTTTAAATACGATTTGGTAGATTGAAATTTCCATTTTAATTTTGAAATAAAGCTTTTCAGTCGAAAAATCAACTCAAGAGGCACATCATTGGACAAAAGAGAAAACAATGAATTGAATCATATCCTTTGTTTATCAAGTATAGTCGTAGACAACCGTTAATTATGATGGTTTCTTTTCTAAAGGTGTGCTATATTCTCAATTTTTACGAAATAAAGTCAGACTAAAATCATATCTGAACGATAGTAGGTGATAGAAAATTAAAATTATCTACAAAATGGCATGCTTAACTACATAATATATAAAAACAACAATACAGTTAGAGTATTATCTAAACCTACAGGTTAGTATATACATATATATATATTAACAGCATAGTTTAAATTTTGCTTGAATTCAGCAGCTACTCTTCGCTGAAGACTTACTCTTATAATTTGTTTTTTATTTTATTTTAACCCTTTAAATTTCGTGTAAAAAAGTTCTTTTTTTGAGCGAGATAAATTTAATGCTTTCTTTTTTCAGATTTTTGATTCATTTATTGTCTCAAATCATATCGACAACGAATAATCCACAAAACATTGATTAGCCGGAGTCTAGCGAAGGATAGACACACGAAGATCAAGTGAGTACTGATTGCGGTGAGCTTTCTTTACAAACATATGATGCTCTAATACAATACTCTACTAGATCATATGCTTTTATGCGATCAGCATGATAATACTTCTCGGTAGTATTTGTTAATTTGATGAGCTCTTTTCAAGGATGATGAAACATTGAAAGCTCTTATGCATAATAAATAGACTTTTTAAACTATGCCGCTGACTCGTACGTCAGAAATCGAATCTAAATTGTAAGATTCGTCAAGAGCTATCTGTAGTTTTAGCTTCGTTTCATTAAGTAAACTAGATATTTTATATCAGATCGAAGCGAGTTTTCTGAGAGTATGTGCTCATAAAAACAACTCCCACGAAGAGAAACATAGAGTGATCAAAGTATTATTACATTGTGAGGAAAAAAAATAACAGTTCCGAACATTTTCCAAGCACTTTGAAGGCTCAATTCGGGTACAAGTCTTTTATCACTGTTTAATATTAGTTAGACAGAATTTATTATGCAATCATTCAACTTACGATTAGCCCATGTTTGTTTCTTATCGTCTAATAATTTTTGATCTCATACTTTTGTCTTAAAAATGATCCATTCTTCTTTTTCGAAATCAACAGCAAAGAGAATTATCGGAGTCCGGACAATTCGCTTTCAATATTAACTAATATCAATGATTTAACCATAGGTTCATTTCGTCGATGGATCCTATTGACTATTGAAAAATAAAATTAATACTAACGGAAAATTTTATCCGACTTCATCACCTATGACAATGAATGATCAACTAGGTAAGTGATTTTGATTTTGTTGTAAACTATTCAAAATCTTTCGTATTCATATTTATAGTTGCACAAAAGTTAAACATAACTTCACCTCAAGTATTTTCGTTTCAAATTCTATGTGCTGCTGACCAAAAGTTCGATGATTTTGATGATGCTATCAACAGGTATGTTCGTAGTGAGGGCCCCAAAATCGAAATAATATTAAAAGAATATATTGAAAAAGCAAAAACTTCTCTGTTCTTTGTATGCGACATCGGAGGACAGGACGATAAATTTATTCGAAATCATCAAGAGCATTGGATTGCATGTGTTATAGTAACATTTAATGGAAAATCTTCAGTGTTTATTAAAGATTCATTGGAATCAGAAGAATATATCAGTGAAAAAACAGCTTTTCTAAAATTTATCGAACAGAAATTTGTTGACCATTCAGCAATTAGCTTCGTCGAACATTGTACTAGAGAAGAATATACAGTTAGTGGTAGCGATATTTCAATTGCGTTGAATAACTTGAAAATAATGATAGAGCTTTTCAAAACTGAAAACAAAGAAAATTTTGAAAAACTATTCCAAGAGGCAAAATTCTGTACTGTGCATAGCATTAACGTTGATTTTGATAGGTTAATCGTGAAAGTAGGACTAAAAAATCGCTTTAGATTGAAGCCCGCATTGCAGAAAATTCTTTCCGCCTTACAACGGGTAATCGACAAAGACAACGAATATAAACTAGAAAATACTGAATTGATGAAATTAATTGATACATTAGGAAGTATCAATTTTTCGCCTAGAGAGAACGATGAGATCAATTTAAAAGATATTGTAATCGATTTAATTGTAATCTTGAAGGGGAGAGGACAAAATTTAGATGAAGGTAGTCAAAAGAAAATAATTAAATATTTCGATGATAATAAAGACCGATACATTGAAAATGTTAAAGACTTCGATAGAACGCTTCGACAAGACAGCCGAAATAGCCAGATCATGGGATGCTTAGGTCTTGCTTTGAAAGATCTTTTAAAATTTTTTACATGTATTGAAAAGTTGATGCCCGATAGATTAACGATAGCAGATCTTGATGCATTGTTCCATCTGTTAGGAGATACGAATGAGCAACATATTTTAGAAGAACAGAGAACAGAGTTAGAAAACAAGCTAAGCAACGTTACTGATCAAAATGCACCAATGGATATCAATTATGAATTGAGTGATGTGCGGCAGAAACTTGAATATTTTGCTAGAAAAGCAGAAGTTCGTGAGATGGCCGATATAGATGATTTAATGATAATAATCGGAAGAAAATCAGAAAAACATGAGCAAGTTATGCTTGCACGAGAAGCTGTTGATCAAACTCTACTAGCAGGGAAATCAACAGAAAGCCGAGAAGTGGCATTAGCTGTGATTAAAATATTGAACTTCATCGATTTATCTAAATATAACCAAATTGAAGAAGCAATAGACGCAGTACTATGCAACGTAATATCACAAATACCGCTGAATGAAGGAAAGCTCATTTTAATTCTATGTCAGAAATTACCGTTAGACAAACGTTCCAGTTTATTTAGATTTATGTATGAAATATTGATCGATAATGAAGACAAAGAATTAAGAGAGCAGGCTTTCAAAATATTACAATCGTGTAATTTGCATTCGGAAGATCTAGAACATATAGTTAGCGCAGTTCAATTAGAAGAAAAGTGTATGCAGAATAACGAAAGTATAATCGACGATTTGTTACAACGAGTAAAAGTTCGAAATAAGTTAACATTGAACTGCTTTGAGCAACTAACAAAATATTTTCACAATGATGCAACTAATGTAGTAATCAATGAAATTGTAGAACATGGAATACAACAGTTACCTAAGTTTTTTGTTGAAAAATGTATAGATTATGTACAATTAACAGCTGCTAGTGACAAAGATCAATCTAGTATTGTAAGTTTATGTAACGTATTGCTTAAAGGCCAATATATTTGTTTGTCACAAATTCAAAACATTGTGGAAAAACTTATCGACGATGAAAATTCAAATGTCGCCATCTATGATATGCTGTCGATCGAAATTAAAAATGAACATTCTATTCCGGCATCCATTGTTAATAAACTTAAACTTAGCGCACAGAATAATGAGTACGCCGCAAATTTGATTAAACTAGTAGAAAAAGAACACAGTGATATTGATATTTTGATAAATTCGAGAGAAAATTTAACAAATCGGAAGGAGGCATTGAAAAAAATAATGAATAATAGTGAAAATTGTACGACAGTTATAATTAAAACATTGGAATCACTCGTAAAATACGATGTAGAACTTAGAACGGATTGTTTCAAAGCATTAGTGAACATTCTACCTGAAGATTATCCACAGCAACGTATTAAAATCGATTTAATTAGTATATCGGAATGCCTTGATTACGATGACGATATTGATCTTGAAGATATTTCTACCTTAGTGAAAAAAAATAGAAGTGTCGATCTCTCACAGATTGTAACGCTTATCATTCATCGCATCGATATTGACGGCGAAGCAGCATTGAATCTATTAAGTGAAATTTCTCATTTTGAATTACAAGTATTTGATCAAATGCAAATTAAACTCTTACTAACAGTAGCTTTCGAGAGTACAGATTTTGATTTTCGTGTAAAAATAATTGATATTTTAGAAACTATAATAGGAAAAGGATTCAGTGATAAGACCGAAATTTCAAAATTGGACGACGATGGGAATGAGAATGTATATTTTTTGACAGAAGAATTGAACAAACTACATGCATTACAAAATAAGGTCATCAATCAAAATAATCTGCTAAGTTTGAAAAAAATCGTTGAAGAAGAAGGATACGCCATCACTGAAGATTATATTATATCGCTGATAGAGGCTTTGAATAGTAATGAGAAACAAGATATTCATGAGATAATATGTGACGTATTATTTCAAATTGATCTTAGACAAGGGTTCACTGATGCAGTTAATAGTGCTATATTCAATACAATTCACAAGAACCAACAACTTGTTAGTATTGATAGTGCAGTAGGTATTATTTATATTGGCTTCAGTCAACGATTAGAAATACCCGAAGATGTAGTACAAGGTTTATGGCAGCAATTGAGTAAAGCTATCGAAGAAAACACATTGAAATACAATTTGATCTACGCTGTAAGAGCATTTGTTATTCAACGAAATTGGATACCTCAGCTAGCATTGGAGCAAATAACGAACTCTTTGATCAGTTCAGATATAGATATACAATTTAAGCTTCTTCTCGCAGATATTCTATCAAATGTACTTGACAAGTGTGATGACAATGTGCAACTGACTCCACTTGTTACTGAAACATTAAGGACTGTAGTACTACAGTCAAGAAAAAAATTCAATGATTATCTACTAAACAAAATCGTCTTTCGAGCTCTCAAAGCTAGTATTGAAGAAAATGAGGCATCTCATGATTTTCTGTCTAGATACTATGAGATATTCAAGAGACAAGAAATCAGTTTAGATAAATATTCTACTGAAGAACTGAAACCGTTGGATCTTTACATGGCAGAAAAATGTCATGCTTTAGAAAAATTTCAATTAATGAATGTGATCAATAATACATTTCTAATGCAGCAGAAAATTGATACGAGCGTTTTGAGTGAATTTCATGAAGGCGAATGGCGAAAAGAAATATTATGTAGTGAACTGTTGACTCGCATCTTTCTAGAAGGAGAGATTGACGAAGGAGTAGATGAGTTTGAGTTGCAAAAGTTTCGGGAGAATCTAGAATCATTATCTTCATATGCAAATGAGCATGATTCAATAGAAAATATTCTGCAAGCGCTGCTTGATAAACAAAATACTCATAAGCTAAGCCTTGAAATTGTAAATGATACACTTATTATGTTACAATCGAACATAGAAGGTGTTCATATTGTACAAGATGAGTATAAGAATAATTTTTACATCGAACTACGACAATTGTGGTTAGGCGAACGGCTAAAGTATTTCGGAATAGAGTATTCTGATGAAACTTTGGAGGCATTCAATGCATGTCTACCGTATAGAATTGAGATCATCGAGGAGATTTTGGAAAGAGTCAGAAAAGATACAGTAATCGAAGAATTGATTCACTTTTTTCATGATTTATTAAATTGTGGTCTAACACATGACAGTATAGAAAGTTTTTTGATGAATAATATTCCACGCGAAAAAAGTATCACAACTTGGGGAACAATTTTAACAGATAGATTAGTTGGTGTGATACTGGTCAGAAAATTTCGTTCTTACGGAAACTATTTAGAATATAATAAATTGGAATTTAGCAGAAATACTGTGACTCACAATGCTTACAATCAAGCCAATGCGATCTACTACTACAGTGCAGAGGATCTAGCGCGAATATCTACTGGCTGGATGAGAGAGTTCGTTTCAAATTTTAGAATAATTCTGCCATTATGGAGTCAAAATGATAGAACTTTGAGTACTATCCTAACTGATGCTTCAAATGAATACAAACGAGATAGAAAGCCAACGATTCTTATTTTAAATATCGCTGGTAACCATTGGATAACCGTAGTACTTATCCATCACAACCAGAAAGACATTGTACTCTATAAAGATTCCTTAGGAGAAGATAGTTATGTTGACGAAAAAGAAGAAATGAAACAATTGTTAACTAGTAAAATTGAAAGAATTGACTTTAAACATCATAGATCTTGTGAACAATTCGATGACTACGATTCAGGCGTATTTGCTCTATCAAATATGAAAATAATGGCAACATTGTTAAGAGACAATACAGAACATTTTATTCATAGTTTTGAAAATTTAAAGTTTACTTCTCAAACACAAGCTACATATAATCGTGTGCATATGTTTCCGAAGATGTATGCGTTGAATTTATACCGATCGTATAGAAGGAAACAAATAATTGATTATCATTCAGTTGAATTGAAGTTTATCGAAGATATACTCAGAAAAAATAGACTTGTAGAAAACGAACTAAAATTGTCGATTGATCTCTTGGACGAGGAGACTTTGCTTGACAAAGATTATCGATATTTATTCAAGATAGAAGCTAGTCAATCGAAGACAAACATTATCCGCACGTTAGGAATAACAGACGTATATTCAGTGAAAGGAAATATACTTTCAGTTTTCGATGATAAACTTACAGCTATCAGTGAGAAAAAAGAAAAACTAGACTTGATTCAATCTGTAGCGACACTAAGTGATAGCGAAATTGATGAGCTTTTGAGTCTACTAGGTGTTGAACTTACAGAATTCAATCGTGATATTTTGAAAAAATATTTAGGAGTTCCTATAAAAAACTTCCTCGCTACTCGAAGTAAAGAAATAGCGAATGTCGAAGATTATGAATCAGTGATTCATTTACATAAGAAGTTGAATAAAGTGGTTGCTGCGGGTTGGTCTATGAATTCGATTAGAAAATTAATAGATTTTATCGACACAGAAGACGTATTAACGTATTTATTACACGCTTTAGATCCAATCTATGAATATAACTTGAGCGAATACGATAGTAATATGAAAGGTGAGAATTTATTCGATATCTTGAGAGCAAATTCTTCACAAATTTGGAGAAAAGAAATTCATGAGTTAGCCATTTTCCAAACATTCAAAGGTAGTTACGATAAAAGCTTAGAAATATTAAAAACAGAGTTATATCAGTTCAACAGAGATAATCAAATATCGTTTCTATGCGATGAAAAACTGATAACTGCATATGTCAATGTTCAACATTCATATAAGAGTAAATCAAATCTTTTCAGTGATTTTGATACTATTGAACATTGGACATCATCAAACATACAGCAGTGGTCTGAAAAAGTGAAATCACGGTCAAACGAAGTTAGTCAAAATGAAAAATTAGCTGTAATAAAACGAGCTGTCGAAATTACCAGCAAGTTCCCTCCGCGTGAAATTCAGCTTTTGTCAGTATTGATACTGACAAATCCCGAGGAAAATAAGGGACGTCTTGCACAAATTAATACGGGTGAAGGTAAAACAACAATAGTAGCAATGCTAGCAGCAATAAAAGCTCTCGAAGGTCATACAGTAGATGTGATTACTAGTTCTCCTGAATTAGCCAAACCACAAGCTAAACAACAGCAAGATTTTTTTAAACATTTTGGTTTGACAGTATCTCATAATGGTAAAGACGACGGAGAAATAAAACAACGATATCGGTCTGATATTGTTTACGGTGCAGCAGGTGATTTTCAAGGAGACATTTTACGAGATGAATACAGCAAGTTAGGTACTAGAAGTCGTCGTAAATGTGATATCGCCATAGTTGATGAAGTCGATTCTATGTTGATCGATGGAAAAAATCACATGGTAATGCTGTCGTCTCCCATGCCGGCAATGGACCATTTAGAACCGCTGTTAGCAGCCATATGGATACAAATTGAAGAAGTTGCTAAATCGATTAAGGATATTGATGGTAAAACTTATTTCATAGAACAGCAAGATATGTTTGACGAAAATGGTAATATAAGAAGTGATATAGTAGAGAATGCTATTGCTATTGAAGGAACTAAAGAAAATTTTATCAAAAATTGTACAGAGATACATGTCAGAAGGTTACTTAGAGATACAGAGAATTCACCGAAAACTGAATCAGATATTCCCGTTGACTATCCAGAAATTAAAATTCCTAAACACTTACGAGATTTAGTAACAAAAACTCAACTAACAAAATGGATCGATAGTGCAATCTATGCAAAATATCGTTGTGAATTTAATAAGCATTATATTCTTAAAAAAGGTAAAGTTGCTCCAGTAGATGCAAGTAATACAGGAATCGTTCAACAGAATATGCATTGGAGCAATGGATTGCATCAGTTTTTGCAAATAAAACATGGTGCTAAAATTACTCCAGAAAGTCTTAGTACGAACTTTATTTCGAATGTCACTTACTTTAAACGTTACAACAAGCATATTTACGGATTAACAGGTACTCTTGGAAGTATAAGTGCGAGACAGTTGCTTAATAATACATATTCTGTGGACTGCGTCATTATTCCGCCATTTCGACAAAAACAATATAGAGAACTAACTCCAATAATTGTTAATAAAGAAGCCAAACATTGGTTTGATAGCATTGTTGAAAGTTGTATAAATAAATTAGAGAATGGGAGAGGAGTGCTCGTAATTATGAAATTCATCAAGGAAGTTGATGAACTTAAAAATCGATTGATTGCAGCGGGATATGATGAATCGAAAATAAAAATTTATAAAACAGAAGATGATTCTATGGTCATCGGAGATGACTTGAAACCTGGTGAAATCATCATTGCAACAAATATTGCCGGAAGAGGAACAGATATTAAAGCAGATAAAATTGAACGAAACGGTGGTTTACACGTGTGCGTTACATTCTTACCGCCGAACGAAAGAGTAGAACAACAGAATGTTGGTAGAACATCAAGAACAGGAAATAAGGGAACTAGTCAGTTTATTCTATTAGAAAAAAATGAGTTTGAATTTAGTGTATTAAGAAAAATAAGAAACATAAACGAAGAAGATGAAATTATGAAAGCTGAAAGTAAAATAAAAAAAGTAATGCTTAGTGATGCAATATTCGCAGAATTTTGTAAGCTACTAAGTGAAATCGAAGACAAAAATGATTTGTTTATTAAATACAAATGCAGAGCTGTCGAGGAAAGATTTGGCATCTGGTTAAAAATACAAGAAGATAAAATTTCAAAGGCAACAAGCGAACAACAACTATTAGAAGATTTTGAAATATTTAGAAAGCAAATTTTAGATCATAGAAAAAGTAATCAATTAATTCGTAATCCATATTTTCATGTATTGATTGGTAATCAGATGATAGATAATAAAAAACATCAGGAAGCTATTATAGAATTTTCACGAGCAATCGAATTAGATGAATATTTTCAAGCTAATGCTTACTACAATAGAGGATATGCTCGCATAGTTGCATATGGTGGTAGTGCTAAGAAGTATAAACATGAAATAGAAGAGGCTATCAGAGACTTTAAAGAAGCGAAGAAAATAATTGAAGATCGTTTAGAACCGATGCTTCATGTTATTCAAAAAGCATCTAATTCAGAGGCTCTATCTGAGCAAGTAGCTCACAAAATGACTCTGTTCGGGATACAAAAAAATACTATTGAAATGGCGATCGGTGCTGATGTTAACAAAGAAATCGAAGCATTTGAAAGTCAGAAAAAGCAGCCAGGTATAAATAAAACTGATCTAGAAAAAATCAGTCAACAAATCGAAAATTTAAAAGCTAGTAAACGAGAACGAGAAACGGGAGCTATTAGTAAAGCATTAGACAAAGGAAACGATATGGAAATTGAACTTTTAGATATAAAAAAATCTTTACCTGAAGATCAAGATATCAATTGCTACCTAGAAGAGATAGAAGAATATAAAAACAATGGATTCATAGGCACTTTTCAAGTGAAAGAAATAAAACCAATAGATTGGTTGTCGGTCATTGGTTTAGCATCTCTTGCTCTTGCTCAAATAGTAGGAGGAGCAGCACTCGCAGTATTTACTCTTGGCGCCGGTAGTACCATCGGTATGGGATTATTATCTGAAGGTATCAGCGATCTAATAACAGCTGTCGTCGACGGTATTATTAATAGAGATTTTAGTTGGGCATCGTACGCTATACAAAAAGCTATTAGTATGACTGTATCGCTAGTGTGTGCAGGACTCGGAGCAATAAAAGATGCTGCGAAAACTGCGATAGCAGGTGCTAAACACATAGGATCGGTAGCAACAAAAGTAGCTACTGAAACACTGAAAAAAGGATGGGTGATAGCAGCAAAAGCTATTGGTGTCGAACTAGGCAAAGGTGTGGCTAAAAAAGTAGTAACACAACTTGTAGATTACGGTGTAAACAAAGCTTTGATGCCTAGTATAGAAGAAGAGGTTAGAAAACGAATTGAGAGTCCCATTCAAAATGCACTATTGGCAAATTCGACTGTAGAGAAAATGCTGCGATTAGATGGCAAGAATCGGAATTGTTATTATCAAAATTTAATTAAACAGAAGGCAATGGAACTCTTGAATCCTCAAAACGATCCAGAACACGTTTTACTTACTATAACGAAAGGTATAGCTAACGGTATAGCTACATGTAAAATACAAGGTTTATCTACAGTACTACAAATTGCTGAGGCAGTTCAAGCTTTAGATGAACTTCGTCAATTTTTGCCAGGATTCATTGAAAGTTTGAATAAAGCGATCGATGAAATATCCACAGCAGAAAGTGTCATTGGCAAAATAGAAGAACTGGATAAACAAGAACAGACCGAGGTTCAAAGTCAGACGAATTACGATCCGCAGAAGACAACAGAAGAAATATATGATCATGCCGCATCAACTTATGTTCCAGAGCATCAAGATGAAGACATTAATCTTGAGCTGAATGAGAACGTAGAAGAACAAGTTACATTAGAAAAAAGTACGAAATCACCGGAAAGTCTTCGTCAGCAGTTAGCAAATAGTGTATCTATCAAAATGTGCTCTGTTATACAAAATAAGTTAATTACTCCCGTTACTCATGCTGGCATTAATTTTGGTATGAAGAAAGTAACAGCAGGATTAGATAAAAGTATACAAGATCAGATTGGTAATTATCAGGCAGAGCGAAGAATTGAATTTTTTCAAGATGAGGATAAAGACAATAGAATACCAGATGAGTTTAAAAAGGGAGGAGAAGATGAAGAAGCTGTAGAAAAGGCAGATCAGATGATTGATGATTTGAAACGTGGTGGCGAAGCTGGATTACCTCATTTAGGAGCATTAAGCGATGAAGCTGGGCGACCCATTAAAGTTTTAGACGAGAATGGAAAAGTTATACGTATCATTGGAGGAGATAAAGGTGGCCTGCCTATAGAAGTCGAGTATCATAAACCAACTGAAGATAGTCCACAAGGACATTGGACATTACCTGGAAATGTAGAACCTGCAGTAAACAATACTGGTAAGAATAATTGCTTATTTAATGTAATAGCTCACCAAACAGGAAAAGATCCAAACCAATTACGAGAAAATACGGCTACTCGAATGGAAAATAATAAGGAAAATCTAGCGAATCAGGCTCATGATATTAAAAGATTAGAGCAATATAAGAGTAGTGCGCTAACAATGGGAGGAGTTCGATTAAAAGGTAATAGTGTATATCTTGATGATGATGAAATTGATTTGATAATTCAAACAGTTAATAGTTCAACCTACAGGAGAATGGACGCTCCTAGAGGCCTCGAACTTATCGATGCACATGACGACGAAGGACAACAAGTTGAATTAAAAAGGCATCACATGATTCCAGAAGCAGAAATAAGAGAAGAGTTTGCTAAACTTGTTAACAAATATTCAAATGATAAAAACGGCTTGAAGACAGAATTGAATAAATATATAAATCATCCTAATAATTTAATAGGAAGGCAAGCACTCATTAGAGCTACTGGATTAGATAAAGTTCCTGAGATTCATGATAATCAGTGCGGTGTAGCTAATTCAGTCCTCGCAGCAGTATCATGGCACACAAATAATATAAGAGTTGGACCTCCTGGAAACTTCAGGGTGGATGATCCTGAAGCACCAAAGAGTCAATCAAAAATTGATTATGCAGTTGCAGATCCCGAATCTAAAAAAATATTGGATGGATATGCTAGAAAGAAAGGAAGTTCTAATCCGGCAAACATTTTAGATGTACAAAATAAACTTCCAAATAATGTAAAACATTATGGTTGGAAAACAACGAAACATCCGAAAAAAAGTGCACCTAGGATATATGAAGTTAATAAAAACATAAAGATTGGAACTTTTTCTAAGTTTTTGAAAGAACAAACAGGGGATAGAGCAATATGCAATCCTTTTCGTGAAGGAGGCCAACGTCAATTTCGACCATAACAGCGACTTAAGAATTAGAGCTTGTAAAATTAATTTTTTTGTAACCATCACTATGTATATATCCTAACATAAATTGTAGAAGATCATGAAAACCAACTTAAAATGTTTTCTAGTTGAAAGTCTATCATACACAAAATCAAATCTCTCATCTTTAGTTTTTCCATCCCGTTATGCTACTGAAGACAGAAACAGTAACTAGATCAGTAGGTTGACGATCTATGAGTGGAACACAAAATTTAGTCGAGTTAGTCATCAGATCGGCGAAATTGAATACAGAATTTTATGTTGAGCATAGAAATAACAATGAGACCTTATCTTCCAATGAAACGACATTTTTGAGAGATTGAATATCTATTGGACTGAACAGTAGGTTCTTAACCTTACATCAAAACAATTTTCATCGGTAAGTATTCATTGCAATCTACTTGTATCGATCTGTCCTCTTTTGTGAAATGAGATTTGTTTTCTATACTAGGCGCTTTTATTTTGTACATATTTTTATGTAGTATAAGTTTTCATGAGTAGTTTTCATCACATTTTATCCTTTTCTTTTCATATGTTCACTAAAATGTTTTTTTTTTGCTTTAATATTCAGTTGATTTGATTAATAATGTGCTCCCGTTTTTTTTTTTATAATGGAATTCATTTTTTCTTGTAACAATGTAACTCACAGAAACAGCAATAAGCGTGTGCGGAACTGCTGAAGTACTCAAATTTGTATCATGTAGACATCAGAACCAGTCTAATATTACCGATTTATTATTTCTGTTGATTGATCTAATATTACTTGATTTTCTTGAGAATTCAAAGTACAGCGATGAAAACAAATGAAATCAAGAAGTGAACTTTTTTAAAATATACATTTGTAAGCGTCATTGTTGTTATCTCGGTTTCATTATTGTTGTCGGCAAAACAATGCTTGCTTCAACTACGAACCAATATGCAACACTTTGCAATTGAAAACTCTGATTATTACAAACTGCCTTTTAATGGTGACATCTACTTTTCTCTGGATGTAAATATTCGGTTAAAATACAATATTTTTCTCGATACTATTGATGAACAAAATCAACAATATGAAAGAATTCGACTTCGCGATGCGCAAGTGAATGTTAAAAATAATAATATTCAACAAAAGCAATTGGAGTGTATTATTCAAGATAATCAAGTATGTAAGTACAAGTCTACCAATGTCCTACTTCAACTTATTACCACACGTTTTTCGGTTTTATGATACTTGTGATGTTCCATACGATGTGTTCTTTTTTTCCGTCTCATATATATATGAATAAAGTTGCAATAAGATTTAAAAAGATGAAAAGATGCTAGAAAGTAGGGTGTCGGTGTTGGCGAAAGTGAGCAAAAAGATGCGTTCCGTTAATTACGCCGTCCATTTTCATCAACATTCACAGGAGTACCCACACCAAGAAGGGTTCATCAGGTAAATGTTTTGTCCGATGTTCACGATTTGATAGAGAATACCAATCGTCATCCAACACAGGTCGGGCGACGAATCTGATCTGAACATTACCTACGTATTTTCAAATGTATTTTGAGAGTGGTTTTTGTTAATTATGATATGTAAACAAAAGAAAAAAAATCACTTTATCGATGAAATACATAAGAAAGAAAAAATTTCTGAGCGAGAAACAACATCGATCGATTTAAAACTATTCGTCCCATTGATAGTTTCACCGAATACAATCTAAAAAGTACCAGAGCGACCATTCTGACCATCTGACACAGCTATAAAATGCTAAAATAAGGCATTATTTTCACTTTATCACGCCATAATCCATCAGTCTACTCTATATCGCTAATTTTCTATTGTTCTTGTGGTTAAATTAAGAAAAACCATATTAGAAGCTGACACGCCTGATTTTCTTTTCTTGGAGCTGAAAAATCCCGAGAATTTGATATAAATACTAATATTATGATTACTATTTATTTCTAATGAGTTCAAGTGATTTTGAATTGATTTCAGAGATTGAAATAACTGTGTTTTCCTTGCGCATTTCAAGCAGTCACATGTTGTAATGAAATGGAGAATTACTAGAATTTCAGAAATTCCAGGATATTCAGAACACTCAGTGATGCCTATCAAAATAAGGTATTGAAACATTCAAAAGGTTGCGCAACATAAATGTGTGTTAAGTTTTTCGCTTTTCTTCACAAATTTGATACTGAAATTTGAGTTTTTTACTGTCAAAAATGTGAGTAGCTGTCTAATTCGAGTTTTACTATAAATGGAGAAAAGAAAAAGTTAAACTAAAACTAAATCTAGGAATAGATATAGTTTTAGTTTAACTTTCCGATATATGCGACATATGAGTACATATATGCCCTTCACTCGCACCCACATTTGAGCACTCCTCCATGGTATCCATCAACCACAGTTAAAGTACCCTGGGTACCTCCACCGCAGCACCCTTTCCGGGTACTCCTCCCGCCCGCCCCCTCACTAGCATCACCACCCACAGTTACTCCTTAGTCCCCATTAACCTACACCCACTCCATGTTAAACTAAATCTATTTCTATCACTTATTTTCGAATTGATACCATGTAGTTGGATGTCCATTTATATTCGAATTCGAACTAGGTATCTCATGAAAAATGTAGAAATTGTTCGTGGAATAGATGCTGACATATACCAAGAATATTATTTATGAATAGGAATTGAATTCTGTTTTGTACAACGTTTTTTCAGAAAAAAATTCAAGATTTTCAAGAATTCCTCAATATTTGGGTCAACCAAGTGATTCTTAGAAAATCTTGAAATCAACGAATACCAAGGATTCCTAGTGATCCAGCCGTGTAAAGTACAATACAGAAACTTGAAATCAATGAATTCCAAAGCCTTCATAACATTAATTACTCTGAAGCATCCTTCATCACATAGATAACGCCCAGAAGCTCAAGGATTTTCAGAGAGAACAATAGTCAGTATTAGACGAGTATCTAACGAGGAAACGTTCCCAAGTGATTCGCACCATTTAGATTCATCTTTTGCTGGTTTGTAGGGCTCATCCTATATATATGACGTATATGAAAGGGTTCGTGCCATTGCTGCTCGGTTTCAAAGTTATGGCCGAAACAACTGTTTTGATAGATGGTGCTACTATCTATTCATTAATGTTTCGTTCTTTCGACCAGGTAGCTCAAAAATACTTCTCGAAACTTTTTTCGTTCGATCAAGTTGAGAAATGTTCGTATTATAAATATCTATGGGGAAAATCATTCCCTAGTTGAGATATGAAAAGAGGAAAAAATACCACATAGAAGGTGGCACCATATATTGTAACACATTTTCCGCTCATAACTTTGAAACCGACCCGCAATGGCACGAACCCTTGCAGGTATTTCATATATATGACCGGTCCTACAAGCCAGCAAAAGATGAATCGAAATGGTGCGAATCACCTGAGAATGTTCCCTCGTAAGTGTTACATGAATAGCGAATTTTATGCAGTATTCTAAGTTCTTACAAGCCTTTGATACAGGTTAAGAAATTCAAGCACGCCGAATGCTTCTATTCATTTTTTTATCAGATTTATTTTATTCGCATAATTAAAATTACAATAAAATGATTATGATTACGAAGTGTGTGGGTGTGGGTGCGCTTGAATCTTATCTTAGAGTACACCCACACAGGGTCAATTTTATTGTCCTGCCAGGGCACAACAAAAATGATTTGGAACTTTTTTCACCCTATCCAGCCATTCTGTCATCGCGGCCTTGCCCTGTCCTGTAAATTAAGAAGAAGTTTTTTCATGTTTAAACTTAAGTTTCAGTAATTCTTTTTATTTGAAAAATAATTCAATAAATAGATAAATGATTAGCAAATACTAAATTAGCCCTAATTAAAGAGATGTATATGATGAAGTTTCATCACCACTGGTGGTCCACCAGTAGACATATTTAACGAAGAGAAAATAGAAACTTCATTTTCATCAGCAGAAGAGGCAGATGAATTTATCGATAGTGACAGCGATATATAGTTTTATTCTTAATAGTTTCATGGAAATAATAATAAGATGAGCAATTATTACACTTATATTATACATATGTGCAATATTATGATTCCTTTCTTGTTTTCTTTTCTTTTCTTTTCTATTCCTTTGATTGGACCTCACAGTCATCATACAAACACAAATATACCAATCAATGTACCATTTAATAACGCCATCACAATTTTTTTAGTTTCTTTCGCGTTTCCGAGAAAAATAAAATTGCTATTATTTTGAAACTAAAGTAAGTATATGTAAGATTTGCACGGCATGAAGGTATAGTCATGCCCCACCATGTCGACACCTCTGGTGTCAACTACGTCATCTTCTACAATATATGTTTATCTTTTGCTATCTTGAATCGATCTATTTTCCCCTCTCTATCAAGAACGAAGAAAAACAAGGGCAAAGAATTCATCAGTTTGGCTGTTTTTCATGTGTGTATAATGATTTTCTGCACAAATGAAGGCGCGCAAGAAAGTGAAGTTTTGATTGAGAGAAAAAGAATCTTCACGCACTAACTATATTTCTCGTAATCAACAAATGATTAGAGAAAAAATGAGTTAACTGATTGAAATTCTTGAATGATGAAAAATTGAACTGCTTATTACCGATTTAAAAATAAGTAACACAATAAAAAGAGCATTATATACATAGATATTTCAAAACAGAGAAGGTTTCCTTTCAATCATCGCACAAATTTCATGCCAACTCTGCCATCGATGAAGTACTAAAATTTAATATGCAACTTGTTTTGATTTTTGTACTTGAATTTTATTTTACAGTTCAATAATATTTTCGTCATAATGAAGTAATGCACCACAGAAAAATGTATCCGGAGAGCAGACGCTTTATCGTTACAGCGATTATGCAAAATAGCTGTCGAATGCCACTTATAACCGTGACTTTTGTCATGATTTGAATTCCAATTGAACATAAAACTGATAATTATATTATCGGCGCTATTTCGAGAGATCAGTTCTTGATTCAATCATACATATCATCACTGACGTGAGATCTATGTTACGATAACAAAATTACATTAGAATTAACACAAAATTTTTCTCTTCGAAATTAAGGATCAGTATTCATCTATCGACAATGAATAATGAAAATTAATCGCCACAGAAGTGCAGCCTATTGTTTGACGAATACCGTCAAATCTCCTACTAAAACTATCAAAAGATAAGTTTGTATATCGAGCAAATTACAATTGTTATCAATAATAGAGACAGTACTCAGCTATTGAATAAGAGGTCAAGCGTTGTAAATTCTCTATCTTATGGCTGACTGCTTTCTTGTTGTCTTTAAACTATGACAACAACTGTACTCGTGTTAATCATCAATAAAAATATTAGTCATATTCTGCGAAATTTTCTTGCTAAAGTAATTGAATATTTAAAGGAAAACATTTGAAATAGAATTGTAAAATAAGAAGAGTCAATATTTTAATCTCTTTTTTTAGATAAAAATTTGTAATAAATATTCCAACATATTGACATAGCTTTATTTTTCTAAGATATTCGTTGCATCTATAAATTTTTTCAGATTTCTATTAATTATTATTCATTCTTAAATAATCAGTTCAAAAAGATAAATACACAAACAATTATAGTCATATTGTGTAAACTAATAGCACGAATTGAAAATTAGACTTTTAAATGTAATGCTCATTAAAAATAATCATAATGCTTAATAAATCTGTTTAGATTCTATAATGATGTATTCATGCTCTACTAATATACAGTCACAGCAACCTTACTCATGAGGTCAAATGTGTGGCAACTCAATATTTCAAAATTGCATTAAAATCGAATAGAGAGTTATCGTTATTTGGTTTTCTATCAATACAGCGTTACTGAAATAATTGCCAAAAATAGAAAATAAACATTTTATTTTCAATTATTCGAGCAGAAAAATCACCTGTTTTGATAAATATTATTTTTGTACGAAAAACACTATGCTATAGCGATTGATTTCCGCTATGATGATTACCAATCGATTTAGGGGTTAATTCATACGCACATATGCTACAAGGAAAAGATCATTTTTATTCGAGTCAAGTGATCTTTTCTTTTATCTCTACGTAGATCACGTTTGGCCTATATGTATTCAGTTAATAGATATTACGCATGCATTATTCTGTGATTGTATGTTCATCATTGATTAATGGAGACAAGAGTCTGGCTAACACCCGCCAGCAACAGTAATCTAGGCGCATGTTATTCGAACAAGTAATTTGTTTATCTCATTTATCGAGCTGCCGTTTATATATATATATGTAGGATTGCATTTATGTAATCATAACAGGCTCATTAAAATATGTATATGATGCCATTTACATCCATTTCATGGTTCGATTAAGTTTCTGCAGGTGATAAAATAAGTAGAACGGTAAAGAAAATGAAATTTATTTAAATCAAATTGATCAAACTTCATTATGCTTTATTAGCATACGCAAGATAGAAAAATAGAATAAGAAACGTGCCTATTCATTTTGAGTTCTCTAATAATTAAGAATTCATCTAGAAATCCATTTTTGGTTCAATTTCCCTAACACGGATATGCGCTTCCGGTTTATAATGTCAATATGTTAAGTATTTTATGCTCATTAAACATTGGACTAGGTATATTAGCTTAGTTTCGATAACTATCTGTTATGTATAAATATCAGCTCAATAGTTTGATTCTTTTTGTTTGTCGGTTTCATTGCAATTTAGAGTATGCTCCTCGTGTGTATCAGTGATGATTTGATGGACGAATGATATCGTTTGTAGAAAGTTATGAGGAAAGGGAGGAAAAAGAAAAAATGACGAAGATGAAGAATAGAGAAGCCGGCAAACCGTCACCTTTTTTTTCTTGGAGAGAAAGGGGCTGTGCATATGTGTGAAATATCTACATGCTCTCTTCTTTTTCTCGTTTTTTTTTACTTTCATTCGTTTGTTGTCTCAATTTGTTCTGTTCTGTACCATCATTATTCTATTCAAGCTACGGTATCTTTTCCTTTGCCGATGTCATACAGTAATGTTTCGGTTCACAGCACTTATATTTAAATATTACTCGAGTTTCTTTGCTTTTTTTGTTATGTGACAAAAGGCATGCACACGATTACAAACAAAACAGATAATACCGATGGATGCTTTCTTGATTTATATTCATAAAATGACAATCATCGTTTATTCATTGATGTACAAGCAAATACAAATAGGACAGATAGATAAGAACTAAAAACTAATGTTAGAAACATAATTTATATAATAACAAGTTGAACAGGTGAGCGCATAAATATTCTTAGAAGAAGAAAAAACATTTTCATTTTTCGAGTTATTTGAATTCATTTTATTCTTTTTTGATAAAAAAAAAACTTTCAGCGATAGATAAGCATTGGTACATATGCGAGAGCAATATTGGTTGTCCGTTGACAAATTTCATTGAGAGATGCGCCATAAGAAGAAACCTTTACTGCATGTGTGTGTACAATCGATTGTTACACAATCTACTATCGCTACTAGTAGTAAACAGGCAAAAGATGGATGACCATTGACATTTACCTGTTACGAAAAATGAAACGTAACAACAATGACTTGTCACTGCTCAAGTGGAGCAATTAATAGAAATAGTAATAAAACGAAATCAGCGTAATGGTATTCTCTTTCTTTTCTGTCTACTAATCCTTTTTTTCATCTTCAAGTGCAGTGACATATCGAACTAACTTATACATATACTCAGGTTGAATGAAAGACAGGTTAGAAATACTCTGTTTGAATATGTATAAATATATGCACACATATATATATATATATATATATGTGTGTGTGTTGTACATAAATGAGAAGACCGTCATCGTAATGTTCTACTGCAGGGCGCGTTGTTGAGAAAAAAAGCAAGAATAATTGCATGCTCGTGTGTGTCCTTGAATACAACGAGACGACAACGATGGTGGTGGTGAAAGCGCACGCGATTGCAATATAGAAGCCATGAAGGAGAATACAAAAGTATATTTGTTTGATTGCAAACATTCTCAATCGTACAGCATGTGCATATAATAGATAGATATAGACGTTTAGTTAAGTCATTGTGATTTCTATTTTCTTGTTTAGCCTTATGACGATAAATGTTAAGATGGGCGTGCCAAAGATGTCTGTCGCAAAAAAGTTTCAATTGAATAGATTGGAATTTTAGTCAGCTTTCTTCGAAATATATTGTTAAAGTTAGATTATCGCTTGATTGAAATTATCGGTTAAGAAAGAAAAATATGAGATTGAGAGTGTTTGATTAAGAACGGACGAGGATTTTTCTATTCTTTTTCTTGAGGTTTTTTCTTTTCTTTTCTTATTATATATATTAGAATTACTGAAGGCTTTCTTTCTATTCAACCTTCATCCGTCTAGAAATTCACTTTATTGTATATGTATACTTATTACTGTATTTCAAAATCTCATGATAAGTAGTCATACCACAAATATTCATTAATTCATTTTACCTTTCGTCATTTTTTCCTTTCTTTCGTTCTTATAAGTATATGTTTCAAGTGATGAGATTGAAATAGGTAAATGCGACTGAATTGTACTGTTTATTTATAAAACTAATGATAGTAATAAGAACCGATCGTTTTTGATAGTCGACGTCAAAAATTGCTTACTAAATAAGAGTTAAATAATTAATGTGTTCTTTTTTCAAATATGACTTTAGAATAGTGCTGTAAACTTTGTTATTTGGCACCTATTATTTATTTAACATTGATCATTTTTTATTCTATTAAAACAACGATAACTTTTAACTGTTAGCATTCTGTTAAGTAAATATAGGTCAGGTATTGAAAGTTATTATTGATACACACAGACGGAAAAAACAACGTGTCGATTTTTCAGTTATCATCAATCAATTAAAAAAATGCTAGCTCTATAATGGTACCAGATATAAATCAATATGCCAGTGACATTTAGATTAGAAAGATAGATATATAGACAGAATGAGTTTATCCCACTTGTACTTGGACAGTTGACAAACAGCAGTTGATAAAATAAGCATTTAGTCGTGTTGAAAGACTACGCAAATATTAAATGAATACGAATCTTTTCTATAGAAAGAAATAATTGATCTAACGTAAACATAGGTCTATTAAAGACTATTAGCACGAGGCTAGGTTCGAGTTACTTACTTTGCTGAAAACTTTTCTTTTGCTTTTCAGACAATGTTTATTCTTCAAAGATTCTCATTTTTTATTTTATTACTTTCTATTATCTATGTTTCTGCAAATAAGAAATGTAAGTGATATTGATTTTAGCATTTTTTTCTTATAAATTTCTTGCTTTTCAATTCGATGTCTAGCAATAGGTTTTCAAGGTACTATTGATGATGATGATGCGTATTACGATGGTGATCAACAAGAGCCAGTACATGTTAATCTATTGCAAACAATTGATTGTTCCTATCGGTGTCCACCATATTGGAGTGAACCAATTTTACAACAAAAACAAACATTAGTTTATCCGACATCAGCATTTGTTTCACTTAAATGTCCTTATAATGCTAAACCAAAAGCAAAAATAACGTGGTTTAAAGATGGAAAATTATTTTCACCAGAATTATATGAGATGGTAATTGCTGCACTAATCTAGAGCTATTTATATATATGTATATAAAATAACAAATCGCTGAGAATCATTTTGACTGTTTCAGTAGAGAAAAGCGAATCCTAAAACGGAACTTAAATCGATGTTAGATCATTATAACGTATCTGTTTTCTATTATTTTGTTGTTTAGTTTTCAATTGACAACATGTATTTAAATATTTCGAAAATAACGATGTATGAAACCGGATTGTATACGTGTATCGTTGAAAACAGTCTAGGAAAACTGAACCGATCATTTCAATTGATTGTACAAGGACGTAGTCTTGACCGACCAATATTTATATCTAAATCAACAAACTTAACTCGCTATGAAGGTGATAATGTCACATTGGAATGTTTATTTTATTCGGATTCAAGTCCATTTGTTCAATGGTTTCTTCAACGGAAATCAAAAAACAACGGCCATAATCATTCACAACAAAATGAATTAGAATTTGTTAAGGTAAATTTAAATCTTAATTGTTTTATTTTTATTTTTTGATTGCAATACATAAAAAAATCAAAATGAAAACTATGAAAGAAAAATAATCTGTCTTTCTATAGTTTTTTAATGGATCAAGATTTAGTCTAGGAAAACGAAAGGTAACCGTCGATATAGAAACCAGGAACTCTATATTGTTTTGCTATGTGCTTTTGGATTTATCTATTTTTATTATAATTTGATTATGTGTATGCTGCATGCTATCATCGAAATCAGATAGAAAATTCTGAATTGCATTTTGAACAGTTATTGAATTTTAGTGAATATTTTTCTTTTTCTATTCGAAGTTGTTGTATGTTGACGTATTTTGTTTTCCATATCTGCGTTTGCTAAAAGTCTTAGAATTTCATTTGTTGATAAGTGTGTCGTAAGCATAAATATATACATATGTATATTTATCTATTATTGAATCATGATGATTGCATCTATTTATTTGAATTTGCTTTTTGTACGTTATTTTTGAATGATATAAATAGATGTTTTTCTTTTTCGATATAATATGATCACTTATGTTTCTATTTATTTTAGGAATATAATCCACATACAATGACTGAAGATGAAGTGAAATTATTAAATATTAAAAGTGTGAAAGGAAACGATACAGGTGTTTATCTTTGTCGTGTTTTAAATGAATACGGTTTCAATGATTTAATTCATTATCTTACTGTTTTGCCTAGTAAACGAATTTGTTTTAAATTGTTCTATTTTATTTTCTTCTGTTTAAAGATTCTGAACGTCCACTATTATTAAAATATGGTTCAACTAATAAACAAAATTATATATCAAGTCGATTGTCTGACGAATTAATGATATTAATTGGTTGTATTATTGGAATCTTACTTTTTGCATTTCTATTCTTTCTTATTTATCATTTTCGAAACGAAAAAAGTCTACAACAAACTTTATTAGCAACACGCATATTGGCTACACGCGGTATTAGTAATTTAAAACCGGTAAGTTGAAATGCGTTCGCGTAATTTATTTTATACGAAGAAGAAAATTAATGTAATAATTGTATGATGACCAGAATCAATTGTATCGAAGTGATATTGATCCGAAAACAAAGAAACTATTAATTGACGACAATTGCCATCGCTTTGCAACTGACGGAACAATATCTACTCTGATTTCATCGTACTATGATGATCAATGTGAATTTTCTCGAGAAAAGTAAATAGACTTTTTCTTCGTAGTAGTATATACGTATGTTCTTTTTAAACTAGTCTTACAGTTGGTCATTTGATTGGTAAAGGAGCATTTGGCTTTGTTTATCAAGGTGTAGCCAAGGGTATTAATTCAAAAGAAAAAGTAACAACAGTGGCAATAAAAACAGTTCGAGGTTAGTATTCATATTGACCATGACATTTAAGACTTTTAAAACGTTTATTCTGACTGTCGAGAGTGATTTATGAGTAGAGTAAATTCTAGGTAATCATCATTAGAGAATGATAAATCATAGCTATATAGTTGAAAGAGTTTTGTACATGTAATGATAAATTCATGAAGATAAAACAGGCCTGTTTAAATGATCTCTACGGGATTAAAATATGAAACAGGATGATGTAACTATTAAAGATCTAACAGTGACTAATCTATACGTATCACTTGTCGCCAAACAGCGCTACTAATGATATCGACCTTGCGTGCAGCTGTGTGTCGGTGTAAACACATACATATGGGCTAATGGTGAACACCAAGATTCAATCTACTCTGGGATTGATTTTTCACCATCTTTTTTTTACTGAATCCCGTAGAAATAGAAGAGAGAGGGAGTTCCTCTAACATAACAAAGCGGGATTGTTATACGACCTTCAATCACATACGAATTCATATCAATCACAGCTTGTGATCTTTCCATACTGATCTCTATGCAAATCTGTCAGGGACAATAAACCAAGTTTATAATTTAGATGATGCAACACCGGACGAAGTTGAAAGTTTACTTAAAGAATTATCAGTAATGAAAATGGTTGGTAAACATATTAATATTATATCATTGCTTGGCTGTTGTACAAAAGGAGGTGAACTCTTTTGTTTATTTATTTTCTTTTCATTCAAACTTTTTAAATTCCATAGGTCAAGTTATGCTGCTTGTAGAATATGCCAAGTATGGCAATTTACGCGATTATCTACGTCGTAAACGTCCGCCTGGCCATGTTTTATCAGGTTTATATGAGACACCATCGGATACGGATAACAATGAACATCAAACTATAATTCATGATGACGATTATATACGATCATTAACAACCATCGATCTAATTTTATTTTGTTTACAAGTTGCATCTGGCATGGAATATTTACATTCAAAAAAAGTAAGCTTTCTTTGTAAACCAAAGCAAGCTTGGCAAACTTTGTTTTTCCTCTAGTGCATCCATCGTGATCTTGCTGCTCGAAATGTTTTACTAGCAGAAACTCGTATTTGTAAAATAGCAGATTTTGGACTTGCAAGAGATTTAACACAAACGTATTATTATAGAAAACAAACGGATGTAAAATTTTCAACTTTTAACAATTATTGTTCCTATAGATTTTTTAAACTGTTTAGGGCCGTGTACCAGTTAAATGGATGAGTCCAGAGGCATTATTTGATAGAAAATTTTCAACAAAAAGTGATGTATGGTCATATTCTATATTAGCATGGGAAATAATGACCTATGGTGGTACACCATATACGTCTGTAGCAGCAGAGAATATGTTTGACTATTTACGAGATGGAAATCGTATGAGTCAACCAATTAATTGCCCAAATGATATGTAAGATCGCTAAGATTAAATTTATCGGTGTTTGTTTTGAAAATTTATTCTTTTAGCTTTCAAATCATCGAATCATGTTGGTCATTTAAAGAATCATTACGACCAACATTTACACAAATGTGTGAAAACCTTCGACGTTATTTATATGGTTCATCTCCAATCGATTATTCTGATCTCGATTATGTCGATTTTCCACCAATATCATCACCATCGATGAGTGATTTTGCATCGACATCAGTTTTACCTGCATCAACGTCGGGTATTGCAAGTGATACAAATAGTCATAGTCATACAACGACAACAGCCACATCATCATCGTCACTTTCTTAGTTTACCATTTGTTTAAATTCTTTATTAGCCAAGCAGACACTTTGTGTTTATAGAAATTGTCTTTTGATTGTTGTTTATCTTTTCTGTTTTGTGTCAAATATTTTTTTTATCGTCTAAATGCAATATAAAGAACATTATTCAGTGTAAATGTCAGGTTGCTTTGATTTGTTCTTAAAGTAATCCAAAAAGAAAAATTCTTGTTGTCAAAATACTGTTCGATCGTGTACTGACATATAATTGTTCGTCTCTAGATATGATGTTCTGTGGCTTCTCGAAATTTTACAACACATAATAATTAATCAATTCAGTCGTGGTACGTCTTTTAAATATAAGTTGTGAAAAAACTAACCACATTAGTCTCAATGGATCTCATCTATTCTATGTCTGAATGTGTAAAATTTTAGCTTTTATGGTTTCTTTGACATGCAGCTCGTTGAGACTAGTCCACTTAAGTTCGTTGCTGGAGTTGAGGAAGATCTATGATACAGTGTAGTCGTAAGGATTCAATAAGATTTTTTTATATAAATATCTGTATTAAACGACTGTTTAACGATAGATATCGCAAGCCATGAACTTCTTTTCGTCTTGCATCATAGAAATTAGAATGATAATTATTGCGTTAAATGCTTGGAAAGGTTGTGTTCTGTTCATAACAGAATCATTTTCTGGAATTTGAAAAATTAAAACAAGATGAGCAAAGGCTTATGGTAAGAAAATAATTCTTCTCTTGCGATGTACGCCATAAAATGTAGTTTCTTATACCCTTATACTTGCATAAATCTCTGATTATTAGCGTCCTCTTTCTCAACGCTTAATATTAATTGGAAAAAACGTCTTACAAATCCCTACGACTTATCGTTGTTGTTTTTTTTCTTTTTCCTTTTTTTTTACTTATACAAATATTTCTTTCTCAGATTTTTTTCCTCTTTGCCTTTTGTTTCCTTTCTAAAATATTCATCGTTTCTCATCGTCGATTAACTCACGTAAATAGTATGTCCAATCTATCATATATCTCTCTCGCTTATCTCGCTCCAACTATTTCAATGATTCATTCTCGTTGCAATTAAGACGTTATGCCACATCGCACTATTATTCTTTAAAACACTTGATCTACAGAGTACATCCGGTGTTCATCATGCAAAGCGCTCCACCTGATAATGCACTTACCTATAAATTAGTAGTCGTCGGTGAAGGTGGTGTTGGTAAATCTGCCTTGACTATTCAAGTAAATATATATATACACATATATAAGTTTATCGAAAGTGATCAATTAAAGTTTATTTCTAGTTTTTTCAAAAAATGTTTGTTGAAGATTACGATCCAACTATTGAAGATAGTTATATTCAACACGTTGAAGTGGATAAGCAAGTATGTGTACTTGATGTTCTTGATACAGCTGGTCAAGAAGAATTTTCTGCTTTACGTGAACAATACATGCGCAAAGGTGATGGTTTTCTTATTGTTTATTCTGTGATTGATCCTAATTCATTTAAAAATACTCGACAATTTTATAATCAAATACTTCGTGTTAAAGACAGGTATTTTATCTGGTAGACTTTCATAAAAAAAGAAAAAAACAAGTATCGGTTTATTTTTTGTTTTATAGAAAATCTTATCCAATGATCCTTGTCGCAAATAAAATTGATTTAGTTCATTTAAGAAAAATATCTGAAGAAGAAGGTCGTGAATTAGCAGCTGAGTTGCAAATCCCATATATAGAAACCAGTGCAAAAGCTCCGCCGGTCAATGTTGATACTGCATTCCATGAGCTTGTTCGTGTCATTCGCTTACAAAATCAAAATCTTAATCCAATCAAAAAGAAACGAAAGAAACGTCGCTATTTAAATCGTTGTCGACTTATGTGACAAAATAAGATCTTGACAAATGCAATCAATAAAGTTGTTATTTACAAAGTTTTTCTTTTTCTCTTTTCGTAATCTCGATTGTTTATGTGCCTTTTTTTCTTCTTTTCTCATATGTGTGCATTCAGTTTTAGCTCAAATATTTTGCCAATGTATGCATGAGTGAAAATAAAATAAAATATAATTTGTGCAACGATTCAATATAAAACAAAATGAATCTATTTTGTTAGATACCATAACTAGATTGCTAAACATCGTTTTTACTTTACTATGTATGATGTCTATCTGTATGTACAAGAAATTTGAAAAGAAAAAAGTCTATACGTAAAATTCTTTTATTAAATACTATCAAATGATTCGGAAGTAACAGAGAAAATACTGCATTGAAGCGTAATGCGTGATCGTACTTGTGTCATTACTCGGACAAGTAAATTATTCCGTTTTGAGCTATTTATATAAATCTAATTTATTCAAAAATCTGTTAATATGCCTGATCGAACTGCTTGAATCAATGAAAATGATTTTTCTATTTATTTTTCAACAATAGAATAAAAGGTTTTTGAATACAATCGTAGCAAATATCAGTTAATGGAACAATTTTAGTCTTCATTGATCTCTTTTGCTTCAATTGAGACAGATTCAATTATTTCAATAGGCAATTGAGAATAATATTTTAACTAATCATTCAGTATTGTACAGATATATTGTCCGGTCGAATTCTGTTAATTTAACTACGAATCAAATAAAATCGTGGATTGGATATATTTTCTGAAAAGAAAATTTTCCTGAGATAGATCCATCATCTCGTGCACATACTTTCGTTGTCTCCATCGCTATTGTTCCATATCTTTCAATAAGTAACGAGTCGTTAAATAAATTATGCATATATTCGTCTAGCTACGATTATTTATCCTAAAATAATCGATCTTCACTTTTCTCCAAGTAGCTACACGAGAGAGAGACAGAAAGAGAAAAAAGATTGAACGAACTTATTTTTTTATGCTATTGTTGATATGACAATGTGACTGTCTCGAGTACTATCATTTTTCATACTAATTAAAACGACAATAATAATATACTGAAGCGGTGAAGATTCAGTGTTCAAATAATTTTAGCGCATAAATAAACATCGTACTTGACAAATAAAATAGACTTTCATATGTCTGTATTATAGACAGTGGTAGATCCGTTTTACTGAGGCAACTGACATCTGCCAAACACAATTACGAATCCGAACGATTTCGAAGAAATGAAGAAATTTTCAATTTTCTATGATACAGGATGTAACGGAGTTATTATAACCTGTTCAACGTGAAAGAGTAAAATAGAAAAGTCCATAAAGTACACGGAAATCCGTTTGAATTTAATGCGTGAGTGTAGAACGAGTACAAAAATGCTTTCAGGCATTCTTTGCTATTGAGATCTACACCAACATCTTCATCGGCTGAACTGATTCAGAACTATCCGAGTAGAATATATTAGATCGACAGACTGTTCTCTAATCTATGAAGTTATTGATTTTGTTAATTTCATTGAAGTATCCGTGCATGAATGTGAGCGTTGGTTATCTCTTCAACGACACGCTAAAACATGCTCTCTATTGAATCAAGAATACGGTGTGATGATTTTACTAACTAAACTGACAGAAAATTGAAGAAACGCATTTAAATGTTCAACATGGAATTCCTAATGAAATCCATCCACACGGGTTGCAGCAAACGTAGTATTAAAATACGCTTGAAATTCGAACAATGAAATTGTATTCATATTGAAGTAAGAGATTATCTAAATTTCACGTGCATCTACGTATTTGCAGTGAAAACTTGATTATATCCCACATAAAACGTATTAGATTCATGGTCAGTTCTTTACAGCAGTCTTTCCAACGACGTAATAATCTCAGTATGAAGTGAGAAATTTTGAAGGGGTTGATTGGTATGTTTCTTCATTTTTCGATGCTGAATCGTTTCGTGCTATTATTTACAAAGTACGAGTCACGATAAAAATTATCATGCTATTTTTGTTTGTAAGCTAATCATCTACATCAACTCTAGCAGTCAGAAAAGGATTAGACATAGTATTAAAAACTAATTGCTATGAGATGCCTGTTAATTGAAAGTTTCATTTTAAGCGCTTTTGAACAGGTATCGCAGGTATTCTTGAAGCATCAATTAAAAAACCGCAAGAAAAAAAATGAAACTATTGATATCGATCAAAATAATGAAATATACGATAGATATCAAAAGTATAGCATTTAATCTTTAAATGTTTGCTTTTTAGTTATAGACAAGTCAATCAATGAACAGAAATAGTGCAGCTTTGTTTCTCTTGTCAAATAAAAAGAAAGTCAAGAAGCCACCTGCCAAGAAAACGTTTGTGTGTTTGCTATTGTTGTTATGCATTTTTAATGTTTCTCTGTCATTATTTCTTTTTTGCTCTGAATTAAGCGAGAATTTAACAAAAAAAAATGAAATAAGAAATTCAAATATATATATATATAGAAACTGAATCGTCGGATTTCTTATTCATTAAACTAAGGCGCACAATGTCACAAAGAAATACTCATCACGGTTAGAAAGAAAGAGAAGATTTATTTCAAGACAAAATAGAAACATATTTTTATAATGTGAATTTAGTTGCAACAAACATTCCATCGGCTCGAACAACTATTAAAAGTGCTGTATGTACTACTACTCGTCCGACAGTAACTGCATTATCACGTGCAAGTAACACTGAATATATAGATTATAATTCAGTTGATGTGGCTAGGTAATTAGATTAATTAAAAACAAACAAATATGACAGCTTGAAAAGAGAATATTTTTTATTAGGAAGGAAACTATTCAAAAAGAACAAGAAGCACGTCGAGCATGGACAGTCAAGTTTAATCCATGGCTAATTGATGAGTACCGACAAGTGAGTTATATTTAGTTTTCTTAAAATATGATTTATAATAATTAATGGTGACTTGTAGATGTATGATAAAATAGCAAAAGTTCACGGTATCACTCGAGAAAATTGCGTTATCTCTCTAAGACGTGCCGAATGGCAACAACCAGCTAATACATTCCCACCATTAAATCAACGTTTAGCAGGTCAACGTCGTCGGCGTGTATTGGGGGCATTTCCTCAAACAGAAAATGACGTGAGTGTTTGCGTTACGTATTATCTTTTTCTCTTTATTGTTTGTTTTTATAGAAAATTGGTTGGAAAGCTTCACCACAACAAGCTTTTCAAATCTATGAACGTTCAACAACATCAGCACATATGACTGCATTACCAAAAAAATATAAATTTTCTAACATGCCTATTGAAAGTTTTTACTAATTGAATTGTAGACATTTTTACATATATTGTATGTTTCTTTATGTATATATATATAATTATATATTTATATTAATCAAAACGACATTAATATGAGATAACCAATACAAACTGTTGAAAGAATACACAGTCTATTTCTTACACCGTGTTTTTTGGTTGTATTAATCGCAGAGTTAAGAAAAAAATACTGTAGAGGAAAGAAAGAATATGTTTAAATGATGAAAAGTATTGATCTATCTTTTTTTTTCTCACTGTTCCGCCTTTTCTCTTCGTTTCTTTCCGTTTTTTTTTGACAACGATAAATAAGGTAGCGTTGGCTTTACTGAAGCAGTGATCATCATCGATCGTCATCACCAGAGAGAAAAAGAGACAAACGAAGAGTGAGAAGAGAAGCAGAAAAAAACAGAACGAATATTTTTTTTTGTAGTAGTTGGTATACGTGCGCTTGATCCAACTACTTAGATTACGTTTATCCATGCATATTTATGTAGCATGTGATTGTACACGCATGCGTACATTTTTATATACTGAATATCAACTTGTCCTATTATAATTATGAAGTCGTTACTTTTGTCGTAGTGTTTATTGATTCTATATTCATTTTTTAATAGCCACCATAAAAGTGCATGACGTCCCCCGTATCCATAATATCTTTCGTCTCAACTTTGTTTTCGAAAGGTTTTTAATGTATGCGTGTGTATATTTTCGTGTCCTTTGTAGAAGCATTAATAGTCAATTTGATATTATTCTTTTCATAAATTATCATAAAATCAAAATGGGACAAAAATCAGGTAAAAAACAAAAAGATTTTACTCAACTGTTAGATGAAGACATTAATCGATTAACAAAAAATACATCATATTCAAGAGAACAGATTCAGGAATGGCATCAAGGATTTCTTCAGTATAAAAATCAAAATTAGAGTATCGCAATTTTACTTTTCTCTTTCAACTATATAGTGATTGTCCTTATGGCAAAGTTGATAAGAAAACATTCATAGACGTTTATAAGGTATTGTATTTTTTTGTTTATTCGTTGATATAGAAACTATTTATTATTGTTACATTTAGAAATTCTACCCCGAAGGCAAAGCCGCAAACTTTTGTACACAAGTTTTTAAAGCATTTGGTGAATATAAGTTGTAGAAATTTCTAACGTTACTCTCGTCTTTAATTAGATTCTGATGATAATGGTTTTATTGATTTTGTCGAGTTTATTGTTGCTGTAAATATAACATCTCACGGTTTGTGTTAAAGAAATAACAACGATGACTAGAAGAGATTTTTAATCGATTCCATTTTCTTTTAGGTGATGCAAAAGATAAACTTCAATTAGCTTTCGAAATGTATGATATGGATAAGAATGGAAAGGTAATTTCAAAAGAATATAAAACAAATTATCTCTCTAGAGAGATTAAAACAATTTTTCATTAAAATATTCCCGATCTACTTAATATGACTTACGGTCGCTATAAATATACAGAAATAGTAAAACGCTACCAATACAATCTACCAATCGTTCTCGTAATATATTATAAATGAGACCAGCTGTCGCAAATATAAATGTATATATATGTCGCATTTGACTACATCTAACGATCGAAAAAAAGGAGAGAGAAATGTCAATTGTTTTTGTCAGTGCTTATTTTCCTTGTATTCATAGAAACTTTCAAAGAAGCTATACCGCTGCTTCGTATTAATTCTGCTACCAGAAAAGAATTTTTTACGCTTTCTTTTTCTTCCTTAAACGAGAGCTACCAAAATTATAACCAGAAACGAGATGGAAAAGACACTCATAGTATCGCATCATCGCACTCTCTTCTAACATCGAGTCGTGAGTAAGAGAAAAAAAAGCACGAAGAAAAAACCAGTAATAAGAGTTACAAAACCGAATATAAATTTTGTTATTTGTATAAACACACAGTGCATCTTTGATAACCAATTTTGCCTCTTGATTCACTTTTACAAGCTGCTGAGTTGTCGACAGCGTTTGCCGTCGTGAGATCGAGAAAGAGAAAAGAATTGTATTAGAGAAAAGACAGAACATAAAAATGGCTTGTATTCTTATGTTGGCTAAAGAATAACGCATCATTTACTGTTTTTGTGTCCTATTGTGCCTTTTTTGCCCGTACTACTCCTTTACTGTACCATTCTTTGTGATTTTCTTTCATTCATTCAATATTTTCTCACTCTACTGTAAACTTCATTTTTTGTTACTTCTACCATAATATTATCTTTCACATAAAACTTCACTTGTCATAATCTTACAATTACATCTATTCAGATTTGTTTGTTTTTCTCAATAATATTACGATGGGTCATAAAGGAAGTAAAGATGTTAGCATAGAATTAAACGACGAAACCATTGATCGTCTGACAAAAAATACAAATTATACACCGGAACAGATTCGTCAATGGCATCAAGCATTTTTACGTGATTGTCCCACTGGCAAACTATCATCACGACAATTTACAGAAGTCTATAAGAAGTTCTATCCAGAACACGAAGCTGAAAAATATAGTGCACAAGTATTTCGCACATTCGATATGGATAGCAATGGTTACATTGATTTTATGGAATTTTTACTTGCTGTAAACATTAATTCTAATGGTGATGTGCGAGATAAACTGGGTCTTGCTTTTGATCTTTATGATATGAATTCTAATGGACAAGTAAGATAGCAAAGGTCGGTCTTATTAATTTTTCGCTTGTCTATGTGTACATATCCGTACAATAGCAAGCACATCACATATTGTTGCATCACTTAGTATCTTGCGTTGGTCGTCCGTCAATGCGCGTGATTAATCCTTAACGTTTCTTTCTCTTTGTTCATATAGTTCGGCAATATGTCAAGTTAAGTTATTGGTTTCTTTTATGTTTAGATCGACAAGAAAGAGATGACAAAAGTGATTACGGCTATATACGAACTACTCGGTTTGTATTCGATATTATTTTTAATTCCTAGAAAATTCTTACCAATTTGTTCTCGTTTTTGCTTTATAGGCGAAGATAATCGAAAAGGTGATAATTCACCAGGAAATCGCGTGAAGAAAATCATGGAACAATTGGATATTAATGATGATAAAAATATCTCGCGCGATGAATTTGTTGAAGGTTGTCTAAAAGATGATGTACTTCGAAAATTGTTAGCGCCTAATGTTTAAGAGAAAAAATAGTTGCAAGAACTAAGAATAAATTATTAGAGGACCATGTGACAATATAAGAAAGAAAAAACTATCTATTTTTTGATTATCGTTATCTAATATATATGTTTTATCGAAGAGATTTTTATCTAGGGTAGTTATGTTCACTCTTTTTTTTTATATTTTTGTCTGGTATAACGTGTTCTGATTTAACCCATTTGTTTGTGTTTGTTTTGAATTTTAGGAAAACATTCTATACTGTTATTGTACGCCTTTCAATTTTCTTGTTCGCTGAAATCTTTTTGTTTAGCTCTCACTTTTAATCTTTGCTCTTCTACTCTTTTGGCTTTTTCTTATTTTATATCATCAAAAAGAAAACAAACTAACACTTCACGTGCTACATGGACGCGTTGTATGAATATCTGGATAGAGAACAATAATAAATATCTATCTAAGTATATTGTCAGTGTGAACATATAATTATGACATATATAATATTTGAAATTCTCATTTTAAAAAGATTCTCATTGTAGACATTTAAAAATAAATAAATATTATTAGTTCACATACGATACTAAATTTATGAAAATTTATGATAAAAATGAAATGCTTGATTTGCATTTATATGCATCGCATATAACTATTTAGCATATTTTTGTGTTAGATATATATATATACGGCGTCTCATACGTTCCTCGAAAAAGTTAACATAAATATCTTTGAAATCGTAGCTTAACATGGAATATCTATCTAGAGGTTTCGATCTAAAATTTGAACTGAAAACGTCAGCTATTCGATTTATGTTCAGATAATGTGAGTATATTTCGAAGAAAATTCAATCGACACTAATAAATCATCTTTTATGAGACGTTGTCTGCCTATTAAAAAAATATGTTCCTCGACGCATCGAATACTAATAGGGAAGAATAATCGTTAGAAATAATATTGATTTTTAATTGACGTTTGATACTCTGACTACCATGCACTTCGTACCTGTCAGTTTGCGCTGGAGACAAATGTTGAAACATCAATATAGATGTATACATTAATTTCTTAAATCAATGTCTGTTGCATCCTGAGAGTTTTGCATTTCGATAAAAGCATTACTTTAGTCAAGAAGTTTAATTGATTCTTTTGTAGTTGCAGTCTTTAGAAATTTTCTTCTATATATTCTCAGGGCAAGATCTATTCTTAGAAGTAATATAATATGCGGAGGATTTTTTAACAAAAAAACTTAAATCAATTAATGCAACTTGAACTACTAAAAAGGTATATAAAATGGAAAGGAAAACTAAATACATGTTTGAATCCTGTTGTCAAAGTTCAAAAATTTAATTCCGATTGATTTTTGAAAGAACCATGAAATCTTGCTCGACTAGTTTTAAGCCTTAGCAGCGATTTTTCTTCGTTCAACAGGCACCACAATGTTTATATGTTTCGAAACGAGTAATTAATCGTGCACCCATATCACGTAGGTTACAAAAATTATAGGTCAGATGGGTCGAACGATTGATATCGTAAGAAGACAATACGTGTTGTTGTGTATAAACAATAGAAATTTTACTATTCGATAGTAATCATGCTGATATTATTTTACATGAAAATACCTAAAACAATTGATCGAAGTATTTCATGGTGCAAGGAGTTTCATACAATAAAAACTTTTGAATGATTCTACTGTCCACAAAATAGTTGAAACCCGTAATTTAACCTGTTCGGAGAATCTACTTGCAGTGTCTTTTGATTTTCTTATTGCTTCATTAAACGCGTAGTTGCTATCACTGTTTCGTTTCGTTTTTGTGCGACATCGATTTTTTATGTATATTTTTTTTTCCTATACATTGTAAGCTGTATCAAATATTTAATAAAATGATCATAGCTTGAATCATCGCAACAGGAATTAAAAAGGTGGACACAGTTAGTTCTTTGAAAGAAGTAATATAATATTTTCTTAACATTTACTAACTTTAACCATGAGAGACGCTTGCCAAATAATCATTTGACTTTGATCTAAATTTTTATTCATGTGGTGATCCCTATAGATTTGCACGAAAGCTCAATTGGATTTGTATTCATAGTTTTATATTTTGCATTACGGCTCTTTATTTCCGTTTTCCAAAATGATTATCGAGTTTCTGTGATGTAAACAAGTAAACCAAGTTCTTTTGCCAATAAGTTTACATAGAAGACAATAGTAACTCTAGCACTATTTTAATGAACTTGTTTCATCAAGAAACTCCTACAAACATATTTCAAGCCATTTCTTTTTTTTTTTTTTATAGAAAGTTATCTCGTATATTTGAAATGATTACCTTGTAGACTTTCTTTCATTCTATAAAAATTATAAAGAATACTAAAATAGAGTTGAACTATCTTCTTCGAATTACTCGCACAGTATTTACTGTGAATGAATACCGGTTTAGCAAAGCTCTGACGAATAAAAAAAGCTTTGTTAATGATATATTTTCAAAGAATAGAAAAAAGCTTGTACAAAACATTTAACACGTACTACAACATAATGCAGATCACAGCAACAAAAAACTCTAATACAAAATTTACAATTGGACAAAACGTTGAGATTCTTAAGCTAGCAAACTTGAACAATTAAACTTCATGGCGTTGAAGATTCTGTTGTAATCGTTGTTCAGTAATTTCCTTCAATGTGATTGTTTTCTCATGATCAATGAAAACATAAGATTTCGATTCATTGGAAGCAAGTGCAGGTGCACTTTCCTCATCACTTTGACCATGCGACAAAGTTCCATTTGATTTTTGCGTATCTTTTCTAAATTCTGTATAATTTATTTCAAGTGAATTATTGTAATCTTCATTTTGCTTTCCAAAATTAAAATAATTTTCCGATAAATTCGCTTGAGACTCTCGATAAAACGATGTCGATGATGCTAGTGATAATGATGATTGTGTTCGTCGTAGACGGTTAATATTTGATGAAACCGTTGTTAGACTTAGCGATAATTTATCATGTTCTTCGTCAAATAATTGACTTGAAATGAATGATATACGTTGATCTAAACAATTAGCAAGATGTTGAGCTCTTTTACAACGAAATGCATAACGCGCTGGACCGAGTGGTGCGCGACGACCACATTCAAGAATAAATATCGAACCATCTAAACCGTAACGTTTTATTGTATTCAATGGAATAAATAGTGATTGTCTATTTTTTTGATGTATACATAAATTATCATTTGATAATTGAATTTTAGCTGAAGAATGTTTACAACCATGAGAATTTATGTTATCAACTTTAAAAATATCTTCATGATTTATTACTGACGTATCAATGAGATCAGCTGTTGAATTATTATTTCCCATAAACTATCTGAAAAAGAAAACAAACTGACAAAAGTCATCACATTTATTAAAACATGTTTTCGTTGTGTTCTTTTTTTTTCTGAAATCAAATTTGTGTTTTTAATGAAATTCGCGGTACAATATTCATAGATTGCAGTTCCTGAAAGAGTAATTTGCAAGCATAGGGAATTTTTATGCTTGCTACATCTGATGATGATTTACAATATTGACACCTAAACAAAAAGCATCGATTTTAAAGCAAAATTCAAGAAATTTTTCAAAAAAATCATGAAATTTTACCATCCATTGTAACCAAATAAACCACATTGGTTACAAACATCAACTTGAAATTGATCACTCGATATCATTAAACGTTCAAGTATAAGCATACTAAAATAGAAAACATAGAAGACCATATACGATGCAAATTCGATATTGTTACCTTGCGCCATAACCAATGAGACAATCACCTAAAAATAGAAATAACACAATTAATATCGAGGAAATTCAAATATGTGCTATTCAACTCATTTATTTGTATCACATTAATTAAATAGCGATAAATGATATTTTTAAGGAAACTATCGATGGACAATATTACTATCTCATTATTGAAAAACTCTGAACTTTGTATTTGCTTTACGATGTAGTTGAAAAAATAATATTAATTTGTTGTTTCTCCTGAATAAATATTTATGCCTTAGAAACGTGTAAACATTCAATTTTGTTACGCAATAGTACTCGTATGCAAATTAACGGAAGTCTATTCAAGAATTCGAAATTAATATGCTTTTATTTCATTGAAAGCTTTACTTTAAAACGCTTTTATTCGATTATAATAAATATCTCGGCTATAAGTCGTTTGGATCAATGTCCGCTTTCTTAAATTTAGATTCTTTCAATTGAACACTAAGGTTCATAGCACTCAGTTGCGAACATTCATCAAGTTCTACGAATAATACAAAATGGCTGGATTGAATTGTTTCTTTTCAAGAATTATAGCTTGACTTGGATTTCATCACTATGCTTCAGAGGGTCTAGGATATTCGCAATCTCATCTAAGACGATACGAAACAAATCAAGAAATCAATTCAAATCTTCTTAGATTTTTTGGTTATGAATAAAATATATGGAGCCAACGATATCGACGAGTCGCTAGTTAATTTGCTTGATATATTATGATCAAATTTGTGCCATCTCATATAAGCTAATCATTTCAAATTTCTGCCACTTACGTTCCATTTCACCAAGTCGAAGGCCACCATCACGTGATCGACCTTCGGTTGGCTGTCGAGTTAGAATGGATCGAGGACCACGTGCTCTATAACATGTATAGCATATAGTAGATGTAGTGAATGTCTTAAAATAATTACCTTGCATGCATTTTATCTTGAACCATATGTTTAAGTTTTTGATAAAAAATAGGACCAAAAAAGATATACGATTGTAATGGTTCACCAGTCAAACCCGATGTTAGTACATCTTTACCCAAATAGTTAAAGCCTTTGTCTATTAATACTTTTGATAAATCAACTATTTTATCACCACCAAATGCTGTTCCATAACTAAGAAATTATAAATATATGATTGTCGTCACACGATGTATTTTTTTCACTTTCGAAATTAATACGATTTCTAATCAAAGACACTTTATGAAAAAAGAAAATAGCTTTAACCTGAAATATTTCGAAACATTTCAGTGGTGTAATCACAAAATATCCTACAAAAACTGTTCTAATACGTCAGATTTCAAAGATAACAATTTTCATAGTATCGTTAAATCTACTCATAGTCGATGTGGTCTCCGTCTAAGAAAATCTGAACTCCTGTCCGATGGGTTTTCTCCAACTAATTCAAGTTTGACATGGCACATGTTTCTCTACCGATTAATCCTTCAAATATCACTTCGACTCGAATCAAACTAAAAACTTCGAATACTTAAACAGAAAGCAACAAAAAAAAAACGCGACTACAGTTTAATTTAAGGTCTAATTGAACGTATTTGGCTAAGGGCTTAGAGCTCTAAAGCGAAACATGCCATAGACAATACCTTAAGTGTGATTCTTTTACGTACTATTATTTTTTTTAATAAAACACGATATTTAGTCTTACTGAAATTTTCCTTCTAAAACACCAGCTTTTCCGCCTAATAATTCAATTAATTTTCCTATTGTCATTCGACTTGGATATCCATGTGGATTCATAATTATGTCTGGACACATGCCATAATCATTGAATGGCATATCTTCTTGTTGTACAATAAGTCCACAAACACCTTTTTGTCCGTGGCGCGAACTGAACTTATCACCGATCTCCGGACGACGTGTTTGTCGCGTTAACAATTTCACAATAAACATATCTTCATGATTACTGGTTAACATAACTTTTTCAATACAAGCTGGAACAGGATTACGATAAATTAAAGGTGTTTCTTTATCTTCAGGTTCAGCAAAAACATTTCCTGCTGCTGTAGCACTGCTTTGTTGTTCAGCCAATGTCATTGTGGTTGAATTAGGTGCATACTTATTTACAAGTACTTGTTTATTTTCAACTATTTCTCCTACACCAACAATGCCATCCATGTCGAGTACTTCATGTTCCCATTTAGGTTTTTTTGTATCGATATTAATTAATGGACCTTTGATTTTATCACATGTTTGATTTGGATAACGTTTCATAGAAACAACTTGTTTTTTATAGACAATACATCTTCCAAAGCCTCGATCTAGAGAAGCTTTATTTAGAATAAGTGCATCTTCAATATCATAACCGGAATAACTCATCACAGCAACAATAGCATTTTGGCCAGCTGGAAGTTTTTCGAGATTGATCAATTCAATTGTCTAAATATTCAAATCATCATTTAGTTAAAACAAAATAAAATAGTTCAACGTATGCATACTCGAGTTTTAACTAAATGACGTTGTGGATAAACAAGTAAATACAATAGAGTATCACAACGTTGAGATTGATTGTAACCAATCGCACCCCTAAAACAATGAATAAGATTAGTATCTTGTTTTATATCATTTATAAAAAAATACATGTAAAAATATTTTTGCATAAATCGTTATTAGATAAATCTTGCTATTGTTGATTAAGCCTTAGTCAGTAATGATTGTTTTACAGGTGAATTATATTTTACATACGAAGTAGTTTATTTAGTTTAGTGTTCGTTTCAAGAAACAAGTAGAACACTTAAATAAATTCATATTTTTCTTCTCTATATTGACAGTTTTTGGCTAATAAGATAGAAAAAGAAAGATCAATATATAACCAATCAACCTTAAAAGGACATGTAATTCACACGGAAAACATCATCATCTTCATTCAGAAGACAATTACCATATTGATGCTTAAAGCTAGATGATCAGTCTCGATTGGTTTGATTGAGCTGAAAACTTATGACTTATGGCAATAGCTCTAACTGCGTTTTCCATGTATAAAGAACGGAATAAGCCTATCAATCGGTGGATCCATCACTATTCTAGTTTACGTATAGCTAAGATTATACAAAAAAAAAACATAGATACGATCGAGAGAATCGAACTCTCCCATCAGCTGTTAATATCGCATTCAACATTTTATATGAGAAAGTTCACATAAAAGAACATACGTCATACATCGTATCCTTCTTTGTTTATAATGCTTACTTCGGGGCTTATTCGAAGGTTTATCATCTCATATCTGTCAAACTATTAGGGTTTTTGTTTGATTCTCTATTCTTATCAATATATATATATATCATACAAAATGCTCTCGGACTATATTTTTCCTATAAATAGGATATAGTCTTTTTCTCCGAAATACTTTACTTCTTCTAGCTGACATAGAATTAATAATGAATGACATATGCATACATACATTGCTTGTTTACCCATAGCACATTGGTACGTGTTACGTGGTGATTGATTATGATGTGGATATGGAATAAGACCAGCACATGCGCCTAATAAAGTAAATGGTTCAATTTCTAGATGAGTTGTTTCTCTAAATAAACAAAATCCAAATTAATAGTTCAATATGTTTCTGTACTTACTTATTAACATCTTTTTCGTAGACTGCTATATTTGAATCACCTTCTTCATTAACATCAAGATATTCAACAAGACCTTGTCGGAGAAAATCGATAAATGTTCTAAAAATATTGATATAAAAAATTAATTATTCTTTCCTTATGAATGCCCTACTTTTGCCCTAGTGTAAGTTCTTGAATATGTTGGCTCGTTACTCTAGGTTGACCTTTAACAACAATAATATAAGGACGACATAATCGTCCACTATCCGATGATATATTTATCACGCGTTGTTTTTTTAATGTATAGACGGATATAAATTCACTTAGATATCCTTTTCGGCGTAAAAATCTTATGGAATCAATTAGCTTTTTTGGTTTATTTGTAGCACCAATTATATTACCATTAAGCATAACAATGTACATATTTTCAGCATAGATTTCTTCTCCGTTCATCATTGTTATATCTTCAATACCAAGATTTTGCGCTAAACGTATGAGCGGTTTTTCTTCGATATCTGTTGTTATATGTGTCATTAAAGCAAGATTTTTGACCAGACCACAACCTTCACCTTCGGGTGTATCTGACGGACATAACATTCCCCATTGCGATGGTTGAAGAGAACGTGGACCTGATACTTTACGAGTTTTTTCAAATTGACTTTGTATCATTGTCATCATACCAATACCAGCAACATAAGAAAGTCGTGATAGAACATGTGTTACACCATGTCGTTCCATTTTAAAACGCTTAATTGTCCAATTACCAGTTGATATAGCAATAACAAGACCATTTGTAATTATATCTGGTCGAATATGTTTTACAACATCGAATTGTGATGCTCGCTGACGTGGAATTGTTTTATTAGCAACTTTTTGTAACTAAACCAGACAATCAATTTAAATTTAAGATTGATATTTATTTTGTCGAAAATATTTTTCCTTACATCGCCATTGAATCTTTTCAAAAGATCTTCGAATAGAAGCGCAATCAATTGTCCAGCTAATTCTAAACGTTTATTTCCGTAATAATCACGATCGTCGACATTAACATGACCCAATTGCGCTTGTATAACACGTCGTACCATTATAGCAGTATAAACAGCTTGTAATTTATAATTATATTCAATAACCTCTGATGAGAAGCAGACGAAAAAACAAAAAACAGTCTCTAAATAAATCTATGAACTTACTGGCACATGTGCTAATATAATATGTGCTAATAATTCGCGTGCTTCATCGATTCGATTACGATTGGCATATTGAGCTGATGCAAATTGTTTTGTTGAACTTTTCATTCTCGTTGAAATATATTTCAATGCCTAAAATAAAATTAATACATTTTCAAAGTAACAAATCCAGATAAGAGCGCATGAAAATTCTTTCATAACTTGAACAAGCAAGATCTGATCGTATATGAATTATTCTCCGCTCATTGGGTTCTGTTTATCAAAAAACCATATAAGCACAGAAGTTTTTAATCACTACAGTTTGTTTCTGCAATTGTTTATTTATAGGGGGAACTAGTTTCTGTTTTCCCTATGGATTCCATCTGCATGTTTATACAATAGGATTACTTCGCTGCTATTACAAATGTGCACATTTACATCAGTCTCATTCATCAGACTAAATAACTCTTAGATGTTTGCTGACATGTAGACTACTCGCTCGTTCGGTTGCTTAGTCTGAGCTAGATTCAAGAAAATTGAACTAATCAAGAATGAGTTCATTTTTTCGAAAAATAATTGGAAATGAATGATACTGACATTGAGAATCAATACTATTCAAACATATAATGTAAAAACAATAACTTCTCGAACAATCTTACCTGCATCTGAGTAAATATTCCTAATCGGTGACATTCTTCAATAGATGCTGAAAAACTATTCACAATATGATCTTCATAACCAACTAATTCAACAATTTCTTGATCTGATTGAATTCCATAAGCTTTGAATATAATCACAATAGGTATATCCTACAATAGAAATCTTATTCATTTCTAAAACAAAAAAATTTATTTTCGTACATCAGTAAGACTGTTATGTGCCAAAAAATATCGCCCTTTACTCTCATATACAGCTGTTTTTGTTTTTGTTTGTTGTGTTGTACTAAATAAAAAATATAAATACTTAATTCACTTAGGATCCAACTGCCGTTCGGTAATGAAAGAGCTAGGCTAAAATTTGAAAGCGAATAATCTTGAAGATTGTTGAAGCTTTTATTATGCTTGTAGATCTTCGCCTTTTAAGTTATCTATCCAACAATGTGTAAGTTTATCATATTCAGACCTTATTCGATTTATGATCAATCAATCATACCTTGTAACAGTACATTGAAAACGATCTTTTGAATCTTTTTCAATGAGCATTCGATTTTTTGATATTTGTTCTTGAATTAAAATGACACGTTCGGTACCTATGAAAAATAATCAAATTTAAAATAGACAAGATATTTTTATTCAAATAAATTTACCTCTTGTAATGAAATAGCCACCTGGATCGAGCGGACATTCACGCATTTTAGCCATTTCAGCTTCATTTTTCTCATAGAGAACACATTTACAACTTCGTAACATAATTGGTAGTCTAATCAGTTTAAATTAAAGTATTTCATTATAGTAATAAGAAAATTTACCTTCCAATAATTAAGCCTTTTCGTATAACACGTTCTTTACCTCTTATATATTCAATATCAACAGAAATTGGAGCTGAATAAGACATATCACGTAAACGACACTATTGAAAAGAAAACAAACGATACAATAAAGAGATTTCAATGAATATAATTAAATATACTTCATGAGGTGTTATCGGTCGTAAAATATTATAACCTTCTTCGATACTTGGCGAAAGAACTTCTATATTTAAATATCTATGAAACAATAACAACAAAAACATTAAAAGAAAATTGATTTTATTTAATTAGTAAACCTCATATAAAATGAAGGGTCAGATTCAATAAGAATTTCTTGATTTGCTAACATAATTTTTTTTATCTATTAACATATAAATAATTTAATATAAAAAGAAGAACATTTTTTGTTCGAATTTAATTTACTTCAGTATTAACAAAATAATCAAATGAATCAAGATGTTGTTTAACAAGTCCTTTGATTTGAAGAAAAGCTGGCACAAGTTTCCATTTATCCTATAAGAATTAAATTAAAATATATTATTGAAAAAATTGAAATATAAAACAAAAAATAAATCGTTACTTCAATAGTTTTTACTGGCGCAGCTAATTGATCATTGCCTTCAATTGCATCATAGGAATCAAGAGTTTTATTCTTTTGAACGCCCATGATTTTGTTTATCTAGAAAAACTAACTATAAAATCAATCATCAAATATATTGTCTATTGCAACAGATTTGATCATCTTTTCTAATATATATCCTAATAGCTGACAGATCTCGATGATGAGTCATCCATTTCGAATTTACAACACACTAATGCACTCTATCTCAGAATTTCGTTTATACAAGATTCATATGATTACGATCGAAATAATATTTTAGCATTTTTCTAAAATAATTTTTTTTCCTGTTAACATCAAACTATTATTCGTTTATCATTATTTATAGTAGAAGACATTTATTGAGTTAATTATCTTGATTTAATGAGCAAAACAGAAATGACGAAAAGAAAATTTTTGTATCTGTGCCCTTGATAAATTATAATATTATTATATATCAATTTTTTTTAAACATAAATATGTATAGTCATTTTATAATGCAAATACGTCTGTCAACGACACATGTGTGAAGCACTATTTTTCTTTCACCAACAAAGAATTTCAGAGATGTTTCATGCTGATTTAGCCTTTTATTAATGTAATACAATATAAATATATCATTCTGAAAGAATAAATTTTGAATGGATGGTAATCAAAAATTAAACAATAATAAAAAGTGTTTCTTGCTTTTCTTTATTTGTACTGTTAAATATACACAAGTACAGTAAGCATTAATTTACCAATCATGATTAAATAAAAGCTTTTATTTATCACAAGGAGTGCAATCCATCAATAAAGAGAGAACTATGAATTCATCTTCAAAACACTCAAATGACCATTTCTGCGTAATTCTTTGCTATATTAGTCCATAGAATACTTGTAGTTAGTTATTCATCATTTCGTAACTTTTTAGCGTCGAAAATAACTACGTAAACAGAAAATTTGCGATTGCTTGAATTTGTTGGTTCTGTATTTTTTGCGACCAATACAATAAAAGTAAATAAAACAAATTTCGCAATACATTCTTCGCTATATAATCTAACGCAAGAATATCATTTCTACAAGAAATTATATTTTTTTCAAACATTTGTTTCCAATTATGTTTCACAAGCGTAACCCATGGTGGGTATCAACACAATCATACTTTGCTGAAAGGAATTCTTTCCAAAGGCGTAAGCATGTACGTTTCAGTAAAATGTTCAAACCTAAAGAACGGCTTATTAGGTTTCCATCTTTTTCTTTATTAGGTGGTAATCGTAGAGATCCACTGAATCTAAATGAACTTATACGGCAAAGAAATCAATTAACAATCAACGATGAGAATACCCGAATGAATGTTCATGGCGATGATCAACCGATTGAAATTTTACTTCCACCAGATATATATGATCCGCTTTGTCTTGATATTTCTTTACAGAATACTGAAAATTCTATTTCAGTTACTAGTGACAATCAGCATTCATCAATACAAAAAACGCAAACAAATTTTCAAACAAGAAAACCCAATTGGCTTATCGATCAACAAGTGCCTGAAACAAAAATAACGCAATTCAAAAAACAATATAGACTTTTTTCTTGTAATAAATTTGCTTTTGCAAATTAAGATTCACAGATATATCTATAGATTTATGTTTAAGGTGTCATACTGATCAGGTGACATTCACAATAGATGTGTATTAATTAAATAATACAATCTTTTCTTTTATAACTTTATTTATATCTCTATCTATATACATATATATGTATTTAGGAATACAACTTTATCTGGTATCTACAAGGAAGTGCTTATTGCATCAGTTGTCATTATATTACGAAAAATGCCTTAAGGTTTCAATGTTAACAGCCTTGCATTATTCATTCTTCTATTGTAGGACAAAGAGAAAGCCATTGAAGAAATGTTTCGAGTTGAACAAAGACAACGATTGTTGCCGATAATATGATAAAATGAATGCATTTAGCTGAAATAAGACGATAATTTAATTTTGATAATAGTGTTTAAAAAAAACAAAAATGCTATTACTATCAATATTATATCCTCTCGGAAAAATATCGACTTGCAGGCAGGTACATTCAAATCGCGCGAGATATATCAGCACTATAACGTGAGAATTTTTCAATATACTTCTAAAAGAGAAGTCTGAGTTCGTTCAGCTGGAAATGCAAAAAAGTCTCCATGGAACCTTATTGTAAATGTAATCGGTTTTTACTCGAGAGAGAGAGAGAGGAAACATCGGAACTGTAGCTAGTCATTAAGTTTATTTTATTTTTTTGGTTAGATTCCTATTGGCTATACAAATAAAACGGATGACATGCTCAATCAGTAAGGAAAAAATGTCGCAAAATGATCATCGATTTATAACAAGAAAAGCTTGATTTAAAAACTAGGCTTTGCGAATAACTGTAAATTGACATATTTGTTCGCAGTTCGAACAAAAGAAAACTAATCAGCTACAAAGATGTTCCTTTGGGAATCGTAGAACATGCGCCGAGAAAAGTACTAAATTACAGAGAGAAACGAAAATGTTTTCCAGTTTTTGCTCAAAAACAAATATTAATCATTATAAGCAAATTGACGGCAATGATCTAAAAATTTTTTAAAACGAAGACATGTATATTGTCAAAAATGGATCATAGTGTATTTTAACTATTCATCCCTTAAGCTATTATTTCGTGTGTATCTACGTTTCTATTAATACAACGGAAAAGGACTTTTTTCTTTTAGGAGTTGGTAGGTACTCTTTTCAAATGTCGTATTTTTGTCAATGACATAAAATCGACTAATTAATTTAACAGTTGATTAATATTATTACCATTGTTCTCTCGTTAATTCACTCATTTGATCTGCACCTGATCTGTTTTTTAAACAATAGATGGAAACTAATACTCTTCTGGGAAATTTTCCAGTGCAAAATTTACGACTCTTCTGATAATATATGGATTTCTTCCGTAGGAATTAAAGCGTTCGGATGTGTTTGTCCTTTCACAAAAGTTAATTCAGTGAAAATCAAAGCTTAATGATGTGTCAACTAAACGGAAAAAACTTTTGAAAAACAAAAAAGAAACAATTTTAATCACGTTCATATTTGATTTTTAATAATCGCTTTGAATTTTATTATTATATATTATTATATAGAGAAGAAAAATGGATGATGTCAAATGAATATATTATTCCTCTGATCGTTTAAAGCTGTTTGCCCAATCACTGTAAGCAGGATCGAATAGACTACGCTTTTCGAAATAATTTGACCAGGAATCGGCATATGCAGGATCGTAAAGACTTCGACGATTAATAATTTGTTCGAGGGCACGAAGTCTTGCAGCACTCATATCTTGTTCATTATCAAGATTCTTTTCATTGATTTCATTGCCAATTTCATTCTATACGAAAACAAAATCAATGCATCAGTGCTGAATAAATCCTGTTTTCCTCTTAAATAATCACTTACTATTCGAAAACCGTGCATGCTGCAAATTAAAAGAATAATAAGAAAAAAAAATGCTGTCAGTTTTCGGTGAAATGAATACATGATTGCTACTTTTTAATAGTTCTGATTAGTGGTCGCACGAACAATGCTGTCAGCGAGAATGTCTAAACGAGAGAAAGAAATAGATATAACAAGAAGACAACGCCCAATTTTCTTTTGTTTTCCAGAGCGACAGAAATGTTCTTTTGTTTTCCAGAGCGACAGAAATGTTCTTCTTAAAGCTACTTACTCTCTCTTTATTCTATTATCTATTATGATTTAACTTGTAAGAAAGCAAGAGCACAGAACATAAAAAAAAAGAAATTTTCTGTAGTCTTTTTTACTGACAAGTAATTGGCTTTCAACAAGATGCTACTAAGTTGTCACTCTGCTCGTTTATTTAATGAAAGACTCTTCTCGAACTGGTCATTGTTATTTATAATTTTTACTTAACAATAAGAAATTTATTTTATATACATCTATTTATACTCTTTCTTTTTTTTTGAAATGCTACAGTTACGCTCACGACATAAACTATAACTGAATATGTCTACAGAAAGCTTTCATAATGAGGATTTTAATTGCTATTGCTCGATTTTATATAATATTATATATGACAAACACTTCAATTAACCTCTAGAAACAAAGTTAATGTTTATGCCATGCAAAAGAAAAATAATACCCTTTCTTTTTCTTTCTCGTTTTCTCCTACCTCTCTCTCTCTCTCCCCCGAAAGCAGCAATGCCATACATGCTATTTCTTTGTGTTCTAACTTGAGCGATCAATGTGTTCATACATACTATTAAACACTTGAATATTAATCACATTTTAGTTCTAAGTTATTTTGATATTTCAATAAATAAAGTCTATCCCTGTGTATGATTAACTTGAAATGCTTAATCTAATCCTAAATATGTTAAACCAATAATAGATCACGCCGTAACACAAAAACAATTATTGATACTTCATTTCGATTGCTACTCAAGAGACTAAAGTTGGTTGCAACCCAAACAATCGATCAATCAATCAACAACAATCAAAAGTTGATTTTTTTTTACAACTTGGTCAATCAAGAAACTATTTGGTTTTTAACTTATTTTACTCATGAGAACGCCAGTCAGATTCATCATGATAATGGATGTTCTTAGTTGTCAAAACATTTTAAGCGTGTAAGCGAGTAATCATGAAATTGTCTTAAAATATTAGCGAACCGACTCATGCTTTAATGCATCATGAATTCTTCTGTTACATCGAGGAAACATTCCATAAAATATTTTTAAACGCAAGCCAAGACCTTGAATAGAAGCAAAGTTTATATTTCAAGAAATTTTCTTTGAGTTCTTCTTTGGTCAGTATTGAAGTTTGATCGTAGTGCGTTATCTAGCATTGAATAGAAGTGCAAAATTTCAATTATGTTGCTAAAAACATTTATGGATTGAATGCATTAATCATTTAAAAACAAAGATAATCTAGATAATTGCATACTAAATGATCTTTCTCTTCTCTTGAAACGATCTGAAAATTAACATAAACTATTACAACTTATAAAATTCTTGTATTTTACCGGCTTTTTATTAGCTGACCAAATAAATGTACTTCAAAGAAGTTTATTTTTATAAATATAGACATCAAAAATACAAAACTGTTTCTGCCATACTAGAGTAAATTCAATTATGTTCGGATATAGTTATCTATGTTCACTTTGCCATTTCCGAATGGTTTAAAATTAAATGTTTTAAAAACTTCAGAAAAGTAATTTTCAATAACAGTGAAAACTGTTCGAAGAATTTATGATTCATCTATTGATTGATTCATGAATGAATGAATGAATGAATGTTAGTTACTCATGAAAATAGATAGTTTTGACTCTACCATTCTAGAATCACTATGTAATAGATCGTGTCTCTAGTTAAAGCATTAATATTAGATTATGAACTCGCAATGGGCTCAAAAGACTCGCGTTTTCTAGAAGAACTAGGTTCAAAAGGATCATAAGTACTGTTAATCGCTATATGGAAATAATTTCGTTTCTTTTTTCACCAATCGAAACAGAACGTCTCTCGTGATGTACATACTTGACTAAAGATGTCCACATATATTTTTCAGAGTTCGATTACTTATGATGATTGATTTTTGACTAAGATGAAAACTTTTGCTTACTAATGTTGATAATAGACATTTCAATGTATTATATAAATCAATATTTAACAAAAGCAATATATTTTTAATTGATTTGAATAAGCGAATGGTATTCTTTGTTTTTCTAGATTCTATGCCTCTATGAAAATCGTGACATGGCATGTACATATGTGATTCAAGGGTGTAGGATCAAATATAAACTAGATGGTGTTCAAGTTTCACTCGAATACGAATGCGATGCGCAGCTCGAATCAGATCTTCACGAAAAATCTTCAATTCAGAGAAATCTTGAATACGTTTTATGTCGATATGATGAAATTCATCACTGAGGAAACTCTATTCCAGAGATGGGCAAATCAAGTCATTTTTGACTTAAAACCAGTCAAGTCAAGTCATTTTTGACTTGACTTGACTTGACTTGGAATTTTCTTGGACTGAACTATGACTTGACTTGACTTGACTTGAAATTATCAAAAAATGACTTGACTTGACTTGAAAGTATGTTGANGAACTTCTGACATATTTTTTCTATTCTTATTTAACGATACATTCTTACGGGTCGATTTCGATTGATCGATTAATTATCTCCATGATTCATTATCTTAGATCAGCTGTAAATGAATAGACTATGGTGGCTATATCATGTGTTCGTGATGTCACTTTAATTATCTAGCAATACATTTCTTTCATTTTGGAAGCACATTTGTGAATGAACGGAATATCAGATTGAAGAATAGAAAAAATATGTCAGAAGTTCGATCTCGATACTTTCATCTGTCGTTTCAATGAGTTTTCTATGATTCTCGGCACTCGAGATCATCGGGTCACAAAATGATGAAAAAGATGCGCACGTTGAGAAAGCAAAAGAAAACTCGCGACGGACTACATAAATGCTATGCTTCGCATCGCATTAATAAATCAATATGTAAAGTTTTATTTTCTATTCGATTGATATATGACCCTGAGAAATCATTTCCAAATAATTGCGATGCTTTATTTTTGTTGAACAGAGTAATAGCCGATCTAATAAACGATAGATATTAAGAGCCATCGTCATACTGAACATAAAAATATGTACTGTTACGTCGAGTACATTCATCTTTCTTCGCTTATACAAGATTTGCATTTATTTAGAAACAATTTCCTAAATGTATTATCACGATTATCTCTACTCAGCGTTCATTGATTTACATATATAATAGAGATATGAAGCACTTCGAAATCGATCATTAAATATTTCATCAAATTAATGATACTATACGGAAATGATTTATACTTCTCTGTAATTCTCTTTCATACTTGTACTCATAAGTTAATTAACTTGCCTATTTTTCATATCCTTTTATCAGATACGATGAAAACTAGATGGTATTCGAGTTTCACTCGACTACGAAATGCGGTGCGAAGCACACGAGCGGAATATTCGAAAGTAGTGAGAATAAGATTTAAAAAATAAATGATCCACTTTAAGATTCATTAGAATCGATTATTTTGCTTTAAATTTCCGTATACGAATTTTGAATAAAATTTTCGCATTCACTATTCTTAAATCGACCATTTTGAAATTCAACACTAGGAAATCTCTCTGAAAATGTAACAACCAGTTGTCTAACAATTTTTTTCATTGAACGATTAATTATTTTAATGATTCACTATCTTAGATCAAATGCGAAGAAATAGACTATTGGCTACTATTACTTGATGACGTCATTTTAATTAGCGCGAAACTATAAAACAATAAAACGTTTCAAAATCATCATTGTCGAATGATATTTTTAGGCGAACGAAGCCTAGTATTGAAAATTGGAAAAAAGATGTAACAAGTTCCACCTCCATAGTTTTATATCTAGTTTGAATGGATTTTCTATCACTTGCGGTTCTCTAGATCATCGCGCTACTTAATAAGAACTTTTTATGCGTACTCAAGTTTGAAAGAAAGAAGAACTAGATGGTATTCGAGTTTCACTCGATTACGAAATGCGATGCGAAGCTCGAATCGGATCTTCACGAAAAATCTACAATTCAGAGAAATATTGAATACTTTTTTATGTCGACATGATGAAATTCATCACTGAGAAAACTCTATTCTTACGTAGCGATACATTCTTAAGGATCGATTTCGACTCATCGATTAATTATCTCCATGATTCATTATCTTAGATCAGCTGTAAATGAATAGACTATAGTTGCTAACATATGTTCATGACGTCACTTTAATTATCTTGCAACAAATCTCTTTCATTTTCGTCATTTTGGAAGCACATTTGTGAGTGAACGGAACTTCAGTTTAAAGATTCGAAAAGAGATGTAAGAGGTTCGATCTTGATTCTTCGATCTCACGTTTCAAGGAGTTTCCTACGATTAGTACATTTGTGAGTGAACGGAATTTCAGATTGATGATCCGAAAAAAGATGTTAGGAGTTCGATCTGAATACTTTCGTTTCACGTTTTAAAGACTTTTTTATGATTTTTCGTTCTCGAGATCATTGCGCCACAAAATGACAAAAAAGATGCGTACGCGTCAAGTAAAAAAGTAAAAAGAAAAAAAAACTCGCGACGGACCACATGAATGCTGTGCTTCGCATCGCATTAATAATATTGCACTCAGTGCCTACTATTCGTAAAATAATCTCAAAATTCAAATAAAATATTTTTCATACTTATTAGCCGCATAAATACTTACAACGAAAAATTTTCTTTCTTAAAAATTCAATAATTGATTTCATTTTCATTGTAGATTTATTTATGAAACTTTTATTTAATCAAACAACAAAAGAATTGATTGTATTACAAAAAAAAATAATTTTATATCGTTGTATTACAAAAAACAAATTAATCGTAAAAATGAAAGGCATAGAAAAACAGCTATAACAAACAAATTTTATCATTATCGAGGAGCTCGAGCATTTTCTATTTGTTTTGCTGCCACAGCTGATAAAGCATTGGCATTGACATCTATAAAAATAAATAGATCGGTTTTGTTTCATCGATGTAAAAACGAAATCTTTTACCTGATGATTCATTCATCTTAGCAAAATGCGTATTGCTACTTTCCATATATTGTTTCAAATAAATTTCTTCGTCAGCTGTTAATGTTTCACCAAGTTTTCTGAGCGCATCAAGAATTTCTTTTTTCTTTCGAGCACCTTCAGCACCGCTTAATTTACCAACTTTTGTATCTCGTTCAATCTGAAATATTGTTTTGAGAATAGAAATTTTTATGAAGAAAAAGAAACAACAGTAAATATTTACTTCAGCAAGGTGATTTCGTAATTGAACTGGCTCTTTTTTAGCAAAAAATCGCATGACTTCTGGCGTTTGAAAAGCTTGACTTATGGCACTTTTAATAGCCTATAATTAAGTACAAAGAAATAAAAACATTGACTCAACATATTTTCTATTTTACAAACATTTTGTATTCGTTGTACGTCATCAAGTAGCGATAAACCGCCTTCACCACTTTTCATTTTTTCTAATGATTTATTAAATTCTTCTAATTGATCAATTGTATCTTGTCGTGCTTCTTTATACTCATTTTCATCCATCTCATCTTTAAGTTGCTCTAAATCTGCTAGTTGATCAATCAATCGCTCCAGTTGAGCATCCAGATTCTTTCTTAATGTATCTGTTTTAGCTGACATCTTAAACAATATAGAAAGGTGGCATATTCAAATAGAAATTTCGAAGAAAAAAACCAAGGAATAAGTTGAACTTCTTATTCAATTCAACACTCCAAAAAACAAAACAGAAATACAATTAGGACTGCGTAAATACTGTTGAGAATTGGTTTTTATGTTGTCAAACATCGTGGAATTTCGATCTAGAATATAAAATTAAGACTTCATATTATCACAAAAAAAGTAAGTACAGATGTAGTTAAAGGATGCGCCAAAAAAAGAGGAAGGCCTAATCATCTGCTGCTCAGTAAGTGTGTGATAGATTGTAAGGAAAAAATAACTGACAGCTAAATATTTTCATGAAGTGCAATCAGAAAGTATTCTTTTTTGCATGAATAAATTCAATAGGAATCAGATCATTAACAAAAAACGAGACATTATGACAGCAGAGTAAAACAGCTTAGTTGGATGTTCGAATGTTTCGACAACGATTGAGTGTGAGTCAAAGTTCAGATTGAAATTCTCTCATTTGATTATCACACTTTATTTGCTACCATAAATACGGTATATCTACTCTCAATAGATTTGATTTGTACGGAAAATATTAGCACTAATTTTTCAATCACTAGAGATGTGTCTCTTCTCTATTGAGAATGATATTTCATGTTGATTTCTAATTTTTGCAAATTCAATAAAAGATATAACGAAATTCTATTTCATATAATATAGAAATCTATTAGTAAACATGATCAGAATTACAAAAAGTATCATGCTAAGATAGAATGAATTTTACTACTAAATTATGATTGGAGATAAATTCATGTAGATTCATTTTAAAGAAAATAAGTTTCCATCGATCCACTCTATCAATCAGTCTTACCGTAGATGAATGAATGCCATGGTTCGGTGTGATTGAACAGTGAACCATTATGACTAGACTATCGTACAAAAGGGCGGTGGCGAGATGCTGATCTAAAAACCCAATAACATATAATTTTTATATTTTATTTGCTTTGTGTTTCCTAAATATAAATAATAAAATTTTCAAAACAGAAAAAAAACAAAGACTAATGAAGTCGAAATCGAATTTGCGATAAAAATAAAAAGAGCAACAGTAGACCGACAACAATCAAAAATGAAAAAGAGAAAATATTTGCTTGTGGCGGATGTACATTATGTACATAGAGATTTTTATCCGCACTGATACTTAGAACGCTGGTTTTATATAAATAATTTTCTTCACGTAACACAAACGCCAGATCTGTGACAAATATTGAATGTGCTCGATGTTCGTATAATAATTTCAAGCGATCAGTTTCATATATTCGCACAAAACCACCTGAGTCTCCAACAGATAAATATTGACCACAATTACTAACAGCTATAGCTGATATACGATCATAGGAAATCATACGGCGCTGTCGAACAATAAATTCGCGTTGTTTGTTTTCTGTCCATTGAATAATACAACTTGCAGATTTATCTACTACAGCTTGAGGTATAAGACTTGTATATAGGAAAAACGCTGCATTCGACGACGATGATGACGGCACCACGCCAAAACGAACATGTCGAATACGATAGAGTGGTTTAGATGTTTTTGAGGTTTTCGATATTTTTGTCATGCCAAATTGACTTAAATCAAGTTCACTATGTTTATCAAATGTTGGTGAACATTGACGTATTTGAACATGATAATCACGCGATACACTAATAAGCCAAGTTCCAAACGGATCCACAGCTAAATCATCAATTTCTTTCTCGTGTGCTTTAAAGGATGCTAATAATTTTAATTGTATTAAACGATCTGCTGATGATACAGCTGGCCAAATTATTTCATAAATTGCTAAAGAACCGTCACTTGCACCTAAAAATAAAAAAGCTCTTACAGTTAGACGAGTTTTTTAGATGTATGTTAAATTCATATTCTGGCCCTTCAGAATCCAATGTTTCACTTTCTTTATAGTCAAAATTTCTCCTACAATTTTAAATACGAGAAAGTTTCACTGTTTATCAAAATAAAGTCAAAAAATCAGTTCTATCATGACACGAGCTAAACTCATTTGATTACTATGTATTTTATTAGAAGAACTATCGAATGGAGCGCCAGGTTTTTTTCACTAAATCTTAAAAATCAAGCTAAAATGCTTTTTTAAGCTGGCTGAAAATGTCACCAATCTAACAAAAAGTCTTCTTGTTTTTTGAAGCAAAAGAAGAAGAAGACCAGCGCTTTTTACTATCAGACTATGAAGAGGGAAGGTTGCTTTTGTGAGACATTAAAACATCTCGATCAATAAGTCATGTATGCCTTCGATATTATTTACTCACCAACAAACAATTTCGATTGTGTAGCTGGACAAACGACAAGTGCATTGACATAATGCTGCTCGTGTATTGGCACTGTATAAATATTATTCAATATTGTTGATGCTGCCGACGCTAAACTAAACGAAGGTGTACGACTCGTTGGTGTCGCAGAAGTCATATTTTCATTTCCAATCGCGTCAACAGTTGCTTGTCCATTTCGATGAAGTACAACTGATGCGCGATGTTGCATATTTATTGGATCTGTTGTTGATGATGTCGATGAATTATGTCTTCGACGCACAAATCGCTGTACGGGAATAATGGGCACTGAATCTTGATGATGAGTGGGCGAAGGTGGTAAACCATTTGGTGCTAATCCAGCATCCATTTCTCGATGTGATGCTTTAAGCATAATAACTTTTAATTGACGGTTAAGTGCTAATATAAGATATTCATGTTGTTTACGTAATGAAACCATTCGCATAACACTATCGTGTTGTGTAAAGCTATTCACATTTTGAATTGAACATTTATTATTAGTTGGGTCTGATGATTGATTTAAATAAATCCATTTTAAATCCACCGCATTTGTAACGCCAGTTTTAGCTGTACCACCTCCACCTCCGATTGCAATCATACCCCAAGATTTTAATGGTTGAATACAATATGGTGGATAGGCCATTTCCTGAAGGAAATGTGAGGAAGTCAAAGCTGATGACATGATTTTATCTGTAAACGGAAAATTACTGAGTTTAATTTTTTATTGTTGCGATTTTGTTTTATCTTCTCGAATAAATTTTAAAAACAAAAGGGTTATGTCTAGATACATAGAGGTATAGAATATTACAGAAAGCACCAGCACCAATTTAAAACAACAGAAAAAAACAATCAAATTTCATTATTTTCCAGTATAATTAAAAAATGAATTGAAGACACTTGAGCTTATAGTTTTCAAATAGCCAATTGAACCGTTCATAGTAGAATGAGGATGTGGAATAGATATCGACGGCGATGAAGACATACGTTCATGAATAGATGGATCATCCGGTATATTGTAATCTATTTAGTTGGAAAAAAAAATATGCTTTCAAAAAAAAATTTTTGCTTTCGGTTGCTATTGTCATTTACCATGTGATATTGTTTCCCATTCATCACCAGTTAAAATATCCATGACATCTTTTTCAACATCATCAAACCAATAATCAGTAACATAAGCTCGACTTATTTCATTGACCTCCTCTTCCATCATATCAATATACGACTGTAAATACAACACTGGTTTTGGTCTAATTTAAATCGATAAATACGATAAATATAATAAAAAATAAAAAACTAACCGGCTACGATACTCTTTAAATGTAAGTAATTTCAATAGATTTTCCATTGTATATGTTACATGAGTATTTTCTATTGGTATATCTTGTGCTAAACAACTAGTAACTATATTTGCATTCAGTTTAGCAATGTCCGCACGAAGACGATCGGTTGTTAAATTATCCCCGTTGAATTCCCTTAAATAAATATTTTTTTTTTTTGATTTGAATTATTATTATTATTATAAAAAACTAATGCTTCTTACAATTGATGTAAACGAAATGGTAAGGCGATATGAAGATAAAATGCAATGACATTGATTAATTGACAAGCATGTGATAGAGCGGAAAGAGCTTCGTATAATTCATGTGTAAGTGTTGTTTGAAAAGAATCCATATCAGGAGATTTATTATTGACATCAAGTGTTGAAAGAACTGAAATTAAATTAAACAAAAAGAAAAACTTTAGTTTTTCAAATTACACAAGACCGTAGACAGTGTTCAATAGGTAGTTTGAGAAGATTTTCAACTGTCAAATCGGCTTTTGATTTTAAATTATGACTACACTACCGACCATGATGAATTTCGAAGAAAAAAATCTATTTCTTTTTAGCTTCTTGAACTATTATAAAAGCATAGAGTCGAAAAGAGAGATTGGATTATCAAGGTTCAAGTCAAAATCTGCTTACAAATGTCCACAACAGTCAAGTCCGGAGTCATTTATATTTTATCATAAACTTTCTATTGAAACAAAATACATACGTTTAGCAATTTGATAGTCTCCATTAGCAGGTAAACATGAATTAACAATTTGATATCTACCGCCTCCTGCAGCTAAAATATCATCATTTTCAGACCAATCATTATTATTATTTGCTTCGTCAGCAATGGGTTGTTGAGCACTTGATAGAGCTCTTAATGTTGATGCAAGATCTCTAAAAAAAAAAGAAAGACAAATAGATAAGCTTGAATTCATATTTTTTCAATATAGATTTTACTCTTCAATTGAGGATAGATGTTCGATAGGAAATATATATTTATATACTTCATTAAGACGTTGTCGACGAATTATATGTAATTTCTTTTCATGGTCTATTCGTTTACGATCCTTTTTTCCTATTTCTTCATTCGATGAAATTAGTACCATTTTTATGTCATCAACCTTTTTGCTAATAAATTTTATTCGTTGATTTTGTGTACCCATACGCTCGCGAATTTTATCATTGGCCTTCTGGCCTGTAAAATAGTATGAATTTAAAAAACTACTATTCGTTCAAGTAAGTCTTACCTTTTTTAATTTGTTCTCGTAATCTTTCTATAGATTTATTAACATGATTAAGACGATTTTTTCGTATTAGAATTTCTTCAGACTAAAAAAAAAACGATATAATCTATTACATATAATATTCAATATGAGATTGCGTCCCATGATACTAGCAGAAAAACTAAGTTTTATATATAGACTTAACACTGTGTAATAACAGCAGCTTGTGATAAAAATAATTTATTATGAAAATTTCTAGTCAAATTTTGAATATTCTTGTCTCTATTACGTATAAGCAAAGAATTCGAACATTTCAAGATAATAGAGCATTCATTCACTTTAAAGAATGAGTATGGGCTGTCATAATAATAATAATAACCGATAATTATATGTATGAAACATCATAAATCTATGTTTTAACAAGATCGATGTCGCTTTCTCAAAAATACGAATATAAAAAGTTCGCAGTGTTGCTAAATATTAAAATATACGCGTAAGATTTTTGCCAATCTCATCTAAACCATAATGATCTAGCAGAGCTGGGCAAGTCAGAGATTTTCCAAGTCACAAGTCAAGTCAAGTCACAAAAATAATTTTCAAGTCAAATCAAGTCAAGTCAAGTCAGGTCAAAAAATTTTTCACCCAAGTCAAGTCAAGTCTGATTTGACTTGACTTGACTTGACTTGACTTGGGGGCATTTTTGACTTGACTTGCCCAACTCTGTATAGCACTTATCGATTGTTACAGTGCCGCGTGCAGAACAGATAAGAAAGAAAAGAACACTAATTGTTACAAGATAAGTGTAATTGGATTCAAATTGTACTTATCTTGCAACAATTGATGTTCTTTTCTTTTGTTGTTCCATGCGCATTATATTTACACAGATAAATAAATTTTCTCTTTTATTGTTTCCTGGCCGTGGCGTATTCTCACTCAACATTAAAAAATCACACAATCGAAGATCACAAAATTTAAAATTTAAAACTCTGGAAAATTCATAGAAAACAGTAAATTCGTCCAAAAATAGAAAATTGTTTTTTTTTATTATGTCAAGCCAAGACTTGACTTGGCTGGTTTGACTTGACTTGATCTGACTTGGCTTGACTTGACTTAACTTGAAAAACTTTTTTCAAGTCAAGTCAAGTCAACTGCATAAAAAAATTCTCTCAAATCAAGTCAAGTCAAGTCAGACTTGACTTGACTTGACTTGGGGCATTTTTGACTTGACTTGTCCAGCTCTGTGATCTAGTGACCGTTTATATTTAAAAATACTTCATTAGTAGTTCTTTCACTTTAATATGAATTATATAGGTAGCATTTTGTTGTGATAGACAAGAAAAGCTGCTCATACTCAGAGGTTTCTTTCGAGCAATAAAATACTTTACCATTTGATGCAGTTGAAATACTGGTTCCACTTTAGTTTGATATCTAAAATTAAAAAGCAGAGGTTATCATCTCTCTCTCTCTCTCTCTCTCTCTTTATAAAAATCATAATAAACATACTCGGCTTGTAAATTCTTTTTTTCTATGTTAAACTTTTTTAAGAAAAACATTCGATCAGAACATCTAAAAACAAAACGAAATAATTCATTGAAAAGAAGTCGAATATAATATGATGAATTCTTACTGTAAATGAGGCGGTGAATTAATCGAATATTTATTAGAATACTGTTGAAATTCTTCAAAATCACTTGAATTTAACATATTCGCTAATGCTTGTCTTCGTTTATTTGAACAATTATCATGTTTCAACGGACAAAAACGACCTGTATTGACACATTTTGCACATGTCAATGTCGCATCGTCAACTATTTTTCGACATAAACAACATTTATATGATGATGATGTACTTAATTTTATATTGCCAAGTATACTCATTGAAACTGCTGCTAAATGATCATCAATATCATTGTCAATATTCGCACGGATATTTTCTTTGTAAGTTGATAGTAAAAACTGATTTGGTGCTACTGTTGTTGTCATTACATTTGGTTGAGCCGAATAAATGTCGGGTGAACTTTGATCATCATCAGTATCCATATTATTCATTAATTTTTTCTAATAGATCTAAAAAGATTAATAATATATTAAAATGAAAGCGCATATAAGAATATATTGATATAAAGGAATCAATATTGCTATGTCATTAAAAGAGGAAAAAGACCGATATCACGATGTGCACGAAAAGCAAAAATCAATTATGTAAAATTATATTATGTAATGATAAGAAACTTGTGTCAATATTATTTGGCCACAGTCATCATAGGAAAGCAATTGACTAGTTGAGTTATTGTAGCATTTTTCGCTCCATTATTTGAGACATTTGAGAAATATTCTTGTCGTTCTTCGGCAGTTCTTCGCCGACCAATTTGTTCACCCATACGAACAAGTGTTTCCATAGAATTGTCAGCATTATGTCGTAAATCATCATCCCATTTTATCATACCAGCTTTGAATACAACGACAATAGTACTACCACCGTAAGCAAAATAACCTAAAAATATAAATGTTAAATCATTATTAATATGAACTTCTTTTTTCTTCTTCTTTTTAAACTTACCAAGTTCATCTCCTTTATTAATTTGTTGCTTTGGTTTAACAGTGAAATTGACAGATCCAACAAGTAGAGCACCAATAGCGACAAATACAGTTTTTTCAAACAGTTCACTCTCTATTGTAATTACTGTCCGTTGATTTCTCGTTAGAACATCTAGATTTTCTTTGATTGCAATGGGATTGACAGTATAATACGTTCCAGTTATTTTTTTCATCTGAGTGCCAATTTTTCCATCAACCGGTGAATGAAATCGATGATAATCGACAGGTGCTAACCGAAATATTGCTATCGAACCACCATTAAATTCTTCGGCTAATTTTTCATCATGAAATAAATTTTTAAGAGAAAAATGATGGCCTTTGATCCAAAGACGTGTAGCGTCATTTACATTATCAAATATAATTAAACGGCAATCAGCAGCTGAAACAACTACATTTGGGTTCTTGCTGTCGGCTATTTTTCTAGCGCTTGGGTTTAATTTTCGATAGAAAAATTCATTGAATGTTGCATAATCAGATATATTTGTTTGTAGTAATTCATTCATGTTGATTTGATACATTTTAACAAATGATGGTATATGTTTACGAGATTTTGGATCGTCAAATGCTTTACCTAAACGATTTGTTTCGCGACCAAAAAAGTTTTTTACTGCATTTGTATGCAATAATTCGCGTTGAATAGGTCCACTAAATAATAAACGCATACCATATCTATGATATGTTGGCATTTTTTCATAGGTTAAAATATTTGTACGACGGTCAAGAACTTTGAAAGCGTATTTGACTCCTTCTTTACCTTGGAAACTAAAAAATTGTCGCGGTAAATCTTGTTCAGGTTGTTGTTTCAGCAAATCTTGTGATGGTACTATGGAGCGGAGGAGATGAGTATACCAGTCTTGTGGAATATATGTATGTTCGAAAATATTTCCATCTGCTTCTAAATCATCTGAACATGTAAGATCGATCATATCAGAAAAGGCTGCTTCAACTTGACGAATTTCTTCATCATCAATCGGTGGAAGTTCTGATGCATTGTCTAAGTACGGTGATGAATCCTCATCATCATTATTGACCCAAGATAAATCAAAATCAGCCTGATTCATTGCACGTGGAACGTTTGATTATACTCTGAAATAAAATACAATAAAAGTTTTCTTTAACATATATATGTAAAACTAAGAAATTAAATAAAAAATATGAAATAAAATGGGTTTATTTCTTCCGCCTACATATCTTCACTAGAGTCATCTTCATGTGTTGAGTATATGACGAAAGGAAAATTTACTTTTTCTCTTTTCCTGAGTCTATAGAAATAAAAGAAAAAGAGTTAAATTTCATAATCTTTGAGATTTCTTTTTTTTTTGAAAAAAAGTCACGTTTTACAATAAATAGATCAATTCTGTTGTGTTTGCACAGGATACAACGTGTGCGTAATGAAAAGACGAAAAAGAACACAAGAAAGCATCAAGAAAGTAAAAAACAAACACTAACAACAGAAAAGAAAAGTATATCTTTTTTCATTTTTTTTTCTTTAAACAAAAAGACGAAAAACACATCTGTGATAATAATAGTAATAAGACAAAAAGGAAAAAAAAAGGAGAGATGAGTCAATAAACAACTGAACTGGCGTAACTACACATAAACATAAGTTTTGAATCGCATATTCGCATCATTTAACAATCCGAGAGATCAATTTAAAAGACAAAAACAAAAAAAAATACAAAGGACCGGATCGGAATTTAAAAAAAGAAAAAACTTAGAACTCATTCAAGGAGAACTTGAGCGATGTGTTGCTAGAAACATTATCATTCTGATAAACGAAACAAAATAATATGAGAAAAAAGCAGCAGCACCTCTGTAGGAAAGTTAGACTGATTTCCATATTTATATACTATCGTAATATTCAAGAATAAAGAAAACAAGGAGAAGAAAACCTCAAGACAAAATTTTTAGTGAATAAGTGCTTGTTCAGGTGGCGTTGGACATCTCAAGGAATTTGATGAAGATGATGATACAAGAGCTGCTGTTGTGTTCGTTAATTCTGCACATAAATCATGAAAAAATTGTTCAGTTTCTTCAAGTGTTGTCGTTTCTGATAGATGGCTATGGCTAGTATTATTATGATTCGCATTTTCATTTAAAATTAAATTTTCTGTTGAAATTTTTTGTCGTCGCTCAGCGCCAATTGCACGTTTCAATAGTAATGTTACATCGGTATCTTGTTCAATATCCATTGTGTCACACGTTGCATCATTTTCTTCATTATTACTTACAACGGTTACTATATCAGAATCAATATCCATATCTATTTCATTAGCATCACAATTTTCATTTAAATCAAGTAACCATGAACTGTTATTTGAATCATCATTTGCTAATAATTGCTGTTCAGAATTTATTACAGTTGATACTGGTTCATTTTCAATTTTTTTCAAAAAACGCCATACTAGTAAACGATTTCTCAACGAAGCTTCGATAGGACGCTGACGTTGACTTATTGTTGAACGTTGTAGCTAGAAACAAAATTTTTCAAATGTTAGTCTTGTTTTGTTTTTTTATTCCTTTATTTTATTTTTTAATTTGACACACACCTTTTCGTAAGACAATAAAATATACAATTGTGATAAATCAGTTGGGTTAGTCATTGTCGCTTGGCAAATAAGTATCTGTAAGAAATATTATGCAAAACTGACAGGCTTTGTTTGCAATGGCTTAAATAACAGATACAAAATAGTTAGGAAGTATAAGTAAAGACAAGGCGTAGGTGGAAGGAAATGTCGCTTTTTTATTATTGATGAATCATCAGTCACATAGGCATAGGCACACGACTTGCCTGTCTTAACGCAGAAAGAAAGAGATTTGATGGAGAAATAATAAATAGATAAACAAAACAAAAGAATGATTCTATATAACCAAATTGTTAGTTTTATATTTATTATTTGGTAAAAAATACAAATTTCAGATGTTTTTTGAAAAAATCAATACTATATAATGCTTTTATGCACTTTGTGAGTGTTTGGTTGCCATGGAAATATATTGTAGTGTATGTTTGAAATGACAGTGAAGCCGTTGTCAAAAACATTGAACACTTATTAAGGTATAGTAGAATTTTCAGTTGCATACAAAAGTATTTTAAACTCACTGAAATTGATTTCTTATTGAAAAAATAGAATTCTATCAAACATTATTGGGTTGTTATCTGTATTCATAATTTTAATCAATATAACTCTACGAGATTGACTTTCCTTCTATATTCATCGATAAAATTAGAGTCACAATATTTTTCCTGCTTAACATGCGTTGGCAACAGAAGCACATAGCGTGAGTACGCGTAAACTTATCCTAGCTTCACACTTCATATTCAACTATAGTGTCAGGAGATTGAGCCAAGGGTTGGAAAATGAGCTCCTGGGATCCAGGTGTTTTTTGTCGAATTTGAACAACGCATCTAGATACTCGTAAAAAGATCCATATGCTTCTGTTTTGTACTGGCCAATCATAAAATTCTCCTATCGACAATGTCTTGAAGTAATAGACGTATAGCTTATTACTAAGGTTACCTAGTGCTTAAACATATTTTCGTGAGCGTTCGATGCTTAACATAATTATCTAATCTTGTTATTCTTATGGGAATTCTTTTCTTTAATTTTTTACTGACTAAAGAAATCAATCAATCTACGTTGTGTTTAAAAGAATTCTCTTATGAATCGATTTAAATTATACTGTAAGAAACAGCTTTATCGTTGTTATTTTTTGTTTTGATAGAATTATATCACTTAAACGACAAGATGACGACCATGGCATATCCAGATGTGACACACAAAAAACCTGTGAATGGAAAATTTAAGTAAAAGAAATGTCCAATTTCTTGCACGTCACATGTAATTATTCTATTGTATAATCTAAATCTAGTCCAAACAGTTATCGCACTATTTCTGAAAATATCCCTGAAAATGATAATGTGCCAGCTTGGTATGCTCATGCTCGCCCACCACCCTACTATACGGAACCGAATCCAAGCCAATTACCAGTTCAAGCATCAGAAGCACGTAATAATCCACATGCTGCACGTAAAGTTGACATGGTTTACACGAATACTGCCAATTTCAACGCTCCATCTGGCATAGTTAAAACTGATAATGTACAAAAAGAAGAATCCCGTTGGTGGGATTGGTCATCGCCAAAAGCAGAACCATACGGACCAGGAGTTAGAAATCAAGATGAATGGTCAAAGAAACGAGAAAGTTCATATCGAAATGCGTTTGCTACTACCAGCGATGCAGGTGCTGCATATGCTAAAAGAAATAGTCGATATTCAGCTAGTCCAAATCATATTCGTGCAGTAGGCATTGGTAATTTATTTTCTAAAAATGACAGAAAAATGAGAAAGAAAAATTCTACTTTTTTAATTTAGTGCCTATTACTGATTTGAAACCCGACGATTTTGGGTCAGTTAATCAAACACATGTGGAAAAAGTCTCATATGAACAACAATATGATAGTCGAAACGCAGCAAATTATCCTCTACGTGGAAAAGTATATTTGATAGTCGAAATCATTTTTTCTTATTTGTTTTTAATAATGCTTGTTTTTTTTGTTTGTATTTATTAGCGTCAAGGTTCATTCATAAATGAAGAAATGAAACCTTCTGCATATCCGATAGAACGAAGTCACCCCATTCCATCAGCTAAACCGGATCGGACAGCTTGTGTATGGGATTTATTTCATCCAAATGATGATCTTCGTGGAGAACTACCAAGCAATGCAACGAGATATCGGCGTCCATTACCACAAATCAAGCAAACTGAAAAATTCGATAACGTTTGGCAAAATGCTCCATATGCGTCTGATTATCAAGTTGATCAAGCACTTTATCAACGTGCAATGATGAAGCAAGCTGATACTGATTAATGGCATGGTCATTGATGTTTTTTTTTTGCTTTATTACATTTAGTCAGATATGAATTACCTCACTGAATGTGATAATTATTTTTTTTTTGTATTCATATTAAAAAAAAACAAGCTTATTTTCAAGATTTGAACTGAAATGCATTTTAATCATTAACATTGAATAGTTTTTTTTTGTCGTATACAATACATTATTCAATTAAAGAATTTCATTCTATTTACAATATCTTTAAATGAGAGTTTAGCTCTTAGAAATCTATGTTCCTCTAGTTCGGACGGGCTTCATTGAAGATGAATTATTACCAATTTGTTAGTACACCAGCGAAATGTGCATACTATTTTGACGCTAAGAGAATATATTGAAAGTTTGTTTCGTGAAATGGCAGTTTGACCACGAGTTGGTAGATATTTGGCGATTTCCAAATGAAATTCAAGTCATAGATATTAACATATTTCGATTGAGCTGAAATAGTCATTTTGGAATTGGGTTGTCCAACTCTGATAAGAGACAGTAAGTGCATATTGGATAGTAACGCGAAAAATTAGCTGATCGTATGAAAACCTTCATGAGTTTTGCTCCATCGAGTGTTCGTCATTCTAATGCTGACTTCAATAGACAAGAGAAGATAAAGATTTCATAGAATTGTAAGTTAAAGCATTCAAAATTGAATATATTCCTGTTGTAAATGTCGAATTATCATATTGATACAGATCGTCTATACGGTATCAGTGAATAAATTTCAAACATTACCTTGCGAATTTCATACCAAAGACAGGATCTTCTAAAATTGCAACTGACACTCGACAACATGGGATTGTATTGAATTTTTCAATAGCAAGACGAACCATGTGTCATATGAATGGATATTAAAAGTTTTCAGTGAACAAAAAATGTCCACCCGCAGTTAACAACGCCTAATAATACTGAGAACTTTCATAGCGACCTCAGCCTCGATCAAAAGCTTTCGAAGGGAGAGTCAGATCGTGATAAAATTTTTCTCACAGTTCAATCTCATGAATATCTCGGTCGAGCTCGAAGATGAGAAGGATCCCTCAAGAAATGGTTGAGCTATCGAAAAAATTGTCATTTTTGACCAGACCATCCCTGAGGAAGGGGTACAGGGATTTTTTTTCAAAAAATAAACTTTTCTCAGAATTATCCACAACATATATAAATCGACTCAGTTTTTAACGCTGATTCCGAATATGATATTAGTTTTGAACTAAATCGTAGCTTTCTAACGAAACATCGCCTAAAAAACGTCTCAAAATGCACAAAAACTACATCCAGAAATCAAATTGCCTAGTTTCTCATGATAATTTTGGTGTTCAGACATTCTAGAATGGCTCAAATGTCCCATGCACTTTTTCCAGTACACATAACTCTCGGATGAAATCCGAAGTTTCCACATTTTTTCTCCGATAATGACATCAGTCAATAAAAATAGGGCGAAAGAGCTCGCAAGGAATTTCAACCTTAACATATTATTTCTTCACTGTTTATGAACTTCTTTTTGGTTCCTTGCTCGTTGAGAATTCATGGTGGTCAAGCTATTCGATTATAATCGTTGAAAAATTTATGTTTGTGCTGTAACACTGTTTTCTAATTCTTTAATGAAACTTCAAATTCAATCGGATAAGTCTAAACTATTTTTTTTTCGGAAAAGATCTGAGAATAAGAAAATATACTAGATTGCCAGAGGTAGATTTATATTCTTCAAGATATTTCCATACAATTTAGCTTCGTAATTCAAAAAATAGTCTATACGTTGATCGGCCAATGTAAAATTTATAAAGAAAGAAAATTGCAATAATATTGAATGCACCTGTTCATCTAACTCATTCAATGCCTTGGGTTATTTTCCAGGCTATGGGAACCGGAGAAGATAGAATCAGACAAATTTTCTCTATTGGCAAAAGTTGAGCAGAACTAATAGAACACACGAGTACAAATGTAGATAACTAAAGAATACTAATTACATCTCTGCGACTATAAGATATATAGGAAGGTCAAATTTTAGTACAGATTCTATAAATATTATGGAATACTATTGAGAGAATAGATAAGAAAATAATCTCATTTGGAAGCGGTAAAAACTTATTAGATACTTTATAGAATAAATAAATATTGCTATTTCCAATGAAAAACTTGATTCATTAATCCAAAATATATTTAGTACAGTTTGAAACTTTCAGAACAACTGTACCGTTTCATATCCGATATAATAAACATATCTCATCAGATACCGATCGGCTATTCTACAATAATTCTATAGAGATAGTCCCAAAAAACAAAGAATATGAAATCGAATTGATTTTCATATATTTTCCATATTTTTATTTTCAAGTAATTTTTTCTATATTTCTTTATCACATTTTATTCAATTCTCATTTGAAACTGTAGCGAATACAAAAATAATTCTTTTGTTTTCTCTTTAATTTGTTGTATCGATTCGATAATTTGTTTTGAATATTTCAAATAAAGTTGTAACTATTTCACCCGTTATCACTTCGTTTGTATTAATCTTAAGTATGTATAAGACAAGTGAACCATCATGACTGAGATAATTTTCTATAAAATTTGCCACTATTCGATTATGTTCATTTAATGTAACTGAATTCAATGGAGCCGGCAGCTTTAGTTGTACTGTTGGTGATATTGGCTCTTCATCGGGTGTCGATACTGTGGTAGTTTCAAGAGAATTTGTTTCGTTCGGAATGGGAACCTCGACAGGCTCTTGCATACGTGATAACTGAGCTGAATCAAAGTTTTGTCTGGCTGAGCGATTAGCATATGAAGATGCAAGACTATGTTGACGACGGCTATTACGCATCGAACTATTGTAATGTGAACGTCCAAATGATTGGCGACGATTATGAGAAGAATGGTGCCGATGAACCATTGGTGGTTCTTCAAATGGATTTTCGGGGAAGTGATGAACGTTTACACGTTTCATTGATGATAAATAACGTATCAGATTTGATCTATAAAATTTCGGATAGAAAAACGATACGACCCAATAGAGAAAACCAAACAATGTAAATAATGCAGTGAAATAAAGCCAAAACCAAATAATTAAAAAGATTTTTTCATTGAATAAATTTATTGGTAAACTACATTGAACCGTGTAAGTGTGAATATTATCAGCCAAATTTCGAACAGCAAAATTACACCTGAATGAAAATAAATAACGATGTAGCTATAATAATCTAAAGTTGAAAATTGTGTCTGAAACAATCTTCGAATGCTCTGCAAAATCAATGATGAACGATGTGCATTCAAATAAGAGATGAATATCACTGGCATCAACAAATAGATATTTATCGTAGTCAAGACTTCCAATCAAAACTAAGAATCCTATTTAGTTTTTGTCTGATTAGTAGCAAATTGCATATTATTAATAATATCAATTAAAACAAAGTTTAAAAGAGATATGTAAAACGTGACTACTACTGAAATTCTTTTTGTAGCCAATGAGAATCAACTATATAATAGTTTTCTATACGTTATGCTTGGGTACAATTTTCATAGATTATGTTACCTATAGTTAGTGAAACGTTTCTAGATGCATAGTAGTTATCCTTATCTTATTAGAGATTTGAACCATTTTAGTAGAAAAATCAATCTAAGCATCCAGTAAGCCGAAACAGAGAATTCTCGAGTGATGATTATTTTACTAGAATTGTCTATTATTTATATGATGCTTCCGCAAAAAATCGAACTAACATCTTTAGATCTGAAACTTTACTTATAAATAATTGTTGTCACAAATACAATATTTTTTTTGTAAAATCAGCGGTAATTTATTCGGAATTAAAAATCGTTTTAGAAATTCAGAAATACTCTTTATAAATTATCCTATTTAAATAGTTTAGGAAAATGACCAGATATACAGGCGTTATACATATTCCCACTAAAAGATTTGACTATGAATAATTGAGATTCACATTTTAAAATTTTCTATATTTCCAAACTGGATAATTGCTCAAGAAAACTTTATCCTGTCGTACTTCTCGTTGTTTTTGAAAGGAAAGAATAAAAATATTCTCTCATTTTTATTTATCCGTGCCTATCGTGACAATCTATTAAAGATCAGAAATCTGCTTGATTAACTTACCATGTCACTCTCGGAAATCTTGGTGTTACTGTCCAATTTTCATTATTTCCTCTAAATAAATTACGTATTACAGCAAAACCATACATATGATAATCGTTTCCCAGAAATAAATTGAGCAAATATAACTGTCCCAAAGCATTGAGCAAGTAAAGGATTTTTATTATTAAAAAACACCACATTAAATGGTTGTTGCACATTGCAATATGATCATGTCGAATTAAAAATAGCAAAAAATTTGAAACTTTCAATGAATTCAATTGATCTAAATATTCTGAGCGCTTTTGTCGATGATATTCAAGTATTCGATCAATATAACGCGCTAGATATTGAACAGATGCTTGACGGAAATCTGATGTATACGTGTCAATGATACGAGCTTGTGTCACAAGCATACCTAAATCATAGCCACTTCGAATATTTAATGATGACCATACAAGAGCTGGAATATAAAAAAATATGGCTTGTATAATAAGAATAAATGGTACATATTGATAAAAATAAATAAATTCTTCAGTTTTTGGATCAGGATATTTCGGTAGTAAACGATCGAATGAAATAAAATAAGAATTTGATATCCAACATATATTATTTGTATATTCTACATGTGTACCCGTAAAATGAGCTGGACAAAAGCATGCAATCGGTTCACCAACATACTGTTTTGTTGATATAAGCATTGTAAATGTAATAAGAAGAATTACGGAATATCGACGTGATAGGCGATCATAAAAATCATCGTCACATGCGCCATCGTGTCCATGATGACCAACCTTAGCAGCAGCATCGAACAGAAATACTGCCATACTAGACGAAAACAGTATAGAAGAAGTCTTAGCTGTCTCTATCATTTCAGAAAAATTGAAACCCATGAATAGACATAGTTCAAAATTGTTTTCTTTCAAAGTTTGACTCTCAGAACTTACTTTTACAAAAAAAAGAACTCTAATAATCAAAAGTTTGTCAAACATTCAATTTTCGATAGTCTTCATTCTAGTTAGTTTTGTTTTCTAGCGTTCTTTTATATAATAATTACAGTAGATAGGTTAGGCAATTGAAATTTGGTCAACATGAATCCTTGTTTTAATCTATACTTGGAATATTGACAAATAAATTACGATAGAGATTAAGTTTTGACAGTTTACAATCTTTTCCTTTTTTGTAATTCAGGTCAACGTAATTTCTCAAACATAGTTTACGAACAACAATCCGTCAGACTATCATTGCCGGTTTGTTGAGCTCTAGAGACACACTAGCATAATGTTACGCAGTTGTGCACTAGAATTCACACTCTAGTAGCATAGAGTCTCCGAGTACTTGTCTAGAATTAATCTACAGCAATCTTTAGTTTGTCCGGCAAACCAATTTTTTTCCAAAACAATCAAAATTTTTTTTTACATCTGTCAACCTTGAAATGTTATTGGTTAATTTGGCATTATTAAATGACGGATACCTTTTTTTGATCGTTTATTGATTGACATTAGGAAAGTTGTGTTATACTTAATTGATAATAATAAACCAATCGGTCTGTGACCTTTCGTTTGTCATCATCGAAAAATATGATGCGGATGGATTTAGTTTGTCCTTCCTGTTTGATTGCGGATAAATATAAATTTGATCTTATTAATCTATTTTTTTTAAGTGAATTCTTATATTTCTTTCTATTTAGAAAATGACATTTTTATGTTTTAGTCTTAATGTAAACCAGCTTACGACAGCGATGGATTTATATTATCAATCAACTTTACTTGTCATATATGAAAACTCGAGAAGTGGCTATCAATCAAATAGAAGACATTGTACTAAATATGAACAGATGTCTAGATCATTTGTTTTTTTAAAGGCTTTCAAGGGATTATCTTCCATATTTAATCAGGATAGTAATCAAATAAATTTTATATCAATTAGAAAATGACTTACTGTTCTAACGCTTCAAATATCCACCAGTGAAACATGATAATTGATTAAAATTAATGTATAATTAGGAGTAATTGTAGTTTTCTTCTCGAAGATAAACAATAAATAATAATGACAAATAGACGAGTAAAGGAAGAATCGTGGTTGAATATTAGCAAATGAACGAAGCAGGAAAACCAATAAAGTTTTTCTTCTTACAGGACAGGATATATTGCATGATATTCTATGTAAGCAATAGAGAAATTTTCTACTAACCTGACTTCCGTTGTCTATTAAAAATTTGCATTACTCTACGCGACTGTGTAGATCAATCTATATGATTTCTTTCTTCCTTTTTTTACTATTTTCTTTCTTTCATCCATTATCTATCAGTTTTTTTTTTCTCTAGAGATCTTTATGATTTGTCTCCAAGCATTTCTACATAATGTTTTCTTTTTGTCTAATAGAGAAATCTGAGTGTATACATGTGGATATAATAAGCGTGAAAAAGACAGATAGACCTTTATGTATGATGCAATTAGCCAAAAGAACAGCAAGCTTGATTAAAAGACGATTAATACAATGAAGAAAGAGAGAAAAGGAAAACCAATGCCTATCGTTAAATGTACTTGATGTTAATTATTCTTTGTTATAACACTACTGAGGAATTTAGTTTACCGTACCGGAAGAAATAGTGAAAATTTAGTAATATTTGAGAGTAAATCCCATGTTTGACATATTTGACAAGTCAGTTGCACAGCCGTATTTATGTTTAGCTGTATTTGAAGAAAAAAAACGGGAAATTGTTTGAATAGGAAAAATCGACCGAATAAAGTTTCTAGGAAAATCAATCATTATTTGATTATAGTTCTTTTCTACATTACGACTATAAATTTATTAACCAAAACTAATCGAATACGATGAGTATGCATATGCATCTTGACTTGTTCCTAGTATCCAGAAACTAACTTTCGATGACGCTCATAATGATTAGCCGACGCATAAGAGAATCATACTTATCATGCGTATGAGCAGTTCCTCATCTGCATTTTGCATGAAGAAAAAAAAAGAAGAAGACAACTCTATAAGAACAAATGAACAAACATATTGTTGATAAACCACTTGATGAGTATGTCGCATCATTACTATCGTGTCTAACCGATGGAAAGCGAGAAAGAAAAGAAAAAGAAAGCAAAAGAATCAAATTTATACCGGAAATCATCATCCTATTTTTTTCCTCTATTGTATTTGCACGAGAACGACTGAGTCATATTTCTTTTGTTTAAAAATGTTCATTTCATTGATTACACGAGTTGAAAAATGTCTACAAAGGTAAACCGTATCATAATATGTGGCGAACCCGATGCCATCGGAATAATCCATATGATTATGCAAGTCAATGAAATCAAGGTTATTCAAATTCTTTGAAATGAAAACAAACTGATTAGAAGGATTCAAAAGAGAAAAATATAATTATACGTATTTTCTTCAGGGGGAAAAAGAAATTTTCTTCTGTCTTACTTTTGATCATGGTAATAATGATAAATTTATGCAATATGACACTTGTTGAAATAAGTCACTCTGAAATAGACTTCGTAAGACAAGAAAAGAAGAAAAGATAAATAAAAGTTGTCTGTTTTTCTCATCTTAGAATTTTTAGTTTTTATGTATTAAAGAGGGAGGAAAAATAGTTCTTGCGTATAGAATTGATTCTGAAGATTATTCAAAACACTATGATTAAGCTAAATACAAGATTTGACTTGCACTTCTATAAGAGTAACCTTTAGAAGAAGAAATAAATTCGGAAACGTCGGATTTGCATCCGATTGTTATGTGTACTGCAAAAAATGAGTCGATTTATTTATGTTGTGAGTAATACTGAGAAAATATTTTTTTTTGAAAGCATCCCTGTACCCCCCCCCCTCATGGATGGTCTGGCCAAAAATGACAATTTTTTCGATAACTCCGCCATTTCTTGACGGATCCTTCTCATCTTCGAATTCGACTGAGATATTGATGAGATTATTCTGTGTACAAAATTTCATGACAATCGGATCAGCCTTTCAGGAGCTATCGTGTAACCGGCCGGACACACTGACCGATTCTATAGTGTACTCACTTTTGTTTTTTGAGTACACAAAAAAACTATATATTCTTAAGAGGGAGTATTTTCAAGTTTCAAAGATTATTACAGACAATAATCATTATACATTTTTCATTGATTCAGATAGATTGTAATCAAGGTATCTTTTTAATTAATCGCATCGTCACTTTGCTTGCGAGTGCCAATAGAATGACACGAAGAAAACCGAAGAGGAAAATACGATGAATGTTTTTCAAGAAACATCATCTAATAACAATAGTTTTCCTTTTCTGACTTACGAAATCATTCAAGAACTGTTAGTCAAAACGAGAAAATCACATCAACCTAATATTGAACTATCGGCTACATCTCTTCACTTTAGGTAGATCACAGCGAGACAAAGAAAATCCTTGAGAAATATTTTAGATTAGAGTTCTTCACTGTCGATAGATGTTTTTTAGATACTATCTACAATAACGTATAATTTTTCATCATGTAAACAAGTATACGTTAGCATTTATATAGCAACATATAAAATAATAGTCTGTTTGCTGTAGTAATTGTAAATTCATGTTTCTGTTATTACTCAGCATAAAAAGAAAGACTATAATCGTGTATGACTTTGTAGCTTGTGATATTACTCAGATAGAAAGATAAAAAGGCAAGAAAAGAACCAGCGATCATACTATTTGATCACGTATGCATCATGTCTATGTCAAAAAAAGAAATACTTGATACAGTATATTCCATATGTGCCAAGTATTTCTCTCTGACATCGGCATCATACACACGGGGATTGAAAACTGATGGTGATCATTCGGCTTTCTTTTTCTATCTGTTTTTATCTCATCGTTTTCTTTTCATTACAAGTTATCGAGTTCTATAAAACTATAATGAGATATTGTTCGTGTTAGTAGAATCATAAATTCATAATTACGGCAGTAAATAAGGTATTATTTGATTTGGCTGCATAAACGTTAACGTAGACTCATGTTGACGTCAAAAAAAGGAGCCCCATACACTTGAGAAATGAAAAAAGTTGTTGTTTTTTTTTCCTACGGCACTACTTAAACCATCCCGCGGAAGTTAAGAGCATAGAGCCATGAATGTTTCCAGATTTTTCTTAGTGTCAGCGAGATCCAATTAAAGCCGAAAGCTCGAAAATAATTACTTGTCTACCCGTGACAATCGTCTGCTGTTTTTAATGATATGTCAATAACCTTGGAAATAGAATTTCTAATCTGCAATAACAATTCTACTTCATTGTGTTTCTATTTGTATTAATGAATATGAATACAACTTTCTTTAGTAATCTTCATATTAAATTACTTTCTTATGATTTTTTATTCTTTGTAATTTATTTATTTATTAATAAGAAAACAAATATTCAATTTTCATACGGAAATGTATAATATTTATAGACATAGATCATATTGTTGATCATCTTATTTAATTTTAAAATCAATCTGGAGAATAATTTTTTTCAATTCTTTATAGAATTTAGTATTTCTGATTTTAAAACCTATGTACACATAAGTGATACATAGGAGAAAAGACTTGATGAGAATATGACTTAATCAGAATAATTCAGTAGTCACAATTGTTTTAGATAATAATCATAGTTGCATATGATCGACTGATGTGCTATCGACTTACTATATTTAATCTTCTCTACAGATACCTAAAAGATATACCTCGATTAAATGATATGAATTCATCATGTAACAGTGAATCTCACTAGGATCCAAGTGAAACCCATGTAGTCAATAATCGTTTACGTGAATAATAATTACACTTGAATGGCAGTTATTATCAACAAATTGGATTCGTCTTAACTAGAGCACATATGAAACAGAAGCGGCTTGATTGAATACTATATCATAAGTGTATGATGGAACTGAATGAGTTGTGCGTGGATTCTATTTCAGTGCTAGAAATAAATGATAACTCAACATGTCGACATATGTATAGATTTCGGTTTTTTTTCAAAACTTATTTTGCAATACAAAAAATTCGCACAAGCAATTATTTATTTATTTATTAAATTGTAGTAGAAAAATAAACAGACAGATAAAATTGAAATTCATAAATTTGAGATTATGTTAGATTCATTTGTTGAGTGAGGCAGCTAACATACCATACATAAGGCCTATTATAAATCCCGAACATAACATTATAACAAATATACATATGGTAATAATCACATCATTACGATGCCATGTAGTAGAACTGGAAAGAAAATGTAAAATAGAATTTTTTTGGAAAAGGACTAATAACATTTTCCGCGGATCTTTCTATATATTTCTATTTTCGTTGAGAAAAATTCATAGATAGCTGATAACTCATGTCAATGATATAACTAGAAGTACTCAATTAAAAACTGATTCATTCGAGAATACCATCAATTGAGAATTTGCAGTTTCTAAAAATAGATAGAAGAGAGAAAAAGAGGAAACGGTTGTACGTTACACTGGATGAAATTAGTGATTTATTCTGATCAACAAGAATTATTTTGAAAGCTAATTGCTTAAATACCTGTGTCATAGAATTATGCAATTTCTTTTATTTTTTTATGGGTGACAAAGAGGAATTACTCCTCATTGATAATGAACAATATCCGAGTATTCAGACGCTTGTGGTTACTGAGCGGAAAATTGAGCCACCTATTCAAGAAAATATATTCATCATGGTCAATACAGAAACATGAAAAAGTCATTTTTACTAATTATTGAAAGAAAGTATTGCTTTCAAATGTACCCCTATTGTCAATACAATTAGTTAATGAACTCCATTCAATTTTGAAATCTTATTCAATCAAAACTTTTTGACAATGAGCAGTTTCTACCGACTGAGATAAGCAATGATTTGTAGTACTTTTTATTAATAAGCACATCCATGTGTGTAATCTCACGAGCTCACAATACAATAAATATATATATTTATTTATATAGGATGCTAATTCAATTTTATACAGATCGGTAGTCCCTTATAATATGTATCTAATGATTTTATTGGAGGCGAAACATTTTGAGTAGATGTTAATCATGATTTATTTGATTTTGCGAAACAACAATTCATAAATTCGAACTACGCATAATAGAACTCCGTATTATCAATTTTGATAATTTCTACGAGTGATCTAAATTCGTTGGGAAGGTGTTGACTTACTTCTCTGTATTTTTCATAGTTTCAGTTGGCGATAAATCAATGAAAAAGAAACATAAGTGTACTAGCTATTGTTTAATTCAACTATACAACACACAGCAGGAAACATGACGGAGAGAAAAAATTGAAAAATGCATTACCTACCGGTTGTTATTAAAGTTGATGTTTTTCTTTGAGTAGAAGTAACAAAATGAAAGTTTTCAATAAGAAATCTTTTACGTCAATCCTTTATTTTATTTTGCTCTCGAGTTTTTGGTTTTTTTACGAACTAATTTTTCTTATTGGGGATCTGCCATCGGATCATTTTCTTTGCATATTTTTTAAAGATGAACTTTTCTTTTTCTTTGATTTTTCTACAAGAAAAAAAAATATTATGAATCCAATAAAGCTTCCGATAAAAACGTTACTTGATCTTTTCGTCAGCGGAACAGTTCTACGACAAGAAAAACAAATGATTGTCTAATGTTTAGGATAAAAAGAATAATAGATTATTGAATTCACTTACAGTGTAGATTTTTCATAATCATCTACTTTCAACATATCTATGTAAAAAAACGATATAGTCAATCATAGGAAAATTGTTTTATCCAATCTACGTTGGAATCAAGTTTTTCACTATACTTTTACATGAGCCTTCAAAAATAGAATAGGAGATTAGTTCATATTTTACCTTTTTTAGTACTTGATTGGGATAAAATATCGTCGCCATTAGATGAAAGTTTTTCATGAGGAAATGCAGCTATTGAACTTGATTTTAAGGATGACATGGTGTCGATATTTGATCGGTGTGATAGACCGAAATAAGAAGACAACGATTTCTTATCAGTGAACATTGAAGAAGCAGATGATGAACCGTAGTTGCTCAATAATGGTGCAATACCTATAGAATTCGATTTATTTTCAGCAAATCTAGCGAAGTAAATTTAAAAAAATATTTCGACTGAGCGAAGATCGATCAACAATTACTTTTGACCACGGAAAAGACAATCTAATATTTTTGCTTGAAGAATTCTGAAAAGTACTGATTTGCATGATAAATCCATAGGAGTAGCTTTGTTTGTCTGAAAATTCGAAATGTTTTGTTGTAAATCGTATTGTTTCCGACCGATGTGACGTAGTGAAGACTTCAAAACAAGGGAATCACTAAAACAATATACATTAACAATCAATTAGTGCGTTTTCGTTTTCATAATGATCATCTCACTCATCGAATGAAGATCGCACTATCGAATGATTAGCATGACGATATTTATTTATGCATGACTTGTTATAGTTTCTATTCTTGGTACAGCGACGACAACACGACCAACATTGATCTATCCAATTTGTACTTTGTAGTTTAATACTATTGTAACCTTTGTTGTTCAACAAATTCTCAAGTCCATATTTTAATCTATACAATTCTTGTTGACATACATTTCGTTCACATTCTATTGGAGCTATATCTGCATTTGTATTAATATTAGCGTCGTTTCGGTCGATGTGATAGTTATTGAAAAGTGTAGCAACCGTATTCATAACTTGAATTAGTGACAGCATACACCTGTATCAGTAACAATCGTCGATTCATGAGTATGTTGGTTAGAAAAAAGTCATAGGGAAAGAGATGCAAATAATATTAATGGCGCTCTATTCATTCTTTTGTTCTTCTATCAATGATTTCTTCGGAAATTTTATCTGGATTTAATGTTGATGGTGATTATAACAAAGCAATTTTTATAGAAAATAAAAGCAAACAAATGGATTCGAATCAACCTTTGAAAAGAATGAAAACTATTCACACGGATATTCATATGATAAAACGTTTAGCAGAAGAATTTTTCTTCAAATCACATTCGTTTAGTGATTTGGTGCTTGTTGTTCAAGGTATCTAAAGCAGAATAAAACGTTGAACATGTATCTATTACATATATCGATCAAATTATCCTTTAGATAAAGAATTATATGTTGATAGAAGCGTACTGGCAGCTGGGTCAAAAGTTTTTCAATCATACTTTCAAGACGCAAATATGGATTCAATCGAAATTCTTGATGTAACACCTGATGAAATGATTGAACTATTACAATTTTTATATCCACAGTTTCGACGTACCATTAATAATGATAATGTGACGATTTTACTCATTCTTGGTAGGAATATATAATTAAATTTAAAAATAATCGTTTTGAAACTCTTGTCAAGTGTCGAAATTCAAAGTTTCATTTACCCCTTCAGTTAGATGATAATACTTCCTCTTTTCAAATGCGTATAGTACACCATGCAATATGTAAAAGATACGATGAAATGGAATATAGCTGATAAAGTATCGAGGGGAAATAAGAATCACTGTAATTTTATACTTTTTAGAAACATAATGTGAGGACATCGATGAAGCTAGAGTAATATTAGATTTCTTTCGATTATTTTGGTTAGGAAATATCCACTTTAAGCAAACACTTTATTTTAATAAACGAATAGACACTGTTACTATATACAAGTATGATTTAGGGGAGTATGACAGAAACTGGCACAGCACTTGACTGTAATTGCCTACAAGGAATTTTTAAAATCAGCTGTTTTTTCCATGAAAATTTACAAAAGTATCTATTACGTTAATTGACATTTCATCAATTGAATTTTCATTAGTAAAAAAAAATATGGTAAAAACTTTTGAATTTAATAGATTTAAATGTAGATGGCGTACGCAGTGAAATCCTTTGGGCATTTTTGTATTATTGCGCTAAAATATGAAAATATATGGTTGAGAAAAAACGAACATTAAACAAATTGTATGCCTAGATAAACGAGGTCCCCATCTCTCTCTCGTAGTAGTAGTAGTAAACACTCCAGTTCATACCATTAGCTATAAACAAAACACTATTTTCTTTATGCTAGCTCATCGTTTTGAATTGAATTTTATTTCATCAGCATGTCGAACATTCATATTACTTTATTTATCGAAATTTGAGTATATCAATATGTATCCAAATGGTGGTGAATTTATTCAACAAGATGATGGTATACGTTTATCGATTTCATCGATTCTTGATATTTTATGCATTTGGTTTCGTGAATTTCTACTCGTCGGCGATAGAACTGCATGTGACGCTATCTTAAATAGACTAGCGAGATGTAATAGTTCAAGTATTCTTGCATCGAATGGTTTTATGGATTTAGAAGATAGAATGAAATGGAAAATTTTTCAAGCACGAACAAAATATTTAGAAAATCAAAGAATATCGGAATTCGAACAAAAATGAAAATTGTAATTTGTTTATGAATTTCAAATGTAATGTAAAAATGAAATATTAACTCTAGTGTTGAAACTATGAATCAAAGTTGAGATTATTAAATATAGTTGTTTACTGCGACATCAGAATTCAAAGTATACGTTGCGTTTTAGATTCTACATAATAACTACTCACAGTTTCTGATTGTACATTGTATTTTAACTCTTATTTATTTATCCCTGAGTAAAAGTTGAATCTTAATCACTCGTAACAGTCAAGTGGTTTAATAGTTTACTTACTCGACGAAAATCTTTCGTTTCTCTTTAGATAAATTTTATCTCGAAGAAACGAACGACTGTCCTACATCCTAATCACGTTTATGACTAAGTAAAGCCCAAAAAACAAATAGGTTTTTTTCTTCTTTTTATCAATAAAACTTGAGTTTATAGCAGTAAAACAAGAAATAGAAACAAAATGTGCTATTATATTTCGATGCAGAATCAAATAGCCTATTTCACTCTACCTTTATACTCTTAAAAATATAAATCTATGACATATTTGTACTGGCAAATCTGTTATTAAAAATGTAAAAGTTAGTTTTGATCGTTTGCAAATATGTTAATAGTCTCAATTTCTTTTCCTTTCTCATTTCCAAGTAATATTCAACGTTATATTATTAACTGATTAGTATTTCTTCGTTCTCTTCTTGTTATATAATAGATTGATTTGATAGAACGAAAATATTCAATAATTGATTTCCTATTCTTTAGCCTTGAAGAACAAGGTCTTAAAATTGAGTTTACAAAAAAAACATATAATCATATATTAAATTTGCTGTTATTTGCAACTGTCTAAGACAAGCATCGAATCATTTTTCTTTGGTAAAGATACATTTAATTTTTTACTACTATTTTTACTTTAACTTTGAATATAATAGGAGATGTTGAGCAGTTGAAATGCTTCGCATATCTATTTACATTCGTTCTTTTTTGTCTGACAAACATGACACTTTCCTGTTTCTTTTCTTTCTAGATAGCATAGCAAACAAATTTTCTTCAAAACACATGTGCCTATTTATCTTTTTCTATCAAACAATTGTTATTTTTTTTATCTTTATATTATTTTGCTTAGAAACTATTTCAGAAAAAAATGCTTGTTTATTGTTCAACAAACGAGAAAAAAAGAAAGAAAAAAAACGTAATGCGTCAACATTTATTTCTAATAATCGTTTGAAACAATTATACATATCTTGATTTAAATGAACGGAATTTCTAATGAGAGAAAAAACGAACACAAAAGAAAGAAATTAAGAACTTTGTACATAAAGAACAAACGTGCAACGGAGTGAATAGCCTTCAGATTTCTAAACGAGATGAGATACAAGAACATGTTCCAATAGAAAAAGACAAAAAATAAAATCAGAAATGTCACAAATATTTTTTTCGTGGTTGATTTTAAACACTTTGATATCCATTACGATAACGTCGACGACGAATAAGATATACAGCAAGTACAGCAACGACTAACACTGCGAGACATACACCAACAATGATTGGAATTAATGTTGAACTTTTAAATATATCCATTGTACAAACTTTTTCTATAAAATAAAAATACAACAAATATATTGAAAGGTTAACGTGATATTTTCTTAAAGAGAGAGAGAGAGATTAAGAATAAAAGATTTAACTATTAAATATACCTTTAGCATAATCATTAAATGTAATTTTTTCATCGACAAACGGTTGAATACGTAAATTCTCGATATCGACAGATTTGATTGTAACATTGCCTTTACTTTGGAAATTGTCAATTTTTATTTTTGAATAACATCGATATGAATTACTAAGATCCGTAATGAATAATGACTCGTTGGCTAAAAATACGGATGGACCTTCGATATTGTCAGAACAGTTTGGAAAATAATCGTTATTTTTAATAGTTAGAGAAACAGAAACTTGTTTTAATGATGTTTGATTTTTTTCGTTAAGATCGAAATTAAATGTGATTGATGTTAAATTATCTAGCATTCCAATTGTGAGTTGGTGACTATTAGTTTTTGAACAGTCTCCATTGTAATATTGAAACGTTTCATTATTCAATGGAATTCTTGAAATATTTGTTTTCTAAATACACAGAGAAAATTTTTTCTTGCAAAAGCACAGAATTAAATCTAATTTCATACTCCATCTAATTTTAAATATTCAATATTAAGCGTGAGATCAAATCGAGCAGCAAAACACAGCGTTGGAGATGCTATTGGTAATGTGTAATTACCAGGAGGGTTTACTGCCTAAAAATAAAATGAAGTCATAGATGAATTTTTTGTTTGTTTACAATCTTACATTTGTTGATGAAATGAGAATGATAGAAGCTAAAAATAAATTCATTAAGTATTGTTTTTCTATTTTACGTTTAAATCTTACTAGTAAGAAGAAAGACCGAAGAAATCGCTGAAACCATGTTTTAATGTGAAATATCTAGAAGAATCAAAGAATTAGTTGTATTGTGTATTATTTATCTGTCGATAGCCTTGATCCTGTGTGTGTGCGTATGTGAAGTACCGTCGACATCTATTTACTCACATTGATAATACGAAAGAGTAACGCATTTTGTTTTTTTTTGCTGTCTTATTTTTGTAAAGATGACTGAGTACGTATACGCATAAAAAGTAACTAACTAACTAAATGATGCTTTACCCTTGCAATGCTGTAAACTGATTTTCATAGGAAACAAAAAAAGAATGAGTCAGAGCGATACATTTAAGACACCATCTATTTTGTTTTTCCTTACAGAAGAGGAGAGAAAAGTTTGCCTATTTACAATTTTAGCATGCAGAACGCTTCAAAGGTTCAAATGAAAAAGAAAGAAAAAGAGAGAAATCGACAAAAGGGTTACAATGAAGAAAAAGAGGGCTAAGAGCATCGAAAAAAGTAAATATCGAAAAAAGCAAATGGCAAATGCACGAAAAAAAAGCTAACGAAAATCAACTAAAATGTGGAAAGAAAAAAAACACTTATCTATAATTATTATAAATTCTTGTAATCGCTAGTGTGATACCTTTTAGATTTCTAAAGAAAAAGAAACAATCAAAGTCGAAAGATGCTTCCACTCGTTTTTACTAACCACATCAGTATATGTTTTTTATTTATTTATGCATATGATGCGATATAGATAGATACTTTGTCAAAGAATTCTAACTATGGATGAAGGAAAAATCCTGTACTTCTCAAGAGAAGCGACATCACAATAAAAAGATATCCTTTGATTCCTTCATTCTTACTCTTTTATATGTCTCAGTTAATTATATCAATAATTTCGCAGGGAGGTTGCCAATCTTGAAGAGAACAACTTCATTGTAGAAATGAGTTATTCTGTTTTTCGCAATAAATGTCATCAAACATCAATCAGTCAGTCAGTCATACAGCCTGCTGATCGTTATGAGTCATATGACTTTTAACCAATCATAATATTGTTGTTTTGCAGGTTAGTAGATAGTAAATTTTCTGGAAAAATATTACTATGAAGTAGTTATGAGAACGATGCAAAACTAAAAAAAGTAATATTTACAGCAATATTAAATGAAATCTATTTATTTTTGCGACCATGTTTATTTTTTTGTACTGATGTGCCTCTATCCAAGAATAACAATTTCTTTCGTTCTAACCTCTTCTCATGTCACTTCTTCTTCCATCCACATATTTATTACACAGAGAGAACACGTCGACGATGGGTATTCTATAGAAGTCGGCGTATCGTCGTGGATTATTTTGGATGGTAGAATCAATCACTCTTTTTCTTCCCAGAGTGCTGACGGGGCATAGTTTTATTCGAATATTCTTATGTAGACTAGCAAGGTCGTCATATAAAATAAAGACGTTTTTCTTTTCATTTTCACTTTTCAGATAATTGTATTGATTTTGTTTTCATCGAATACAGACAGCAAAGATGTTTCCTGGATTTATACAAGCAGCAATTTTAGCTGTTGTAATTATTCTTACTCAAACAACAAAACATATCCGTTGTGAAGATGCATCAAATGCCGATGAAAGTCATGTTCTTGCTCTTACCAAAGATACATTTGATGATGTTGTAAAAACTAATAAACACGTACTAGTGAAATTCGTTGCTCCATGGTGCGGTCATTGTAAAGCTTTAACACCAGCCTATGCCGCTGCTGCTAAACAATTAGCTGAATCTGGTAGTGAAATTAAATTAGCTAGTGTTGATGCAACTATTGAACAAGATCTTGCACAAAAATTCGAAGTTAAAGGTTATCCAACAATCAAATTCTTTAGTGATGGTACCACATTTGAATACACTGGTGGACGTACACAAGATGATATTATTGCTTGGTTAAAAAAGAAAACTGGACCAGCAGCTGAAGAATTAAACAGTGTTGATGATCTTAACAAACTGAAACAAGCTGGCGATGTTGTTGTCATCGGTGCTTTTAAGGTAAGACACATTGTTTTATTTATTTTTTGTATTTATATATTTGTCTTTCGAATAGGATGCAGATGGTGATACTGCTGCATCCTTTCTGCAAGTTGCTAAAACTCTTGATGGCATGCCATTTGGTATTACATCAAATGCCGATGTTCTCAAAGAACTCGACGTTAAACAAGATACTATTGTTCTCTTCAAAAAAGTATTTATTTCATTTATTTTTGTTTGGTTATAATGCTTTTGCTTTTCTATCCTACCTATTTAGTTTGACGAAGGTCGCAATGATCTTACAACAATTGATGAAGGTTCGATTCGTCAATTTATTCAAGAAAATCAACTTCCAATTGTTGTTGATTTCAATGCTGAAACAGCACAAAAAATCTTCGGTGGTGATATTAAAGTACATGTACTTTTATTTGCCAGTAAAAAAAGTAGTGAATATGAAAAAATTCGTGAAGAATTCACATCTGCTGCTAAAAGCTACCGTGGAAAAGTAAAAAATTAATAACAAAAAAGATACTCTTGAAAAATATATAAAATTTTCTTTGTCACTTTAGACACTTTTTGTTTCCATTGATTCTGATGATGAAGAAAATGAACGTGTACTTGAATTCTTTGGTCTTAAAACGTCAGATGTTCCAGCTGTTCGTTTAATCACACTGAAAGATGAAATGAGCAAATTTAAACCCGAATCATCAGAAATCAAATCAGAAGTTCTAGTCGATTTCGTTAAAGCCTTCTTTGATGGAAAACTTAAACCACATTTACTCACACAAGATATTCCGGAAGATTGGGATAAAAATCCAGTTAAAATCTTAGTCGGTAAAAACTTTCATGAAGTTGTTCAAGACAAAAAGAAAACCGTACTTGTCACATTTATTGCTCCTTGGTAAGAATAGTTAATTATATACTAGGGGAAGAAAAAAGTTGAAATAAAATGATTCATTATAGGTGTGGTCATTGCAAACAATTAGCACCTATTTATGAACAATTAGGTGAAAAATATAAGGACAATGCCGATATTCTTATTGCTAAAATGGATGCTACTGCTAATGAACTTGAAGATGTCAAGGTTCAAAGTTTCCCAACAATAAAGTATTGATTTCTATTCAAAATAAAGATTTGTTAATAGATAAAAATATTTTTCTAGATTATTTCCAAAAGATTCTGACGAAGTTATTGATTATCAAGGAGAACGTACACTTGAAGGCCTTTCGAAATTTGTTGAATCGAATGGAAAAGAAGCTGGTAACATTCCCGAAGAAGTATGTTTCAAAGAAATAATTTTGATTTGAAAAAAAAAATAACAATAAATTTTCTTTTAGACGGCTGAACAAACCGAAGAAGCTGATGAGAATGCAGAAACAGAAACAGCTCACGAAGACCTCTAGACGTCTTACCAATCATCGTTTGAACATGAGAATGTTAACCACATAATGTTACAAAAAATAGTCTTTTTCTCATTTTTTTCTCTGTTGTTTTGTCTACTGATTCTTTTGTTCTTTACAACAATTACTCGTAGGAAGTCTAAAGCCAAAATCAAAAGATAAGAAAGAAAGCCCACATATATTCTATTGAAAATTTTCGTTTATTAACCATGTTTCTTTTTATGTTTTTAACTTGACTATTTATCATTATACAAAACAGGATAGGAAAGTATATAGTTATTGCAATCGTTTTACATCCATTATATATGTTTTGATGATTACCTAGTTTATTCTCCGGTTGCTGTGTTGTTGTTAACATTTTCTTCATCTTTATCTGTTTTGTTTTGTTTTGTTTTTTTATCCTTTAAATATGTTGCTATTACACATGCGCGTTTGTTTGCGCATGTGATAATAGTACTGATTGGGAATCTATATATATATATGTTAACTCATATCGAAAACGGCATCCATTGAAACAAATTTTATATTGAATCCTTTTTTTGCTATAACAAAACAAAGAATCACTTGAGAAAATATCCAATTGTATACTTAAGTATATGTATATGAAATTAAGATTTATGGGCATCGAATTTATACAATAAGTTCATTCGATTCTCTTTTAAATTTACTGGTAACTATTCAGACATGATGATTATTATGTACTATGCTAATTGTAACCTTGTATTATCTTCACGTTCGTGAATTCATTGTATAGCAACAAAAGAAACTGAATAAAATTTTTATACTGAAGTTCTCCTGACAGGCGAAAAACTACCTAAAATTTTGCACAAGGATGAGCAGTTTCAATACGTTGGACTCAGAGAGAGAAAAGCACTTTTTTGTCTTTGCACATAAAAAGTGTTTTTTTTTAAATACTTTTCTTATTTGCAATTATCTTTAAGCATTTATATTAATCTTTTTCTTGAGAAACTAAGCTCTATTTATTTTTGCTGTGCTATCGATAAGAGAGAGTAATCTATTTTAACCCTGAGGTATAATAATGCTTGAAATGTATTGAACATCCTTGATATAAATCATCGTACTTCAACAGTGCCTATACTCCAGGACTCCTCGTGAGATGGAGTAGTTCCATCCCATTTGGCGTGGAGCTCTGGTGTATTTATAAGCTTTTCAAATAGTACCTGATAAAACTCGATGATTCACAAGAGAGAACTACAAGAAAGATTATTCAAAAACAGTTAAAATCATAAGTTGACTGCAGTTCAAACGTCAATAATTCTACATGCCACGAATACAGAAAGATTAGAGCATACACAAATGAAGCTGCAATCGTTCGACATGTAATTTTCATCAGTGGCGAAGGCAGTACTAAGCTTTCAAATGAAAGATTTAACGCCGTAAGATTTTTTTACTAATACTAGAATATCCTCGTTTAAATAAAACAAAATCGACGTTGATCTTTCATCTAGCTGGCGTCATGATATAGAACACCAACGCGTATATTAAATAATTTTCAATTATTATACACTCATTCAATTATCTAGTCGAAATTGTTTGAGAAGTTCAAATGATTATATTTTTTGAACTAAAATTTAATTTTGTATCAGACATAATTTAATAAATAGTTTTCAAGGTTGGTATATGATAAAAATGATTCATTGGTAATCATCATTGATATTCTATGCCATTAAGTGAACTTGATTTATCTATGTACGTATTTTTGTATTTTCCTATCAGCTGAATTATTAAACGAAATTATTTCGAATGTAGCTTTTATTTCATCTAGCTATTTTAGCTAGTAACAAAACAACAAAAAAAGGGTTTAACACCAACGTTCAGGAAATGTGCGAACTTCTTTGATAATTCCAGTTCCTAATAATTTCCATTGATCTATTATTTTAACATAATCGATATTATCTTGATTAGATTTTTTATTTTTTGATGGTTTCCATAGTATACCAACTGCAAAACCACCGAAATCATCATGAAAGAATTCTGCTTGATCATTATACGATTTCTAAATGAAAAGAAATTGAAATATCAGAAAAATGATTTACATCTTATTTTTTTAAATATTTTACTCTTAATTCATCGACAAATAATTGAGCAGGATCATAATCAACAATGGATAATAGTTTTTTGTTGTTATCTATCGATTGATCATTATCGATTGATTTCTTTCTTGTTGTATATGTTATTTCCGTCATAACATGGTCAACAGCTTGATAAGCACGTGGACATTGGAGTGGATCTAGCATGATGATAACATGGTATGAATTGAGACTTGGTCGAAAAAGAAACTAAATACGATAGAAATTTCAAAATTAGTCTTGTTGTATTTGCTCACTACTTGAAACGAGATCAAAACGTATTTGACTTCATTCCTATATGGCAATTATCTACATTTTCTTGAAATCAAGTGGAAAAATGTGTATTGATATCTACCGTAATTTATCTATCATAAAATTGAGAGTGAGCAAATAATTATTAGCAAGTATTTCAAGGTTTCTTTCGGCATCAAACATATCACTCGAAATAAAATAAAATATTACTCACGTCGTATCTAACTTTTATTGTTATGCTTTTCTCATGCAAGTCATCGATAGTGTGTTGTTAACCTTGAATTCTAGGTTTTGTAGAATTTTTCGATTGAGTTGAAGATTTGAAGCAAAGGTTTTTTTAAAACTATTCGATAAACTAAGGGAAACTCGTATGACTGATTAATGAACTGTGACCACAAAAGAATGTATTTGTATGGCCTACTAATATTTCAGGCAGATTATTCGCTTTTATCACATACGTAGTTTCAATCAATAGTTGGTACACGTTGGACTTTGTAGGGATATATATTTTGTATTATATCATTCTATTGTGTACATCAAAATGAAACAGTTATTGGTAGATAGAAGATTATTACGATGATGATGATGATTAATGAGATAAACTTTAGTCTAATATGAAAATTCTTTGGAGGCAGATTGTCATCGAAAAATTCTAAAAATGTCGATCTTATTATTTTCTATCATCTCGTTTCGATACAAAGTCTGATAATGAATGAAATGTATCTACTCCGAAAATAAATCATTATTGCATCAATCGAATTGTCAGTTCAATCTAATTGATTATTATAAATTTCAATAGATATTTATATTTTTACCTTAATCGAATCACTATTATTTGTCTCGAGATAAGCCAATGCTTCTTTAGCTAAATGCATCAGACGTTTTAACACTGGTACATTTGGCTTTTGATTATCATGAAAGGCTACTGATGGCATTAAACATAGAGGTGGTAAATTCGAACGATCAGCTTTAAATTGTGTTTGCATTTCAAAAATTTGTTCGTCTACAAAAAGCAGAAAAATAAAACTTAGCTTTCAATTTCTTTTTGTTAAAATAAAACTATTACTTGTTAATTCATGATTAAAATTAATAATTAATGGTTCATTAATCCAATCGTAATCACGAAGAAGCCGTAGAACACGGCAAAAACCAGTTAACATTGATCTAAAAATTACAAAAATATGTATGTTCTGCTTGTAGAAACAAAAATCGAAAATCAATACTTTGGTGGCGCAAATGGTGCCGAATGAAGAAAAACATAGCAACAAAGAAGATCTGCATTGAGCGGATCAAAATGATGAAGAAGTAATTGTGCTGAAAGCCAACGCTTGAATAAACGCGCAACCAATTGATATTGAGCAAATTGTTGACTAACACTAAATAAAAATTTAAATTTTAGTTTGAAAATATTTTGCTTACACATGACCATCGCTCTTTTTACCCATAAATAGCTGCATTTATTTTTGGTAAATATTCTGTATTGTATCTTAATTGTTTCGATTGATTTGTTTGTTTTATTTTTCGTTCTAATCCATTTTTTTTACCAGATTCACTTTCAATCAAATAAATTTCCTTATGATATGTAACCATTAAACGATAAACGTAATTATTTTTCTCAACATAACAACAATCAGCTGTCGCTCGAGATGTATAATGAAATTTTTCTCTTAATAATTTTGATAGTTGAATATAATAGAGAATTTTAGAATGTTTTATACGATCAAGAGTTTCAAAGCCAATATCATTTGAACTATTCATTTCAAGTTGACATACGACTAACAACGATTGACTATATGGCGGAGCATAACGTGACGTTGAACGAGGTATCAATGCATATTTATCGTGTTCAATCGAACGAATTTTATGTAAATCTGTTTGAAACGATGCTGGTAATGGTGGAAATACATTTGTATAACGAAATGTTTCATCAACACCGATGATGTTATTAATTTTAAGTGGAAGTTCATTATTGAATGTTCGAATTTGTTTCGTTAATTCCATTAATTCACGAGAAAGAAACATTTGTTGTTCATCACCGGTCCCATACGATGGAAATAGACGAGCTGGAATCGATAATAATGTGGAAGGACATTGATCATTATAACTAAATTCAATATGAGTTGGTGATATTCCGGCTTGTCTAGAGAAAATAAATTACGAATTTTAATAAAATTTAAAAACAGCAATATAAAAGAATATTACATCTCCAAAAGATATCGTGCTACATCCATCCATATAAGTCGTTTATCTCTTAGACAATCAACATTCCATAGAACTGATTCAAGTATTGATCCATCAGGAAAACGACGTAATTCACATCGTTCAGTCCATAGGTTTCGAAATGCTGCAGCCTAATAGAAAAGAAAAGAAAAGTTATTCATACGTATCTTTCAGCGTTAGAGAGAAATAATCAAATAGACATCAACGAATTAACAATCAATACAGATAAACGAGATTAGTCACTTCTGAACTCAACCAGAGATACATCTATTCCAGCCGTAGCTTCCAAATTGATACCGAAAATTAAGCCAATTAAGAAAAAAACGGTAACAATTTGGAATGAATAATTTTACGATGATTTCATTTTTTATTCGATTCCAAATTGAGACCACTTTTTAAATTATCAATTAGTCAACGCTTTATTAATTGAAAAAAATTTATTGAAAAAATGAGTACAGAAAAAAAAATATTCTTCATCACTACTATCTTTAGTATCTTTTATGATGTAGATAAATACTCTTTGAACATTTTCTGGTAATTTCGGTTCATGATTATGATTTTCACAATTTGATTTTATAATTACATTATTTTTCAATGTAATACAGCGAGAGCACGATTTAAAAGTGCAGACATAGAGTGATGAACTGTTCTTATTTTCTCTCTTTAAATTATATAAATAATTATTGTATAGTGGCTTTTTCACCTCTTTCGGTTGTTGGCCAAACAAATTTCGTATCCATTGTGTGATATTCACTAGCGATCTTTTTTTAGGCTTATATATATCAACATTGTCTTTACAGTACAACTTATCAATCATATACATCGATAACTAATCAATAAAAAGTGGTCTCAATTTGGAATCGAAAAAAAAATGAAATCAACGTAAAATTATTCATTCCAAATTGCTACCACTTTTTTCTTAATTGGCTTAATTTTCGGTATCAATTCGTACATAGCCATTCCAGCACTACTCAGTTCAAAAACAATTACTAGTCTAACTAAACTAACAAGTCACAAAGTAAAAAAATATCAATTCTGATTTCAAAAAGATCAAGATCATCTCCATCATATCTAGAAATGCATAGAGAGCCATTAAAACAAAAGTTCTTTACCTCTTTCGATCCATTTTCAGGTCCCTTTAACACTGATAAATCATATTGATCAGAAAAGATAACACCAAATGTTATTGTCGTTCTAGCTGGTACTGATTCATTAATTGGCCACTGAAACGCAAAAAGAAAACATAATATACTGAACTGTTTCGAAAAAGAAAATTAAATCATTTGTTCTATATAAACAAAATTATAAAAAAAAAAAGCTAATTCGATTTAAGTCGCTTATGAACTGTCAAAAAATAGGGTCCTTCATGTAAAACCACTAATCGATCGTCTTTCAATAGGCAAGTATTCGTTGGCGGTTTATTTTGTTTCATAATTGTTGTTATTTTGTCATTTTTAGAACGTGTTAAATCGATGGTTTTTAAACATTTTTGTGAACTATTCACATAAATAAAATTTCCATCATATCTTGTTGATTCTATTCGTAAAGACTTTCTTTCAGTGTCTTGTTTATTTTCTAATAAAAATTCCAATTGAATATCCAATGTTTTTCTGTTAATGCTTCTTAAATAGATTTCGTTATTTCGATTTTTATAAAGTACAATCAAACTATTCTTATCACACGTGATATCTAATAAAATATCATTTTCATTAAATACGTCAATATTTCGCTTCTTGATTATCTTGAAGTTGCGTTCATCGAAATGATATTCAGCAAGATTATGATTTCCTAAGACAACATAAATAGTTTTATGATAACAATGAATATAATTCAATGGTAAATCATTCGATAAACAACCCAAATCACTAATAGTTAATAAGTTCGAATTGAATGAATATAAATGATTATTATTTGTTGCAATGAAATATCGATCACTCGTATGACAATAGGTTATATCCGATAGATTTGAACTAAGATTTAAAGGCCATTGTAAATAGACACGTTCACAAAATCGTTTTTTTTCTTGATGCTTTAACATAATCAAAATATTCATCTTTGAATTATATATAATTAATTCATTTCGTCTTGTTGAACTAGCCAAACAATTATTTTTCATTTCGCATTCTGGAAACATTAATGTTGAATAATTGGTTTGATTAAAATTTCTTAAACTGAATAATAGTCGTTTCGAGTCTATTTGAAATTGCGCATTTTGTTCTAATGGATTTTGTTGTTTATTTTCATTCGCTGTAAGAAGTTTATACGATTGAACTAGTGCTAGATTATCATCTTTTATTATAATTGGGACTGATTGTGGTTTTGTTTGAGATAGAGGCAGAGAATCAATTATATATTCAGTTAGTCTTGCTTTTGAATTATATAATTCACGATTTTTATCAATTAGAACAGGAGTACTCGGTTCACGCTTTAATTTATACAGTCGAGTTGAATTTTCATTATTGTCTGAGATTTTATGTTGATCTTTTGACGAAGAAGGAATTTCCGTTGAAGATATTGTTATTGGTTTTAATGTCCATACTTTTTTTGGTTGATCCTGGTTTGGTATATTCTTGTTTGATTGTTTTTTTGATGATGGCGATGGTAGATGTTGTTTTCGATTCGATTGAACTTTATCTTCAAACAATTGTTTTAACGGTACAACCGTTGTTTCTGTTGTTAATTGTTTATAGTGTGCAAATTTCACTCTAAGTTTTTCATTGAATTGATTTATTGTAAATAAATTTGTATTTAAACGTATACGTTTTTCAATAGAATTTAGTTGAGAATAAATATATAAATATTCAATTTGATCTTTAAGACCAGACGAAAAATTCTTTTTTTCTATTTGTTCATTTACAATAGAATATTGTTTATCGATTTCTTGATAATATTCATCATGTAATTGTTTTATTTCTTCAGATTTTTGTTTAATTATATTATCGATTTGTTCAATTGTTTTTATTTTCCATTGATTTAATTTTTCATTAAGCAATTCAATATATTCTTCATTTTGTTTGTGTGTTGAAGTTGAATGAAATTTTTCTTGGAATATTTTCGATATTTCACGAAATTTTGTTAATATAACATTCTCCATTAATCAGCAAGAATTTATATCAGTTTACGCGAAATGTGTATGTATGTGTGTGTGTGTGTGTGTGTGCTTCAGTCTATTAACGATAGAGAATCAAGATAAGAAACTTACTGTTTTTATTGTTTGGTGAAATGCAGGCAGAGGACAAAGTAAATTTATACGCTCTTTCAAACCACATTCAAGCAGTTTAAGAACTTCTCGGGATAATAAAAGATGTTTATTATTAAGATTATCCATAATTAATTGGTTTCTATTTGATTTTTGATCAAGAAGTTTATCATGTTGATCAAGTGATGAAATTCTTTGAACAAAAAATAAAAGAAAGATATTCATTTTTGATGAAAAATATTACGAGAATGATGTGTATTTACTGAATGATTGCGTCCATACTATAGATTGGTTCCATAGAAGTAATGAATAATGTTTGAAAATGATCAATGGCTGGATCATTAAAAGAATTCAATGAGATACGTGCTTCTTGTTTTAGCTAGAGGACAAATAGCAGAGGATTAATTTATGTTTTAGCAATTTAATTTACAGGTCTCGTTCTGATAAGATTTCTTTTTGAATTCGAATTCAAATGAAGTTTGGTTACTATTAAAAAATTTCTGTCCACTGATGAAAATTAAAGATTTCTAGAACCATGTTTTATTCGGTTTCATTGAAATTTCCGAACGATTAAGATGATTCATCTGAGTATGTGTCGTGTCAAAACGGTTCAAGGCTATCTTTCCTACGATAAGATATACTTAGCACCACAAAGAAAAGATAAAGCTGTATCACCATTTTTCGATAAGGAAAAATCTATAGTAACATGATACATTCGAATTTTAAATATCTATGCGCAGATACGAGTATTTTTTATCCAAGATTATACTTGACAGAAGATGAATTTGCCTTGAAATTTTGCATCAATACAAGTCTTAACGAGATTAGATTATTATGAAATTTTCAAATCTTGGTTCTATTCTTATGTTGAGCGATACTCATGATAAAATTGCATCGTTTGTGTTATTTATATGAATCTTTAGTTCTCATTTTAATAGTACTTAAAAGAAAGTTTTAGAATAAACGATTCTGATAAAGATCGAACTCTGTAAGAATTTTAAACTAGAGATTTCTTGATTCAAGTGAGGTTACGATCTAAAACACAATACAATAGTTGGATAGTGAGAATCTAGCTCATCAACATGACAAACAAAATATTTTCCGCAAAGTTTCCTTAGTTGAACTATTTTTCATTCAAAACAACTTATCTATGCTCGAACAATTCGAAAAAAAAAGTATTATACTTACTCTATTATAATGAGCTCGTAGTAATGAATGGAATACATTTAATAAACCAGAATGATCAACAAGTACACACTCATCTTCAATGAATGAATCTTCCGTAATTTTTTCATGTGTTAACGAACAACATTGAGATGATGAAAAATCATTTTCCACTAAAATAAAGAACAACAAAGTTTTAGCTCTTGAATATTAAAAAAAAAGTGCGTACTTAATGCAACTAATAAAATACGAAATACTTGATAACTATTCATTTGTTTATTTATTTTCTTCGTATGCAATAAATATGCTAATAGAAATGCTGGCATAGCACCTTCAAATGAACCGAATCCCTAAAAATTGAAATTGAAATTGAAATTGATTTTTATTTTATTTAATCAATTCTCTTTTACATGTGATAATTGTCGTTGCTCTAACCAAATTTTAAATAATTTCAATCCACTACACAATTCATTTGATGATAAAAACAATTCAGTTAAATACTCTGATGTTGATCGATAACGACAATCGAAGAGAACAGATGTATTATAATTCGGTGTTGAATAAAATGGTTCATCAACTTCTTCATTGCCAGTAAACCAGTTCCATCGAAGATTACTCGGTGTCGGTAATAGACGTTTTTCATTAAAGTAATCTTTTTCTGGTGCAAGTAAAATTCGTATAGCAAATGATGATGTTTCTAAAAAGCATATTAAAATCAATGAAAACAGAATCTCGAACGAATATCAAAGTATAGAGCAGTCAAAATTCACATTTTGTCGGACGTTCGGCAGCGACTACCATCATATACATGAAGAACTAAGATATATGCCCGCACAATAAAGTGCATTGCTTTTCAAATTTTTATCTCATAAGCATCGTGCTTCTTAAAGACGATTGTTTCTTACCGTTTGGTCTGACGAGTAGCACAACTTGATTAAGTGTTGTATCATTTAAATGTGAAAATTCTAATGAATATTTAAGTTTTTTTGCTAAATAACAAAGATAAGTCGCACGTTTTTCGATGTACTCATTATTTAGATAATCCTTCTTATGAATACAAATGCGTGGCATTTCAACAAGTAAATCGACAAGTGTTGATATTTTATTCGATGATTTCACAATTAAACCATCATACGTGTAGGAACCAATTGTTTCAACAATAGTTGGTGGAATAAATTGAAATGGTTTGCTCATCTTAGAAAATGATAATGGAATTTTTATGTCGAATTTTTCAAGCCATTCAGACATCTTTGAAAGCTGGAAAGAAAAACGTGAAGAATTCGTTTAGAAAAAAATTTCACAAAGGTATCAGTCTTACATGTCGAATTTTTCCTTGAGGAATCGATTTAATTTCATCGGTAATCTTTTTAATAAATTGATCGATTTCAGTACGCTGGTTGTTTTTTAATGTTACTTCATTTAATAATGCATGTACCTTAAATACGAAATAAAATTATTGAAAAAATGATGAAATTATCACTGCGGATTATTCATGTCTGAAAGTCGAACGTTCGAAGTCGGTAATAAATAGTGATGTTTTTAGTTGCAAAAATTAAAATAGAAGTGAACGAGTATCTTTTTTTAAAATATCAGTCATGTTGACAAAAGTTTGAAATACAGCTGAACCTAACAGTGCACGCCTGTGTTTTTCTATATAATAAATAAACATTTTCGTTATAACTAACATATTCTAAACTCTCCACATGGATTTACAAAATTCGATCCTACAATTCGTGCAAATAAATAATCTCGTTTATTTAAAATACATTGATGATTTCAATCTACGAACTAGAATTAATTTCACATAGAAATCTAAAATATAAGTTAACTTATTTTGCCCGAATAAATCAATGCCTACTTTCATTTTTGTGACAGTAGAATGAAAATTGATTTCTGATTCGAAATATACTATTTCTAGATCTTGTTCAGTGTCAATTGTTTTTTTCTTTTTCTTGTGTGCGTTTCCATTTGTCGGCGAAACACCATTTGCTTTACGTTTAGATACTTCCATCTAGAATTTTGTTTTACTTTAAAAATACTATTTAGAGTAAGAATTTGTTTCATAATCAAATACGAGTCTATCATTCGTTCTTAGACTTCTAGTGATCGTCATGAGCATTACAAATATATTCTACATGAATAAAAAATAAAGATTACATGGTCATTATTTGGAATACACTTCGGCTCTTTTTACAATAAAAAACTTTAAGATTGAAGAAATGACTAGGAAACAAAATGAAATAACCGTATTCAAATCATTTCACCGTCTCTTTCTTCTCTGACACAACATATAGAAATATTTACAAAAACGATGTACCATGTCCGACAGATTGATTATTCATTTGTTTAGTATTGTGAACAAGATTTGTGTCATCTAAGAAGAAAAAAAGTCATTTTCATAAATATCCCCTAACTGATAGAAGTTTTGAAACTCAGCTTTTCAAACTTCTATGATGTATGCATACATTATAATTAGAACATATCAATGAGAAGACAAGATTTCCATATGAATTCTTAGTTTAATCTAGATATAATTACAGTAACTTTCTGGCATCGAGCAAAACGTGTGAATAAATAAAATAGTATTAATTCGAGATTCTTTTTGCTTTGTTAAATTGCAACTATTTAAATTAAAACATCAATTTGATCAATGATACAATTGAATCTATATTGTATGAACTTAAAAACATGATAGCTAAAGACTAAACATCAATATAACAGCCTATCGAATCTTAAAGTTCTGTAATATGAAACTGTTTTTATTTATCAAAGTTTGATTTTCTCTTTGAACGAAGTATGAATTTTAAAAATTCCAACTTGAATAGCTTTAAAATAACAACAACAAGCTAAATACAATCTCTTACCATATGCTTCTTTTTCATTATTTTATTGTCTTTCAATATATATTTGATCAAATAAATGTAAGATTCATTTTATAAGTTTGTTTATGAAATGCTGACATAACAAGTCATTTGAAAAGATCACATCATAGACATACGATAGTATGTTCATCAGGTTTAAACTATTGAACGTCCTTTTTCTTTAGTCATGTCAATGCAACCATTAACGCCAATTTTTTGATAACTAATACATGTAACAAAGAAAATTATATTTTAACAAACTATGACGTGAAAAACCTCGATTTGGATTTGGTCCATATGGTATTAGTATAGTCAATAAATGTCATCTGTTCTATATTCTGGTACTGTTGGATAACGATTAAATGTATTCAATCAAGATGAGTTTGATGATAAATGAAGAAGATATGTTGGATATTCTGTAGCTGTTAAGATATTTGTGGAAATATTATCAACAGATGTAACATAGGCATCGACCGTTGATTCGAAAAATAGAATGATATTGATCAAATCTATATAAGGTAACATAATTATCCATATGTTAAAGAAGAGTTGATCAGTGTAAGGAAGCTAGCGGAACAGAAATCATCTAGCTGAAAGACAAGAGCAATTCTATTGGACAATATGGTAAGCAATAGATATCGAAGTTTTTGTAAAGCACCAATGAGGCGGAGGAAAGCAAGAAGTTTGTTATTGCTTGTTTTCTATTGGCCAGAGTGGCGGATCTAGGATTTTCGGGAGGAAGTGGCGGCTTCAAATTTTTTTCACACAAGTTAGTATGAATTTTTGTGAAGTATTTAAAAATGTGTGCTGCATTTTTCATAATTCTTCATTTCATTTTTATATAGTAAATCCCTAAATTCATGAAACCAAAACAACTGTTCTTTAGAAAAATTTCAGTAAGAACCTAAAAAGTAAGTCGACGGTTAGACTTTTCAAATTCATCAATCACTGCATCAATATTTACAGTAATATCTCGATAAATATACATTATCGCTAAATCATTAAATCTGGGTTCAGACATAGTCGACCATAAATATATCTTCAGTAACTCGAGGACAGAAAATGTTCGATTTGTAGTTGCTGTTGTCACCGGTAGAGTCGCAAAGATTTTCAATAAAACTTTTATAGTCGGATATAATGTTTCAGGCCCTAATCGACTCTCCCCCAACGACTCCCCGAGGAGTCCCTGTCGTGAGTCCCCGGGGACTTTTTATTTGGGGGACTCGCCGGGGATTTCTCTGGGGAGAATTGATGAAATTTTTTAAAATAAAAAAAAATTTTTAATTTTTTTAATTTTTAAAAAATTAAGAAGAATTTACTAGTAATTAGATATTTCATCGATTTTGACTAGATGACTCCCGGGGAGTCTCCGCAAAAGAACGAAATCCCTAGGGACTCCCTGAGGATTCTTCTAGGGAGAGTTGACTAGGGGAGCGCGCAACATAAGAATCAACTATTGTATCGGGTAAACATACTTATTATTTAAGTTTCATGTTGATTGCATTTGTGTTGCTAACAGAAGAATGTGATAGTGAAGTGAAACGATCTCCTGTAACAATATCTGGATATCTTTATTTTTCATAATACAAATTCAGCTTTGAGCTTGACATCCTTTCATAGATGTCATAATACTATCTATATATTTATTTCAAGAACTAGGTGAAAACAATCATAAATTCCTAATACGCGATTCGAATGATTGTGACGAACGCTAATAGTTGTAAAAGCTATGTTTTGGGTTTTGTTTTTTATCATGTATATTTATGAAGAAAGTAAAAGCTTATATAAAATAAATATAAGTAAACTATAATGAATTTCAGATTTGACATTTAATTGAGATTTTCTCAAGGAAAATACATTAAATTCAACAACATCAATATCAATGTTTTATCAAAAATCGAAATGATTTGCTATAGACTTCTAAGACTCTATTTCTCGTGAATCTATTTTTGTAAATATCTAAATTGCTTAAAAAAATTGAATATATAATTTCGGAGATATTTTTACTGTGTAGAGCAAACTATCGGGCACATTCATGCATCTGATTTCATCTCTCTTTTCTTTTGATTTTTGCCCTCACAGACAATTCTTTTTCATGTTTACATATTATTCATACTTCGTAGACGACTTTGGGTAGTTTTACTTCAATACTTTACTAATACGTAAAATAAATAGCCAGCAATTTCACTGGCCAATATCATGCTCAAATCCACTTTATATCAATCATGAATTCATCGTTTCAATAAACTGGAGATTATCAGCCTTCTTAAATACGAATCCCAACTCATTCTATTAGTATTTTACTGATAAGTTTTTGCAAAGTATAAGTGAAATGTTAACGCGTTAACAATTTCCCTATGATGGCAAAGATCGAATGTTCAAAAATATCTCAAATGGTTGCAGTGGCCTAACCAGGGCAGGGGCAATTCCTCACATAGGTTGGAGATTTTTCCATTGTGATTTTATTCGTAAGTTTTAGCCCATTGGAATTTTACTTTTTCAAAATTGTTTATTTAGTTTTTTCATCTGTCAAGACCTTCGCATATACCCTTTGCTTGCTATTCCCGTGATGAGTTAAGAAAACTGTATACAGAAATAAATCATAATCGTTTTGATTTTCGATTTTGAGTTTGAAATGTTCATGCCATTACTAGAGTACATAGGCCGATTCTCAATCGTGATGGACACCTCTGATCTAACTTAGACATAAGATCTGAGTTTGATTCACAGCTGATTAACAGGACTTCGCTGCAATTTTTACTGTATTGAGTTGACCCTATCAATACTTTGTTGGGCCAAGTCATTTCTAGCCTATCCATGAAAACCTAGCTCATTGGTCCATCGTTTTTGGTTTTGCAACACAGTAGCAATTCGCCTAGTGGTCTGAAAATCCTGGTTACGTCGCTGAATGATCGGTGTATCATTCTCTAGTAATTATTATTATCAGTAGCAAATTTCAAGCTAATGGATACCATTTTACTCGTGTTAATTGATAGTTGATTAAAACGAGTACCTCAGCAATAAAGATTCCGATTTCAACAAACAGCAATTGAAATTGATTCGGACATCCTTAGGGTGCTCTTTGATGGGCATTGACTTTTTCCTATTGAGTATTGTGAGAGACACTGTGCAGTATCTTAATAACGCTGTGATTTTTCTATGATTCGGATCAAATTTTTCAATACAATGTTTGATTTAGATCTTTTCTCAATAGGAATCTTATTTCAGATTCATTCTTTTTCCTTTGATCAAAGAGAAAATCTTACATAAGACATAGAAAAAGAGGACTTGATTGAAGAAGTACCTCCAGCATCATCTGAAGATCTCGATATTCTGCAGAGATTTTATGAATTCGTATCAAAACAACAGCTAGAACTTTACCCACTTACCTGCACACGCGAAAAAAATATGAACGATCTCTATCATAATTCAAAAGTGTCTCAACATAATCGTATAACTTCGTCAGAAAGTTTTGACGAAATTCAAGTAGTTTCAAATCAGTGAATAAAAAAAATAGATTTCTATTATTTGTGTTCAATACTTATGTTTTCAGTGAATTATGTAAAACAAAAAGTAGTTCAATAATTTTGCCTTCAAACGGTGACTTTCAAAATATAATATTAAAAATTGATTTTGATTCGTCAATAAATTATTGCATGAAACATTTTCATGAAATTGTTTATATAAAATGATTTGACGACAAGCGACTCAATTCTTTTTTAACATTTATAATAATAACTATAGTGAGAGAAAAGTTGAAAACCTCTGAAAAGTGAATACTTCGAAGGGGCCTATTAGTTGTTCATTGTAGCGAGTTTACACTGTATTTTATATGCTTCTAAGTAGCTCACACGTTTGCAATAATAATAAAACAATTATATTAGCAGATATTTTGCTTTTGTTAGGTTATCCATGAAATGCACCTTAATTGAAAGTAAATAATTATAATACCATTGTAAGACATCGTTTTTCGTGTGCATAACCTAGTTGAGTTCCTTGAGTAAGAAAATAATGTGCTACGGATAAATCTTGAGGTCTGCATAGATCAAACGTAGAGGGGAAAAGTTCATCTAGGATATGTAAACGAGTAAACCATGAGCGATAATTACAAAAAACTAATTTCTTGTTTCTGTACTGAGATTTTTGCTCAATTTTAACAATACCTATCTCTATAAATAGTAAAGTAGATTCACTGAAACTTGGTGCGGTTTCATTTGATACAAGTTGTATAAATAGATTCTTCTGCATCCTAAAGCATGGATATTGTAATAACTAAAGCGAAATCACATTCGATAGAGATTTTAACGGACTCTTAAAAATATTATGGCAGAATACTGAAATTAGTACTAAGAGTTCTTAGCGCTTTAGTCTATTAAGGTAAGTCAATGAACATATTTGCAACATTTTTTATTTCCAATAGTTTATTCGATATTGCAGTTATTTACAAATTTGAGTTTATATAGCGCAGCGTAAAATGTTCTGAAGTTCACTGCGGATTTCTGGCGTAGAACTTTCGTGTAATTTAAAAAACCTTCAATAGAACTTGTCTGCCGAGTTTACAAAGATTTCTCATAGTAAAAATGTCGTTCTTTATCACTTATCTTTTTTACGGCGTCATTTTGTAACTTCGGCTATCTGCATTGTTTGATGAATTTCTTGAATCTTGAATCATTTTTGCAAGATACAAAGTTCTCTGAGAAACTAAAAAAGAGTTTGTTTATTACATCACCAGAATCAAAAATGTTTTCCTAATTTTGATCCTTAGTATTCTTTAGAGAGAAAAATACAAGCAAAGTGATATAAATAACAAGTACTTTGCTTTTTATTTCATTTGAATTGAGTCTTATATATATATACGTATATAAATGTGTACAAAAAAATCAAATTTTTGATGTAAAAGTAATCCAATGTGGAGAAAAAAAGAATTGTAATTATCTGAAGTTAAATGATGATCTCGGTCTCGATTGATACAATTTTGATCTCTGAAAACACAGTAGCTGCTATTTTATTTTTGATTAACCAAAAAAAGAACATATTGCAAACATGCGTAAAAGTTTCAATAACGAAAGTGAACGACCTCTATTGACAGTAGAATTTAAAAAAAATTGCCAAGATACTGGTTTTTCTTGCGCTTTTTTTTGTATGTTTGATTTTTATTATTGTAATACCTATCTTTATGTTCTTCACACGAAGAGACGAGTAGAACAGAATAAAATAAAACGCGTCCTAATAAAACAAGAAAAAAGAAAGAGAACGGCGGAGTTTTTCTTTCTTTCTTCTTTTCTCTTTCTCACTATATATATAGAACGTATATGCGTTCCTTCAACAGCGAACGAACAGTGTATATATGGTCCGATTCTGGGATGGTCATGTCTCACTATTATTTTGTGACTCATCAATTTTGTTGAATGTTTTGAAGTGATGCCGATTTCATGGTCATAACAGAGTAATGTCATGATTGTCGTAAGTTTAAATACGTATCGTTCGTTGTTTGTAAATAACTTCATTTTTCTATTCATTAGTTCTAGACGCAGAGAAATATTTATCTTCTTCCTTTAGAGTTATGTTATCTTTTTTTTGTCTTTTGCAATCTTTGTTTTTCGTATGTTCGCTAAATGTTAATTATTAATATATATAAAATATAATATCGACTGTTGACTATATTTATCATATAATCAAATTTTTTCTTTCAGCATCGTCATTCATCACTTAAAGATTGCCGAGAGAACAAAATGATAGATACTATTTCTTCAACGGTAATTATGTCAACTATACTTCTATTGAATCGGTAAATATTACTGTACTTTTCAAGGTTCATGAAAAAATAAAATCGGACAAAAATAATTATAAATATGATTGCAAATTATCGACTAATGATGAAGATGATCTTCAATCAGAAGAATTCGAAGAAACACCTCTCTACGCTGCTGTTCTTACTTATATTAGTTATGCTATTCTTTGTTTATTCGGTTGGTTACGAGATTTTTTGCGGCAATCAAATATTGAAACAAAACGTGGTGCTATCGATCCAAATGCTTCATTGGTTTGTGTTTTTGAATTATTCTTTTAAAATTTAAATAGCTTCTGTTTTAATACTTTTCAGGGGTTTGTACCACTTTATCAAAGTTATGAGTCATTTTATACACGAAATATGTACACACGTGTTCGAGATATTTTTAATCGTCCAATTGCAAGTGTTCCCGGTCCACAATTCGAACTAACAGAACGACTTTCCGATGATTATAATTGGACGTACAGGTAATTGAGAGAAAAAAACATTTTTTCTTGATTTCAAAAGTTCGTTTTTCTTCTTTTTTTTTTTAAAGATTTACAGGCAAAACAATTCGTGCAATTAATTTAGGTTCATATAATTATTTGGGTTTTGCTGAAAAAACTGGCCCATGTGCGACGGAGTCGATAAGTGCAATAAAATCCTTCGGTATTGCAACTTGTAGTACAAGTTCTGAAACAGGTAAGATATTGATCGTTTCTGTCCAAAATAACAAACGTATGGATTACATAGATTATTTTCTTTTCGTCTTTGACCTTGACCATAATGATGATATCATGTTTGAGAATGTTGTTTTATCCTTTCTGTCGCGATAATTAACTACTTCCGGCTTTTGCTTATTTGATAACTCTATCACTTGAATAAATGAAAATAATCCTATTTTTCTTTGTTTTTATAGGTACTCAACGATATCAAATTGAACTTGAGCAGCTTCTCACTGAATTTCTCGGCGTTGAAAGTTGCATTGCCTTCGGCATGGTTCGTTCTTTTAGAATGGTACATAACAAAAATAAATACTTTTCAATGTTTATAGGGCTTCGCAACAAATGCATTAAATATCCCAGTGATGGCCTCGAAAGTAAAATGAATAATAACGTTCATCATGAATTTTTATTTTCTTTTTTTGTTAATTATTATTTAGGGAGATTTAATTTTAAGCGATGAATTAAATCATGTATCACTTATATTAGGCATTCGTTTATCAGGCGCTTCCTCTCAAACATTTGCACATAACGGTAAAATATTTTGTTTTTGAATTCATCAGTTCAATATTGTTATTTATAAATATAGATATGAATGATTTGGAAAAAAAATTACGTGCAGCCATTGTTCAAGGACATCCACGTACGAATAGACCATGGAAGAAAATAATTATTGTAGTCGAAGGTGTCTATAGGTAAGGATGATCATATAAGAAAGTTAACCATATTTTATTATTTTTAAATTCAGTATGGAAGGATCCATTTGTCGATTACCACAATTAATTGAACTTAAAAAGAAATACAAAGCATATTTATATATGGATGAAGCACATTCTATTGGTGCAATGGGTAAACATGGGCGAGGTATTGTTGATTACTTCAATGTGGATACGAAAGATGTTGATATTTTAATGGGAACATTTACAAAAAGTTTTGGATCAGCAGGTGGTTATATTGCAGGAAAGAAGGTAAATATATGAAATAATTTTTCAACAGAAACTACACTATTGAAAATTCGATGTAGTTCAGAAAAAAATATATAATACTGACTTTTTCGATAAAAAATATCAAAGAAAATCAAATTCTATTTAGTATATTGCTTGAGGAAAATTTTCTTGCCAACTATCTTTTATAATTTCAATAGTAAGACTTTGTCTTTCATCTTTAATCGATATAATTTATATGGATTATGCAATATAAATACTAGAATATATGAATAGATCTGATGCAAATAAAATCTCTATTCAAACATCATTTCCGATGACAAACTGCATTATTTTTAAGTGTTGATTATGAGAGAAAAAGATTATAAACTTTTTTGATCTACCACACACAATCGAATCTATATGGGATTTTCTTTGTTGTTTTTTGTTTCATTGAAAAGAAAAGCTAACTCAAAGCTCGATTCTTTAACAAAAAAATAAAGTACAGATTCGACGTCTACTGTAATAAAATAACCATTAAACTTTGAAGAGCTGTATATACTCGCAAAACATATTGATTCTATTTGAGTGATGGAATCTGCATATATTGAAGTTTCTTTTCATTGAAAAGCAAACTGGTGTAACTGTGTAAGTGACATATTCCTAATGAAATCAATAATTACTGAACAAAAACCACTTTGTTATAGATTTAACTCATACAATATAACAATTTGATATCTTTCTCTAGTCACTCATCGATCATATTCGTATTAATTCTCATGCAAATAACTATGCAACTAGTATGTCAGCACCTATTGTTCAACAAATAATATCATCTCTTCACCTGCTAAATGGTCCCGAAGGTAAAAACAGCTTAGAAATGTAAATAAATGTGTACAATCGATTATATACATATAGGCAAAAAGCGTATTTATCAATTAGCGGATAATACACGTTACTTTCGACAGAAATTAGTTGATATGGGTTTTATTATTTATGGTAATAAAAATTCACCTGTTGTTCCCATGTTACTTTATATGCCTGCACGAGTTACTCGCTTTAATCGTGAAATGTTACGTCGTGGTATTGCTGTTGTTACTGTTGGATTTCCAGCCACAAAATTATTAGAAGCTCGTGTACGTTTTTGTTTATCAGCTGCTCATACACGTCAAATGTTGGATGCTGTACGTTGGATACTTGTCTTTTTTTGATATCTAACTTTAATTATATTTATCATAGGCTTTAAAGGCAATTGATGAAGTCGGTACCGATATATCAATACGTTATTCAACAAGACACGAGCATAGACGACTAAGAGATATTTCAAGCGAGAAATAGCTTCAGATACACTGAGCTCATCATCTTATATTCCTATTTATTCCAATCAATAACAACAACATAAACGTATCAATAAATCTCAATATAAAAGTGTTCTCACTTTAATGTATTATTTTGTTGCTGCTGTTTGTTTGAAGTCATTTTGACTCTCGAATGATACGTATGACATTGAACTTTAATATATTTTTTGTTTTTATCAATTTCCAATACAAGCTATTTCTTAGAACATGTATATCTGCATATATATATATATATTCTAATTAATAGCTGCGTATCCTACTTTTTCATGCAGTGTCTTGATTTCCTTGTTTTTTTGGTATCTCCTATTGTAATATAAATGTTTACAATCTATCAAGTACAATACACATAATGCCTTTTTTCTTATATTACTCACTCCATCCATCTCTAGGATACTTAATAACATTGGAATAATAATTTTTATTTGTTTTTCATCACAAATCAACATGTTTACTTAGATGAGTCATTCATTCTCTCCTAGTTTTTATCCAATAGCAAAAAATACTTGAATCCGGTAACTTTAGTACTTTTATAAAAAAAAATTGAATCACAAAAATTCTTCTATTTGCATAAAGAACTTTATTTATTTACTTAAAGAAAAAATCCATGCGGTATATTTTTATACAATCGCATAAAACGACATTGAAATTGATGATGATGTTTTTCACGCCATAATTATATGGCTACTTTTGAAGTATTTATCTAAATCTTTCGAGATAAATGATAATCGTTATTATACTATTGTATTTAAAATGATTGATATATATATGTATATATATATTTATATTATTTAGTCTATTTGACAACGAAAAAATCATATATAATGATATTGAGATATATATATACATTGATTAATATAGATTTTTTTGTATCCACATAAGCAATTCTATTGCGTTGTAAACAATCGTATTTTTATGACTTATAGAGATTAGATTTTCGATTGCATATTTCTGTCATACAGACTAATAGAATTATACTGATATTTATGAGAAGCTATCAATTCAGTTGTATTTTAATTTCGTTTCTTCTTTGGCATGTATCGATTTTGGAAACTATTTACACAAACCACTGAATTAATGTATCTTATTTTCTATCTTTTATTGGATATCAGCTATAAATTTTTCACACAAAATATCAATTATGATCTACAATAAGATTTAAATATTCGAGAAAAATAAAATACTATCGTAACAATCGAACTGAATGTAGGTGTGTGATTGGAGAAGTACGTACTAAAATTCTAATCTATATGTATACCTGCACTGTATAATTGTATTAGTCCAAAATAAAAGATCTATGAATGAAAAATAATGGTTACTAGCAAGAAAAGCTTTCAACATATTAAAAGATAATTCTGATTCCATTGTAAATGAAATTGAATCTCTTACAACGGAAAAAGATGTAATCCGTTTGGTTAATGAATTATTAAATTCCGTTATTGTAATTCCACCAATTACATATTTAACTACACAGGAACACGAAATAAAAGATCAGTCAAAATAAAACTGAGGGGTGTTAACTTATATTTATTGTGTGTTTATATAAAGAATAAATATGAATAAAATTGTTATATTTATTTTACAAATATTGTACATCAATGAATAAAAGTCTTTATTGTTTAAAAACTAATCATAGATAAAATTGATTTATTTATTTTATAAATATATATAAATAAAAATTCTATTGTTTAAAAAATAAGTATAGAACTTTGTTATGTTTATAAAATAAACTAAATTAAGTACTTAGGGCATACCAAAAGTAAAGTTTTTTGAGGATAAAACTGTTCAAGATAGAGCTAATCAAGTTTTTATTTCATCAAATGTTCGAAGTAGTCCGCATGGTTATACACACCATAGACCGAAACCGAGTCGAGTTTGATTTGAGAGACTCGACTTTTTAGAGATTTCACTGTTTCTTTCAACTTTTTCTCGACATTGACCGTTATTATCAGTTGTTGCATTGAAATGATACAAATCTCACTCATTGCAGCGAATTAATCGAACAAAAAATACGACAAATGAACGACGATGAACTGACGACGTCCAATAGACAATAATGAATGACATACAATGACTTTCATTGTATTCAATACATCAGGTTCTATTCACCAATTAGTCACACAACAATGAATTGACCGGGTGAATTCCCGTTTTGTCGAAATTAACACCTCTAACGCAAATTATTTCAAACCATATCAAAGCAGCAGGGGTGTAGGCGAAGATGATTTTTCAACGAAACGGGGCCTAACCAATCGACTGATCACGGATATGTACAATTGTTGTTGTTGTTATTAAAAAATCCTGTTATTATCAATTATTATTATTGTTGAAAAGCTCTGCTTTGAAAATTCGTTGTTTGAGTCGAGGTTCGGTGGCTCGACTCGAGTGAACTTTTTTCAAATATGTGTCGAGTTGAGTCGAGCCGGATTTTTTTGGCTCGTTTCGGTCTATGGTGTGGATATTGTCGATAATGAGAAATTTTGTATGAATCTATTTTTAGTAGAATATTCTCTTCCATAGTTCGAATGAATATATGAATAGTGAATTGAACTTCGATAAATAACGAACAAATGCAATATATTTACATGTATTCGTATGTAGAAGTTGGCAATAGCAGTTCGAAGAAAAATAAATAACATGATGTTACGCAAAACAATAGGAAGAAACAGAATAAAAAAAAGATTTGAAATTGGAAAACGGGCGTTATTGTTTGCTGATGAATTTCAATGAAAGAAAAATAGATGTATCAAAATATGACAGCAAATTTTGGATATAAATAAATGACGAGTAATTATGTCAACATGGTGAAATGAAAACAAAAAGGCTCAAGAAAAGAATAACATGTACTCGCCCTCTTGCCTCTCCGTGTCTTTCAATGTCATCAGGCAGGTTTCATTTAGTTTAAAGCAGCCAAACATGTTTTTCGTCGTTCTGTATTACAATTTTATTTGAAGAAACAATGAACCACCTAAAAAATAATCATTATACCTAGATTTTTAGTGATTGTTTCCCATTGCCATTCGTTTTCGCGGAAAAGTTTGTTGTTCTACTTGATAGTCTCAGTGATGATAATATTAATGATGATCCATTAAAACAGTTGATGAAGACGCATAACTAGCTACTTAGATTTATATTTCGTATTAACAATATTTTTCTCATTGAATAATCGATAGATATCAGAACAAAGCTTCATGAAACCATATATACATTATCTTAATCTTAAAATAAATGCTCATCAAATATGTAGCCTTTAGTTAGATCTTTAAAAATCTACAACAATTTCTTCTCAAATAATCACTCAGATTATAATCAGTTTCTAATCGATGAATGGACATCTGTTACGAGTATTAGACTTCTTTTTGTGTACTCAAAAAATGAGTACACTCTAGAATCGGTCAGTGTGTCCGTCCGGTCGGCCCTAGGCAAGATAGCTTTCGAAAGGAGAGTCAGATCGTGATGAAATTTTCCACACAGTTCAATCTCATGAATATCTCGGTCGAGTTCGAAGATGAGAAGGATCCCTCAAGAAATGGTTGAGTTATCGAAAACATTGTCATTTTTGATCAGACCATCCCTGAGGAGGGGTACAGGAATTTTTCAAAAAAAACTTTTTTTCTCAGAATTATCCGCAACATATATAAATCAACTCAATTTTTAACGCTGATTCTAAATCTGATATTAGTTTTGAACTAAATCATAGCTGCTAACGAAACATCGCCTGAAAAACGTCTCAAAATGCACAAAAACTGCATCCAGAAATAAAATTGCCTAGTTTCTCATGATAATTTTGGTGTTCAGACATTCTAGAATGGCTCATATGTCTCATGCACTTTTTGCAGTACACATAACTCTCGAATGAAATCCGAAGTTTCCACATTTTTTCTGACTCATTTCTGGAAGAAAACTTCAGACATTCACCAGATTTGAACAAAATTTTCTATTATCTGTAATATTGTTTATTAACAATCGAACTTGCTCATAATTCTCTATTATTTTATGAATATGAACCTAATTAACAGAAACAAACCAAAAACAGACATCACCAGAACATAAGCAAGTTAACAAGGGCAAGGGGACAAATAAAACAAAAACGAAAAACAAAAACGAAAAACAAACACAATAGTATAATCTAGAACTGCTCCCATTTATATTGAAGTAAACGAAAAAGTATCACGGTTCGTTTAATCTGCTGATTGCAATTTAAATCATGAGAAATATCCGTTAAAGTAGCGTATATCGATGCAAGCTCATTACGTAACATTTTTATTTGTTCAGTTAAAGACTGTTTGATGAGCGTACTATTTTTTATACCTGTTGAAGAAAAGAAAACTCAATTTAAATGAATGTTAGAATATCTGTGTAACATACAAATCATAAGATCAGCATATGTGTTGAACAAACTGCGGATGAGTAATAGTGCACTGTCATCAATTGGCTAAAAGTAAAATAATATAAATTTTCTTGAAATAGATTTCAACTATTTTTAGTATGAATAACAAGAAAAAAGTGAAAACTATAATTTTGGAAGTTGAGTATCGACTAGAATGGTGATAATAAAGTTTGAAATTTATGTAGAAATCGCCTGAAATATTTGATCACTATGGAGTGTATCTTTTATATGAATAAAGATAATCGTTAGATTTGTAAATTCTCGAAAAAATTCAATGGTATAATCCTTCTCTATAAACCCAGAGTCATCGTGCTTCATTCCTACAATAGGAAAAGGTATTAAAAACAAGATCGAACGAAATACTATGATCTTGAATTTAGCTCACTGCCAGTGGCGTAGCCAGAGGGTATTGGGCAGCTGCCCAATAACTAAGGAGTTATTACCCAATAATTTTTTGAAATGCTACTAATTGCCCGATGCCAAAACATTTTGATACACATATATGTTCGAAGATATATGGTGTTACTGTAAAACAATGTCTGCCATTGTGATCTAGTTAATAATGATGAGTTTTCCTTCAGTATGCATCGGTTTCGCAATGACAATGCGTATCGGAAAAAATTGTAGCCCAATTGTTTTTCAATTGCCCATTGGTGCCCACTACGCAAAATAATTTAGCTGGGAAACGGCCCATGGCTCGAAAATTTCTGACTACGCCACTGCTCACTGGTCATTTCTTATGATCTTAAATGTAAATTATACTTCTCCTTGGCTTTCTTTTGGAGGTGCTACTCTTAAGGTGAAAACTGCGCTGAAATCTGCTCCAGATTACTGGTGTCTCACATAGAGTTGGGTCAGTTGCATCTCGTTTTTTTTAATCGAAATTGATTATTCATCGACTGAAATGACGTAGAGACATCGACGAGAAGAAAAGAACAATAAGAAGCAGATATTGCGTAGTTTTATATGAACTAATATAGTTAATTTCAATTTTCCAGTATTATTCAAATATATTCACATTACTGAACATCTCCTTATATTAGCACTGGCTTCATATCAAATCTGAAATGTTTAGTAATTATACTCGAACAATAATACTTCAATATAGATTGCTTTCTTCGATTTTTTTTCCGTTGAATCATTGAAACATTACATAATTCATGATCAAGATGCAACGGTGATGACAGTGACAGTTGATCCCTTACTTTAGAATATCTAGTCGATAGATAATTCTATGAAGTCTATATCTTCAAGTTACATTTTGTGAAAATATTCTTCTTTTTACTACTTACATTTCGTAATCGTGCGGCAGCCTTTAAACAAAAAGTAAATATAATTAACTTATTTAATAATAAACAAAAGTTCTCTTACTTCAATATGATCGAAAAACTCAATTATATTAGTCGTGGAAGCAAATTTAATATTAAATTTTTTCCAAACTAATTCACTGATTAATAGTAAACGAATATCAGGCAATAAGTTTTCATCAAACAAAAACAAATGTAGATATGTTGAATTTTCCTCACATAGTTTTGCTAAAAATAACGCCATCTGAACAGCAAAACAAAAAGTATACAAATCTCTTCTGGCATTCCCACAAGCTTACTTGTTGTATACACGCTTCTTTTTCTTTTACAAACAAAAGACATAATTCCATCACATTTAAACATATCGAAATTCGCTCATTATTTAAACTAAATAAAATAATTGAAATTTTTCTTTTTATCAATAAAAATTAATTTTCGTACTCATTTGCTTTTAGAATAATGTGCTGAAGAAAATTTTCGATGGAATGAAAATTTTGATTTTCATTTAAATGGAAAATTTCTTTTTTACTTTGACATTTATTTCTATGTAGTTCAATTAATTCAATCAAATAAATTATTAATTTAATACGATCGAAATTATTTGTTTGAATTGTTTTTCTGCGAATAAATTGATTGAAATAATCCTCTTTGATTAATGTCGATCGGTATGTTTTCTTATCATATATTTCACATATATCATATTCAATTAAATCGAATAACAAATCGAATAAAATATTTATTAAAGAAAAATATTCATCACATTGTAAACAATCGTGTTCAGTATTACTATTATTTTGATGATTATATGTTGGCAGTTCAAGTAATAAATAACGTAAATGTGATGTTAAACCATACTGAAAAAGTGACAGTTCATTGTTATCAGTATTTAAATTTCGAACAATAAAAATTTTCAAGAAATTCTTAATTATTATTGTAATAAATTCTGGACTAATACGATATGATAAAAGATTGTCGGTAGATGAATAGCTAACACAATCGTGCAACTGTAGTTTATTCTTTGGGCGAATATTTTGTTGATAGTACCTAGAAATATGTTCGAGCAGAACTAATTCAAGATTCACTAACCATTTGACACGCATGACTGTTGAATCAACAGTATGATCGAGAGGCTTTTCACGTGCACATATATTATCATAGATTGAAGAACTAAATAAACAATGATCACAGGTTGAAAAATGCCCGCCAACTCTAATTCTCGCATAAAAACGTATGGGAGATAAGCTCGCATCAGTAAAATGAATGCTGGTAGATATCATAGAGTGAGATCGGATACTACTATCAACTGCACGAACATTGTTGTCCTACAACTGTAAAAATTGTGTTTCCTCAAATAGTTTAAGATCAAGTTTGTCTTCAAGCACAGTCTCGAAATAATTTGACTAGAATTAGAAACATTTTTGTATTATATAAAACATAGGAGATTTTAATGGAATTTTCTTATTAGCTATCTTATCATAATGTGCATCATACATTAGTTCAGACTCTTAGCTCATTATTATGAAACGACTGAATTTGTGCAGTATGCATTGGTCTTACTCACTAGTATTTGGAAAGCTAGTTTTCGAATTTCAATTTGAAAATTTTCATGAAGCCAATGCTTAAAAGGTAATACTTTATCGACGACTGTCGCACAAGTATTTTGAATCTAATTATTTCGAATTAGAGGACAATTTTCCTCAATTTTCATTCAAAAGAAGCGCAACATAGGGAAAAAATTGGTGAAAATACAAAATTTACCTTGATTCTTCAATTAATTGTATGTCATCATTATCAATTTTATTGATCTTTTTATTATCATCGTTGTCGTTGTCGTCGTCGTCGTCAAGTACAATACATTCATCAGAAGAACTTGCCAGTCTTTTCCTTGTCGCATGAACCACTGATCTCACTGAATCGATTGGTTCTTTTACTACTTCAAAATATTGAATATTATCATTATTTGGTGAACGTTTGATGACTTTAAAATAATCCAGAATAGTTTTACCATTATGTCCCATAGATAACTTATTTTTTCTTTTTGATGATGAATATTCTTTAGTTCGTGATTTATGATTTACTTTAGTATCCAATCGTTTTCTTTTTTTCAGATTTATCTTAACAGCTGAATTTGACGGCTAAATAGAAAATAAAGATTATTCAATGTTTTGCAAAAGGATTTTCATAGATTTACTTTGGCATTTTTTGTAGCATCTATTGGAAGATTTTTAGGCTGAACGAAATCTGGATTTGAATTATTTACTTTTAGTTTTCGACAGCTATCTAATGTTTGTTGAACTAAATTCATATGTCTACCGACTGACTTTTCTCCCATGGACGATGAAAGTATGTGCTTATTTTTGCATTCTAAAAGTAGAATTTTTAATAAGTGAAAAATAAATTCAATAAAAATTTACGAGGATGAAAATTCTCATCAACATTTTGACTTTTTGATAATGGTCTATTAAATTTTTTTGATTGCTTATCATCTTTTTGTTGTGATTGATTAGAAGATTTCTTTTTCTTGTTATTGTTTGTTTGACATGTATTGAATGATTGTGATATATTGGCTAATTCAATAGTTTGCGTTGATTTTGAACTCTGTGACTTCACTGTAGTTATAACTTGATTCGTAGTTTTATGTTCATTTTTATGTTTTTGCTTTTTATGATGAGTATCAAATTGAAAATCTGTTTGGCCATCTAATTGTGCACAGTGAAAATCATTGCTATCATCTACCATCGGTTCATTTTTTATTGAACGATTAATAAATGTAATTAGAATATCTTCGACTTGACTTGCAGGCATTTCTAGAAAAAGGAGGAAATCAACGTAACTAGGACAAGTATTCGAAGAAAAAAGTATTAAATATTGCTGAGTAATCTTGCTTGGGATGTGCAATGATCATACATGATTTATTTGTATGCTGCAAATCGGGACGATTCAACACATACTACCATTCTAGACACAACTATTCATCTTTAGAAGTCTAAAGAGACAAAGTCTTGAATGAAACTCTTATACAAATTTGACAAGATATTTGATCGATTCACCTTTGTTGAAAGAAATTAATAGTTTTCTACTTCAAGGTTGGATAGATGTCCGAAAGCTACGATATCTTTTTTCTGATACCACTAACAGGAAAATTTTTCAGATTTAGATGCGACTTGGTTTTTAGCTATTACGGCAAAGTTCACGAGAACGAGAGTGTTCATCAAATATCTTTCATCTTGTTGATTTCAAGATCTGTTTTTTTCGAAACATGAACAATTTTATTGATAATACAGTAAAAGATATTTAACTTACCTGTTGATAAATCCATGGAATTAGCATTCGTATTATTATCTTGTGTTGTCTGAACATCATTTCTCATATCTACTTGCTCTTCTTCTTCTTCTTCTTCGTCACTTTCAATCATTGTTTGAATTGCATTTGGATCCCATTGTGCTAGTGTGTTAAGATAATCATCATCATTAACGCTGGTTAGCGACTTCGGGGAAGATATTTCATTCATTTCATCGTCCGACGATTCAAATGCATTGTTTTCATCATTATTATTTATTGATTTTATACTATTTGGATTACATCGCAACAGTGAACGAGAAATCTTTGCTTTGATCGACGGTTTTTCAGGATGAATTGATTTGAAATCAAAACTTGTTCGAATCGAATTACTTTTAAAACGGTATTCCAGAAGATACAAAATCCGTTCTTTGCTTAAACGTATGTGTGATAATAAGCAACATTCATCGAAAGCTTTTTGTCTAGAAGTCATTGTTGCAAATCAATCCGCTAAACAAAAATAAATAAATATTCAATGAAAAACCGGTTTCTAAATACTCACTTATTCAAGTTAAAAAATGAGTTAAATAATTATTTTGCAAGTATTTACATCGTTCCTAAAAAAAATGAAATAAAACTTATATTCTTGATAAATTCAATATTTAAAGATTCTATCTACAGAAAATAGTATTGGAATGTTCTATCTAATTTCATAAAATAACTATTGATTAGACTGTAGATGAATATCATAATTCTATATAGTATTTAGAAATATATTCGATGGTATTATGATGTTTGAACACCGCGCGAAAGTTGAAACAAGTTAGTATCAATTTCATCCAATCTTACTTTCGACGAAAGAGCTTTTCTGGCTCTACTATTAGTATAAATTGACTTTTCCGATTTTATATACGTAAGAATAAGCATCTTCTTTCCTGACCAGTATTCTTTTTGTTTCTGTTCGATTCCAAAAAAAGAAATATTCACCAGTCTCTTCCAATTCACGCAAACTCAACAAAATTTGTATATATATATATGTCTTTGATTTCGATTCTAGTCCATATTTTAACTCGAAGTCTTTTCCAAGCGTTGATAAACACATTTCCGATATCTACTTGCTGCACTATATCCATTCTGTGTCCTAGAGTCGTCTATAATCGTTGACAAGTTCTAGTTAAGATAAAAATCGAGGTTAAAATCTTTCAAACTTCATTGCATAGTTTTCTTCGAATTAATATCAACTGATAAACATTTGTTTTTACTAGAGCTACTTGATAAGATATCCATGTATTTGTCTCCCGGTCTGTCGACTATCTCGAATGTAATAGTCACCTATCGGACAAATTAAAACTTTTGTCAATAGATGCCGCGTTTAAGGGTCGAATGAATAAACTATATGTATATTGTTTTGTTTTGTTTTGTTTTTTTATGTTCTAATAAGAATGACTTCCACAAAACGTGTAAGTATAAATTGAGTTTTTATCCTTTTGAAAATTATCTTTTTCGTTATCAATTTAAGAAACATACAACAATTGCACAAAATGATCTTGATCATGAAAATCCAATTATCAATGGGAAAAAAAATTTAGATCGTCTTAAAAAGTTGAAAGGAAAAAGTAAATCAAAAATTGTCGATGTACCAACATTATCACATGGACCGGGTGATGTATCAAATACATTTCAACGTTATAGAAGTAAAACTAGATCAAAAACCGATGGTAAGTTTTCTATATTAGAAAAATGAAGACTTTTTTTACCTAATATTGTTTCTTGTTTTCTATAGCAAAATCAAATATTTTTCAATTACCTGATGAAATCATTTTAACAATTCTTCCTTATTTAAATAAAGCATCCCTCGTTGCTTTTATACAAACTTGTCGAAAATATCGCGCCATAGGGTATGATGTCTACAATTTTCTCTCAAACAAAAAATTCATTTTAGACTAAATATATTTTAGATATCATCCAAATTTATGGCGTCGTATTGATCTATCTTATAAACGTATTGGTAGTGAACAATTAAATAGTCTTTTACAACGTGGAACAGTTACGTTAAAACTGAATCAATCAACAGTAAGATATATATATATATATGAAGTTTCTAAGCTAATAAGGATTGAATTATATAATCGATGAAATAGTTCCCTTAGTGTACTACTGAAACAACCAGTTTTACAGATATCTAGTGATAGATATAGTAGTCGATCAGAATTAGTGATTCAATTTAGTTTTTATAAGCGAGATTGGCGTTAGATCCTAAATGAAAAGTAAATAATGCGGCGAAAAAGTGGCAGCCTTAAATTTAGAATCTTGAAATTTCATCGATTAAATGTCAGTTTGGAGAATCTCCAAAGATTAAAAAAAAATTGATTGGCTATTGTTTCAGATTGAAGAGTCAAATTTTACTTATATTGAACCATCTGCGTATGTATTTTTATTTAGTTGATACTATTAAACTTATCGTATAATTTTTTTTTAAAGTTTATGCCATCTTGATTTAACCGCTGCAATAATTTCAACTGATCTTCTTCTTAATTTACTACGTTCATGTACTTCATTATGTAAACTTAGTTTAGAATCAGTACCATTGAACTACAAAATCGTCAAGTAAAATTCGATTTTCTTCTGTCATAACAAACAGGAAACAATAAATTATTTTTCTATTAGAAAAATTGTCGCAAATGTTCAACTTGATACACTTAATCTTGCCATGTGCACAGGTATAACATTCGAATGTTGTCGATTAATTACCAATAAACTTTTATCGTATGTAATAATATACTCATATTTTTCTTCTTATTTTATATTTAAATTATTATAGGTTACGTTCTTTAAATATTGCTTGGACTGAATTATCTTCTCAAAGCATCCAGTATATATGTGAAACAATACCACGGTGCATTGAAAACTTAAATATCAGTGGACACCGTTATAACTTAACGGACGATTGTAAATAAACTAATTTTCTTTTTCACGATCAAATAGAAATGTTAAATTATAGGAGGATAACTTTAGATTGCTTGTTAGAACTCGTGATTTTTGTCATATTTAAAGCTCGATCCTATCCGAGGAGCTGTATTCCTCGTCTCGTTTCAATTATTTATAAATCGTCTATCTCTGTAGAATTTCTTGAGCACTATTTCAAAGAAATCGACCTCGAAATTGATAGAATAAAACAACGTTTCTATGACCAGCTAAATTCTGCTAACATCTATCTTGTTTTTTTTTAAATTAAGGTATGCAAACATTGGTACATCGGGCATTTCGTTTACATTTTCTTGATATAAGTGATTCAGTAGTGATCAGTGATCAATCAATAATTGCACTTCGTCAACATTCGCGTTTACTTGAACATTTATCTGCGTCACGTTGTTATTTGCTCTCTCCATCAGCACTTATGTAATTAGATATTTTTCTTTTCTTTTTAAATCGCATATGAACTGAATAATAATGTTCTTCCATTCTAGTACATTAAAATCATTACCAGCTTTTACTGCATTAGATATATTTGGTACGTTAGCCCAATTGCCATTACAACAATTACGCAATGAACTGGGTACACGAATTCATTTGAATATGTTTCCGCTTTCAAATGTTGCTCGACCAACAACAGGTATACAACGTACATCTCTTTGGGGTTTACGTACGCGATCATAATTGTTGTATGTCAGATATGAGAAAAAGTATAGTAAAGATGTGTTAGATATTTCATTTTGTTTGTTTGTTTTTTTGTTATATGAACATGTACTGTTTTCAAACGATGTTGTATTTTCTTCTCTTCTATTTTTTTCGAAACTTCTATATGTACATGTCAGAAAAATAAAATAACCAAGACAGAGGATTTTACTTTATATGAAAACAACATTTGATATGAATAGTAAAGTTTAGAGGAATAAATAAAAAAAGCAAAATCCTATGGAACCATCAAAAGTTAAAGAACGTTATCATGCATCGAAGCTGCAAGGACCAACGCGACCATTGACACGCTGTGATTCAACCGACCTCATTCCACAAATTATTCCACAGTAAGTTGAACTGTTTATATTCTAAATGAAAGAGAAGACTAATAGAGTTATTGAAATCTTGTCTTTTGCGATTCCGAGACATTTATTTTGTCAATAAACAATTCTTTCCGCCTGATCTTTTTTTAAGCGCGAACGTAGTTCACAATTTGATTCTTATACTATAAGCATAATCCGATTATTTTGACTGAAAGACTGCAGGCAATGAGAGGAATTTTCGGAAGAATATTGTAATGAATTGTTATTTTTTTTTTGAATCTTCCAGACATAATCAATGGTAAACTATTTATCTGAGAACTTAAACATATACCAGAACGATAGAAGATTTTGACATGAAAATAATCGAGATCGTTCAGCAGTTAGTCTAAAATCATTCGTAATCAAAAGACTATCAGTTTTTGTTACAGCATAGTATAGTGATTCGTAATTGAGCATAAACTAGTTCGTGAAATATCACACGAGTGATCGTTTATTTTAACTCCAGCGTTATATCACTAATCATATTTCTAATTCAACGTCGCCAATCATGAAATGAGAACCATTATCAACGAGTCAACATTTCATTAGACGTCTAGATCACTGATTGCATAAACAATGTCTTTCGTTCGGTTTCTTCGCCATTTTCAGTCTATCTACAGGCAGATTAATATTTTTTTACAGGAATAAATCAATTAGGAAAGAATGAAACTTATAAGAAAAAAACAAATTTTCTCTTTGCGATTTAGAAATCAAGGCAATGCACATAGTAATATATGTTTAAAAGCACCAGAAGTTTTATTCGATAATCGAACTACCTATTTTCATGGTATTAATGATGATCAAGATCGACCATTATCAGCACGAGTTTCTTCGGCAAATGTTTCCAGACAAATGTCGAATATATTTTTAAATGACTCGGTATGTAAAGCAGAAAAATTTAGTTTTTCTTTTTCAAATTAAATTCTTGATTTGACATAGAAACTATCATCAACAGTGAACAGTCCACTTCATATAAGATTCCGTTCAATTGATTTATCTGAATTTATACCGTCTAAGGATGGTAGAATGCGAACATATTCCAGTGTGACAAGCTCAAAAAGCATAGGTTAATATTTTTCATATCGCTGCTAATGTAGTTTACACTTATTTATACATATTGAATAGATTATTGTAATTTATTATCGGATGAATTAATTTTAACAATTCTAAAATATCTTCCTCGTGCATCATTAGCTTGTATGGCTCAAGTCTGCCGCCGATTACGTTCTTTAACGTATGTTGAAGAACAAAATTCATATGAATAAGTCAGAAAGGAATTTTTTTCTTTTTAAATGACTTTCCAGTTATGATCCAAGTTTATGGTGTCGTGTTGACATGTCTCGAAAACATATTGAAAGTTGTTATTTACGTGATGTGCTTTTGCGTGGTACAATTATTCTTAAAATGTATCAAACTACAGTTAGTTTATTGTCTGGAAGTTAATTATTATTAAACTTATAATAAACATAATTTAGGTTCATGGAAATTCGATTTATTCACCGAATCGTAATACTTGGTAAACGTGAGAGATCTTTTATGTATTAGTTTTGGAATTTTCCGTTTTATCTTTATAGGTTTACAAAACTTCAATTTCTTGATTTAACTCTCGCAACAATAACGCCCGATTGTTTACTAAGTTTAATTAGTGCTTGTCGATCGCTTCGAAAACTTAGTCTGGAAACATTAGCGCTGAATGTTGCGATTTTCGAGTAAGCTTATCAAAAATAAAAATCTATATTAAAAAGATGATTTGCTTTCATGAATGATCGACAGATGAGAAAGTTTCTTAGCAAATATTTACTAGGATCTATTAAACACAATGATCGTAATGTCTATGATGCTCTGTTTTCTTTCTATACAAGTTTTAAATTTCTCTATATAACTGTGGTCGAAAAGTCTTCGTTTTTTTTTCAATTTAGAACATTAGCATTGAATCCACAACTTGACACATTAAATCTAACTATGTGTACTGGCATTGATCTTGATTGTTGTTCAATATTAACGAGTCAAATAAAGCAGTATTTAAAAACAATTCTAATCCATTCTTAGAAAATAAATTTCTTTCTAGCTTACGTTATTTGAATTTGGGCTGGACACAATTGAGTGATCCATGTGTCCATTATATATGTCGAACAATTCAATCCAGTATTGAACAAATCACATTAACTGGCTTTCGACAAGGAATGACTGATGAATGTATGAAATTTTGATTTGAAAGTTTAGATAATATTTACAGACGGGAAATTAAAAGAAAAACCTACCTGTTTGATTTAACTTGGAAACAAAAATAGCTAGTATCACATTATCTTCGGTATATCGATGATAATCCAAATAAATACGCAATATAACTAAAAAAAACCTAGCCTATAAAGCAAACACTGGTCTTACTAGATACTTCCAATCAGATCGAAATTAGTGACAAGAAGCCGAATATGATCATGTTTTTTTATTCTTCAGAAGACTAGCCTGAGAGATGTTTGTTAGCACACACACACACACGCAGTACTATCTAAGATAATCAAACTCTGATATTGACAAAGCAATTCTTAAAGAGATACGGGTGCACCAACCTCTGCATCAAAATACAACATAAAAGTTTAAATTGTAGAATCTTCTATCCAGACGCTAAATTTCAGTAAACTTTAAATTCTTTCAGGTGTTGAAAATTTAACAAATCGTGCTATTCGCCTTCGTGTTCTTGACTTAAGTGATTCAAGTTTAATAACTGATAAATCAGTGACAAGTGTTGTACGCAACTGTGTTAATTTGGAGCATGTAGCATTTTCACGTTGTTACGCGATTGCACCAATTTCGTATGCGTACGTATTTATAGAAACAGAAAAAATTAATTTAATTCTAATTTATAAAAAAAACCTTAGATCACTGAAACAAATACGTCATCTAGCTTCATTGGATATATTTGGTGTTGTTGATGAACGTGGTTTACAAAAATTGAATACCTTACTTGGTCCATCCATTAGTTTAAATCAACAACGTTTTTCATACGTTGCTCGACCTACTTACGGTTTACGTCGAACGTCCATTTGGGGTTTGCGAACTCGTCCATAAAAAGAAAATGAATTGAATGATTTTGTTTTACTGTGTGCTTTGTAGTATAATTTTTAATTGAATTTAATTTGCTGAGTTTTGAGTTTGTACAATACTTCTTTTTATTTCTAGATAATGGCAACCAATTCTGATAAAAGTCAAGAAATTTCCAGTGAATGGCTGGTAATTGATTAAAGTAGAAGATAAAATCTTTTAGTTTTGCTTCATTCAATTTTGTAGATCAGACCATGTGAAGAATATAGTGATGAATTAAGTTATTGTCGCAGTGAGTCTTCCTTTTTGTTTTAAATGATTGTTCTTCTATGTTGTTTTATTAGGTTGGCGTGGTCGATTGCATCAACGATATATGTTAGGTCAGCGAAAAGATTGTGCACCAATAGCTGAAGCATTACATAGTTGTATGTTTTGGTTACAAAGACAAGATGCTCAAGAATTAGTAAGAGGAATTTACTCTGAAGACAAAATATTATTTCTTAATTTTGCTTTTCAATAGAAAAAATTAATAGTCTATGAAGAAGAGCGTCATATTCGACGCAAACTATCATCAGAAAATAATGATGTATGGCAGTTGAGAACTCGGCCACCAAGTGATTGGAATGCGCCATTGCCTGATTGGGCTCGTCAACGAGCAGAATCAATTGGAAAACAGAAACGAAAAGACACAGCATAATTTTTTTTTCATTCATTTTAATGTACCATGTACAGGTTCACATAAATAAAAGTAACGTAGGAGAAAAAAGATATAAAGAGATATATTCCATCTACTGAAAGGAGGGTATTACGTAAAACGAGTTAAATGCGTTCGTTCGTTCGTCCAATAGGAAAGCAGATGCATAAACTTAACTAACCTCAAACAATATCTGTAGGTATAGGTTTGACCGAAGGTAATCGGGGGTCGGGGAATACAATGGCGTTGTTAGTTTTTTGAAATTTTGCAGTTCAAGCAAGTTTATAATGCATTAGGAGCTGCCTAGATCGTCCGATTTTCGTGATAGGAATTCTTTGTAGGGAAATTTTTTAAGGGTACTATTTGACAATGTTTATAGTGTTAGATGTATCGTATGGTTATGTGAGATCTTATTACGAATAAGCTATAGGCATCTTGCGGTGGAATTGATTCTCAATTTGGCAACGACTAGCCGCTCACCTGCACTAAGACGTTGCAGGCTTTTTTTCAAAGTCTTCAGTTTATACTTGATATGTCAACTTTTATTGTAGCACGAAGAATTTATTCAAACTTAACTCCTAGAATTCTAGATTAGCGCATCTACGAACGGACTCGAACTGGATAAGTACTCGGGAATGTTGTCTCATTCTTCTCGAAATTGTCAGGAATTTATCGCATATGCCCAGGTGAAAGAAAACGGTCCGTAAACGGCCTGAAACGGCATAAAACGATGTAAAACGTTAAGAAACGGCGCCGTTTTCCGTCAGCTCGGAAAACGAAGAGAATAGTGTTAAAAGCGATAGCCGTTTTCTAGCAAAAAAACGGCCGGTAAAACGAGCTGACGGATTACGGCGAAATAAGGTGAAAATGAATGCCGTTTTATGTCGTTTTATAGCCGTTTCCGATCGCCTTTCAGACGGCAGGATGATCCTCCTGGGTGTAGATGAAACTGGATTAAATTAGTCCCACGACTGTTGTGTTCGGGGTTTTTGAAAATTCTCTTTGTTTTCATCTAATAATTATATAATGAAGCGAAGCTTTCAATCAAACATGCAGCGTTCAAAAGTACCACGTCCACCGCATATATGAAATAAAGCTAACCGCTCAGTTAAAAATCTGTTGTGATTATAAGACTACAGGCCTTGCAGACTTATAGAATAGTTACACGTTGTCTCGATCAGAAAAGTTGAAACAATTTTCGAAAATCGTAAATATCTTCCAGTTCTTCCAAAGAAAGGTCATGAAATATTTGAAATTTATACTTGTCGTGATTATCTTAATAAGTTTAGTTATTCCTGATTGCGAGTGGATTTGATTCAAAAGATGTAAATCTTAGATTTATCTATCTGTGAATGTGCACCCGGGAATGAATATATGCATTCTAGACGGAAAGCGCACCGAAAAACAAAATGAACCCACATGAGGTTGAGCAAAAATGAGGCCGAATCTAACCGAAATCGAGTTAGAAAAAGTCAGTTTGATTTGATCTATGATTTACTTGTGCAGATTCATGTTAAATATCTAGTTCATAGGCCACTTTGAGTTGTAATTTTACTAAAATTGGGTATTTCGATCATAGCTCTTTTGAATGAGTCTTTTTCTTCACTCCGTTATCAAGCTGATCGAAAGTTTTCGGAGCATAGCTCGAGTTGTAGCAGATCGAATGCACTTAACTTCAGTATTACTATATAGTATTAGTAAGTACTACTCAAATGTCGTTTTCTTGGTGATACTTCCAAGCAAGCTTTCTATTTATACTCAGTTATCAATCGTGTTTTCCATGAAAATCATTTCGAAGTTATAAAATGTGAAGTCTCTCAGCTAGATGGTTTTGGATACCAACGTTCTACATGATTGAATCCTTTCAGTAGAGGGTTGGTGACGCTAACGTTGCGTTATCTTGTTGATATTCTGTTGCTTCAATTGATGATTCAAGATAAAACGCAAATTTATTCCAATAGCGAAAAATAAAATCATATAGTGATTTTTCTTGACTTATTATCGTAGTAGGCATATCATCCCAACCTTTTTGTCCATAAACTAACCTAACTCCTGAACAACGTAACGAATAAATTTTTTCTTTTTCTTTTTCAGTAAAAAGGAACCAGGTAGGAAACATCCAAATAAAATGAGGAAGCGCGTAAGCGAAAAAAACGTTTTCGTCATATATTAATAAGTTGTTTTGGTATTTTGTAAAATAATATTTTCATTGCATTGTATATTTTTCTTATAGATTTGAATACATTATTCATATGAATTCCCCAACCCAGTTTACATGTAATTGTTACGCCTAGATACTTAAAATTAGATACAAATTCAATTGGTCGATTGCTATACTTGATATGTGGTAATGTTGGCGAAATTATATTATGTATTAGTAATGCTTTAGTTTCAGATACATTTACAGGTAGTGGCATATCTTTTGCGTATTTTTCAAGTATATTTATTATGTGGTGTGCTTTCGTTTCTAGATCAATTATATTGCGTGAAAATTTCTTTTCAAGCGACCCTACGAACAATAATGTCAGATCATCTGCAAAAAAGGTGAGTTGTAATTTGCATGAATAAAGAGGATAAAAAGTGTATATGTAGTCAAAAAAGAGTAGCAGCAAGTATTGACCCTTGAGGAGCCTCAACAAACATCTTTATGTTACGAGAAAACGCGTTGCTATGCTGGATATAAAGTGAACGGTCATTAAGCCAATTTGCAATTCGTTTGACTAGAGATAGTGGCATTCCGAGTTTTATTAATGATGATATTAACGCGTGGTACCACATTCTATCAAAAGCCGTTAAAAAATTAGCAAATATAACAAGTACGGGGTCTGTTACACGCAGTTATTGTTAATTTTATGTCTTCAACTAACGATATAATTCTTGTTTGTAGTCTTCTATGCGATGTAAGTCCTGATTGTTCATCTACATAAATGTTGTTTTGTTCACACCAATTTAGTATTCTAGTATGAATGATACGTTCATACCATTTCCCAACATTTGGCAATAAAGAAATCGGTCTCAATTTATTAACTGTTGGAAATAGTCCATATTTGGATAAACAAATCACTTTAGCATGTTTACTAGCTTCGAAAAAACTCCATTTTAGTGCGCATTTATTAAAAAGTATTGTTAATATCCCCATATATTCATTAGGAAGTTGTTTCAACATGTAGGCAGACGTTCCAACACTGTCTGTAGATTTTTTTCCTTTACATTTTTTCCATCCATTTAGTACTTCATTTATTGTAATTTGTTCCAATGGGACATTTGGAGTATATTCAATTTGATTATATGAAATTATTGCATCCACATGCACAGGATTGTTTACATCATATTTTGGTACTTGAACATGTATCTCAAAAAAATCTGCTGCTGTATCAGCAATATCCTGTGAGTTAGTTATTTTATGTGTACTCATTATGAGTCCACGAAATGGAGGAGTAAATGAGTGAAAAGACAGTTTTACAAATTTCCACATGTTTCGTTCTTTTGTTACCCGAGATCATTTTTTTTTCTGGTTCTGATTGCACAACGTGATTGCGATCAGTAATAAATAATTCTTTTAATGTTAAAAAATATTGTAGATTTATACTATTACGATTTCTTCTATATTTTCGACGGGCTCTATTTACAGATTTTGCCATAAGAACAAGATATGGTGACCAAGAAGGACGATATTTTGTTACTGTTTCATAGGTGCTACACCTATCCCATAGTGATGCAAGGAACAAAGAAAATAGATTAAAAAATGTTTGTTCATCAAGGTTGTATACTATTGAAAGCCAATATTCGTAGATAACAGATAGAAAAGAAGGAAATAATTTCCAATTAGTCAACCTATAAAAAAGAATTTTCATCAACTGCAATTGATGATTGAAATAGTATCGGATAGTGATCAGATGTGTCTTCATCTAATACTTCTGAAGTCCAACCAGTTGCATTGCGAGTGATACCAAAATCAATGATTGAATCAGATCTTTTTGATGTTGCTTTTTGAGGCACGATTAATTCATTTCCTCTTATTTCCAACCAGTTTAGAAGTTGTACTTCACTTGTATTATTCTTTGTACATCCCCACTCTGTGCGTTTGGCATTTAAGTCACCGAATGTATAAAATGGTTTATTTTGATGTTTGGATAGTAGTTGAAAAGATGGCAGAGAGTTAGGAGGAACATACAATCCACCTACATACAAAGTTTCATTGGATAACGATATTTCAATCAAGATGAAGTTAGTATCACTATCTGATAATTTGTAATTAATACATTTGTGGTACAAAATCATTACACTTCCAAACGAATTAGTATACCCGCTTGTAAGAATGATAAATAATTTGGAAAAGTAAACTTTTTCTTTATCGCTGCTCCTACCTCTGTGAGTATGCAAATATGAGGGTTATAACTTGACAGTAATATATCGACATCAGCAACATGAGTATTTAAACCTTCAACATTATATAGTAAGCATATTAGATTTTGTTTTATAGAATTAGGAGGCGTTTTTTCCAATAGTTACATATTTGTGAAACAGAAACACGATGATTCCACTCGTTAATTATTTTGATTAAGATATTTTTTTCTTTCAATGTGTTCCAGAGAATGTGTTAATGATATGGTGAGTTATTTTCGGCGATGAATAGTGAAAAAAAACTGTTCCCAGGTGAATGAATCCGATCGGATCTTATAAAATCCGACGAGTCGACAAAGTTCCATGAGATTCCGGGTTGATGACCTACTAACGGATCCCTAGTGTTGGAATCCGATGAACATCCAATCAAATCCAACAACCGAATTCGATAGGAATTTTAGACGTCGGATTCCAACGAGGTCCTAAAGAAACCTATCGAGTTTTCACTGGTTCCTGCAAGAATCGATCGGATTCCAACACTAGAGATCCGTGAGTGGGTCCGCAGCCCGGATTTGCTTAGGATCCTGTAGAAACCGATCGAAATCCGATCGAGTTCGGTTGGATCCAGGTATCGGATTGTTCGTCCTGGGTTGTTCATTATTTGAAATCAGTTTTCTTTGCTTTCTGATTTCTGATAGCTTCGCCATTTTTTGACTGTTTACAGTGAAGTTGAATATGAGTAGCTGCCTAATTTGACTTCGAGTATAAATGGAAAAAAAACCACTTTCATGATTTCACGCAATGCGGGGAAAAGATTTAGTTTTAATAAATTACACAATTTATAAATTGACCTTCACTCCCATTTATAATTTAGGAATAGATTTAGATTTCATTTTATAACTTATAAAATTTATAAAGGGTGTGGGTGTGAGTGTGGGTGGATGTGTAGACCCGTTGTCCGCCTTTCCCAGCACCCACACTTGCCATGTTATGTTTGTGTGTGTGTGCAGACCCGCGTATGTCTGCCTTTCATCACACCCACACCGACACCCTCCCACCAAACCCTATAAAAAAGAAATCTAAATCTATTCCTAACTTATAAATGGGAGTGAATGTCAATTTATAAATTTTTATAATTTATAAAAAGGAAATCTAAATCTATTCCTAAATGTATTCCTAAATTGTAAGTGGGAGTAAAGGACAATTTATAAATTTTATAATTTATAAAAAGGAAATCTACATCTATTCCTAACTTATAAATGGGAGTGAATGTCAATTTATAAATTTTATAACTTATAAAAAGGAAATCTACATCTATTCCTAAATTGTAAGTGGGAGTGAATGTCAATTTATAAAATATAAAATTTATAAAAAAGGAAATCTAAATCTATTCCTAACGTGTAAATGGGCTGCGAATTTGACGATCTTTTCCTTTGCTCTGGGATAGTTTTTAAATGGTCGCGATTTTTTTTTTCGTTTATTTTCGAATTGTGAATAATTATTAGATGTGGATTTGTATTCGAAGTCGAACTAGGCATCTCATGGTTGAAAGTTGAATATTTTGCAGATAGATCAGGATCATTTTTTTTCACAAAAAAGAACATTTCAAATGAATTCAACTGAAAAGGAAAAAAACATTCTCCTTGATCATTTGATGTTTCTATGAATATAATTTTGTCTATAATCATTTCACTCGACTATTGAATTGGGCTAAATTCTAACTAACATATTCTTTAGACAATAGTGAGTGTCGAACGTTGACAAGATATTAATAACACCTAGGCAACTATGGAAAATCTTCTAGTACAAAAGGCTACTTATATTCACCAATATTTACTAATATTCTGTATGATCCTTTACGGCCTCTGCAACATTTTTATTTTCATTGGTTAATCAAATGAGACAAATCCTAATAGAGGCAATGAATAGATAGACTACTTTGTATATTTATAAATATATACAGAGATATGATGTTGTTCATTAGTTTCTTTTTAATGCCATGCGAAGCAGAAGCATTTATATAATCCATCGCAAGTTTGTTTTTGTTTTTTTTATTAATTTTTTTTCTTGCTCGACGTACGCATCTTTTTTTTGTCATTTTGTGTCACGATGATCTCGAAAACGAAAAATCATAGAAATGTTATTAAAACGTAAGATGGAAGCATCCACATCGAACTTAGTAATTTTTTTTCTAATCTTCAATCTGATGTTCCGTTCACTCACAAATGTGGTTCCAAGATGACGAAAATGAAAGGAATTTCTTTTTTTCAAAGTTCGAGATAATTAAAATGACGTCATCAACATCAACAAATGTTACCCAGTAGGCTCTTCGATCACAGCTGATACTATTTAATGAATCCTAACGATAATTAGTTGTGCAATGAAAAATCTAGTTCTTTCTAACTTGAGTGCGCATAAAAAACTCTCATTAAGTGACGCGATGATCTACAAAACCGTAAATGATAGAAAATCCATTCAAACTAGATATGACAGTTTCAAGATCGAACTTCTTACATCTATTTTCAAATTTTCAATACTAAGTTTCGTTCGCCTATATATATCATTCAAAAATGATGATTTTATATTGTTGTCATTGTTAGAGTTTTGAGATAATAAAAATGGTGTCATCAAGCCATAGTAGTCAATAGTCTATTTCTTCGCATCTGATCTAAGTTAGTGAATCATTGAACTAATTTAATGTTCAATCAAAAGCATTCTCTAAGATTATGGCGATAATCGCGAAAAAAAAATGTTCTCAGCAATGAATTCTATTATGATTACTTGAGAACTAAAAAAAATGTAATGATTTTTTGTTTTTGATTACAACTGCTGAAGACAGGAAAATGTGTATATTCCAAGCGAATATGAAACTAATCAGGTCAAACGGTGCCTAATTAATTTTAAGATTACCTGTTCCTTTTCCGTTAATTTTTTTATTTTTTCGTGTACTCGACTCGTGCTTCGCACCGCTTTTCGTATACGAGTAAAGCTCGAATACCATCTAGTTAGTTTTAGTTTTCGCTTTATAATTATTTTTGATTTTATTTCATTCTCATAAATATAGATAATAAACTAGCTGTGCAATGATCATTGTCAAAAGTTACAGTTATAGCCTCAAAAAGAAAAAAGTCGAATAGTCGACATCATGAATCTACACATTGTAAACGACAATGTTCATCTTTATCATCATCCAATTCATCAACTGTTGAGTTACGAAATAGAAAATCAATAAGTAATAATGCAAAACATAGTAAACAAGATTCATCAGAATCACCCCGTCGACTTAATAATAATACAACAAAATTACATAGTAATCGATTATATCGGAGTCGATCCAATGATAGGTTAGTTATTGATTAAGATAATTATTTCTTTCATAGTTGAATGCAATGAAATGATGAAGTTCCAAGAGATAGGGACATATGAAAATAAAATATGATTTCATCATCTCTACTGATCATTGCGAATATTAAATAAAAAAAACAGAATGTTAGAAGTAATCCTGTTGCAGTTTTTCTTCAGGGAAAGGATTAAGATATTTTTAAGAATAAAGTTAGCTTTTGTTTTTTAGTTGTCCGAAGAACTATTTCTGATTTTCTGTATGTTTTTACAGGGAAAGTTTGCATCGTACAGTTTGACTATGATAAAGACTCGGTAGAATTAAAATGATGTACGATTTCAACTAGAGCAAAATGTTAAGCTGCAAATGCATCAACGATAAATCCCGAACAGGTGAAAAAGGAAATGTATGGTCTTGCAAGACGATTAGTAAGTTTCATTATAACGTCAGCTTGTCGGAAAAAAAACAATACTCACTTTTCAATAATCCTGTTTTTTTTTCAAAAGAAACAAACGTAAAATATAAACAGAGGGACTTGTACCACTTATCCATAACTAGATCAGAATCGAACATTTTCTTACTGATTTTGTTAAATATTATTCGTTAATCAATATATTTATTTGTATCTGGAGATGATTGGTGAGAGAGTTGAGCTTCGTCTGGACTCAGATATGATCAATACTTCTCTGAATACCATTTTTTCTCACCGAACTGACCACGAATATTTTTTATTTTAGCAAATAAAAACTATTGGTTTACATGAAGATAACGAATTGCAACGTTCCGATGATTCAAGCGTAGACTCAGATGCAAGTAAACGTCATCATCGTTCACTAGACTCTGTTGGCGAATATTCAAAAGACAAAGATATTGGCAGTAATTCAAGGGCGAATTCTCAAAGATAGCGTAAAAAGAATTAGTTAACACCCATACCCAAATGTACGAATGTTTATTTTTTATAGCTTGTTGATTTATGTTTCAATATTCTTTCAGACATGTTCTATTAAAGAAAAGAGTGTATATCAGCTCGATATTTTATCAAAACCACGCATTCGTGCTATGTTATTAAGTATTTTCTTATACGAAAATGTTTTGATTTATTTTAAATAAAATTTTCTTATTTTTAGCGCAACCAATGACTTCATCAAATAGTACAAACGATAGTGCATATGAAGATGTAGTTATGCGTAAGTCCTTGCGATGATGTTTTCGTATTTCTTCACGTTAATCTGAAGGTTTCTTTTGAATGAAATTCAATTCGATTTATTTTTCTGAGCAAGGCAACAAAGTTTTATTTTATTTTTTAGTATATCTACATTTAAAATCATCATTCAATTTAACAAATACTAATGCTACAACGACGAATGATAATAAAAGGTATGGGATGCTAAGCGAAAGAAACGATTAAAGTTAGCAAGGATGAGTCTATTTTACTCAACATCGAGATAACTGTTTAGATTGTATAGCTATCTACATCAGTTTCATTTAAGAATGATTTTTCATGGTAAGAACATCGAAAAGCGATGTCGAAAGTAATCCGAGAAGATTAGTGCCAATGTGAGAACGCAACAGCGACAAATGCGAATCCTAATCGACTTTTTCTAGTCTCAAAATGATCTATTTAATGCAAAAACACATATTACCTTTATTAATAACTTTTCTTAATATAAAATGACAGATTCTACCTATTTGAGAATTTTATCTCACTTAAACTCCAAAATTCCATTGAATACATTTCATAGCATCATTTATAACAATACTTTTCGTTAAATTCATGTTTAAATATATACTAAATAGTAAATTTCGTCGAGTAAAAATGTATGCAGTTATGGAAAATTCTTCATCTTCAGCTCCTACTATTATTGGCATTAATGAAGATGTAAATAATTACTATGAAAGTTTTAAAACGATAAAAAAATTAACACATCTTCACCAAGAATGAACAAGATGATGAATTAATACTATTATCGATATGACTGATCACCAAAAATACAACATAAAATTCCAACAGGACCACCTGAAAAAGTCTCATTAGGTGATTTACTTAGACAAAAGTCAATGAACGTAGTTCATCGTCAGCATGAATATCAAGGGTAAAATAAAAAATTGTTTTTTTTCCCGAAGTAACCTGTTTTGTTATTTAGCATTCTCCATGTGAACTGCTGAAATGAAATAAACTAATAGATAATTATGAAGTTGATATGAGTGATTTATCGAAAATACTTGATTTAAATGACGAAGATGAATTATTATTACTTCGAATTGAAGTCTAACAAGAAGAAGAAAGGCCATATGATGATACATCGAAAAAGATTCAGAATGAAAATAAAACTTAGAACTAGCTATTCACATTTGTTTGCTTTTTATCTTAATGTTTTACACTCTGTTTTTCTTTTATTGTACGCATACTTTCTTTTTCTGGCATAAAAATAAGGCTAATTATTGATTTTCGTTTCATATAGCAAGCCAAGAAATAAGCAAATGGAATTAGGACGAATATTTTGTAGCATTAAACATAATCGCTATCGAATCTTCAGAATTATTTCTTTCTCCGAAACAAATATTACTTTTCTGAGCGGTGGCCGTTTGTCGAAAGCATCGTTAAACTGATCTTTAAGACAGAGATGAGCAAGTCAGCGTTTTCTCGACTCAAGTCAAGTCAAGTCATTTTTTGAAAATTGCAAATCAAGTCAAGTTGAGCACTTCTTCAAGTCAAGTCAGACGTTTTCAATTCAAGTCAAGTCAGACGTTTTCAATTCAAATCAAGTCAGACGTTTTCAATTCAAGTCAAGTCGAGTCATAATTCATTCAAAAAGTCATCAGATGAAGACATTTTTTGACTAGACTTGTTTATCTCTGCTTTAAGATAATGGGATACTGTTGAATTTGAACAGTTATCTTAAATTAATGGGATACTCATCTAAATATCAATTTTTTTTTCTAAAATACGAACATATTTTGTAAAATACTGTTTGTTTATTAATTGAAAGCCGTCTTCGAACTTTCTGATAGAAACCTAAAAGTGTTGTGATCACAAAACAACGCATTCATAATGGAAAAAAAAACATTCTTTCAGGTAGACGCACAGAAGTTAGTTCTATCGAGTGTGCTACTGTTTCGATTTTACTTGTTAATGACTTTCATTTTCGCGGTTGAATCACATCAAGTTGCCCACTTTAAACCTTGATTATTTTTTTGATATTCAAGAAATGTCATTGAAGTTTGAGTTCTTTAAATAGTTAATAATATGGGCGACGAAAGCTCGAGCTTTTGAATGAGCCACTTCCCCGCTTCTCTCTCTCAGAATGATAAACGTTCCAATGGTAAAACCTTTTTCGTTTGAATTTAATATTTATTGAAAATAAAGATCTACTCAAAACACTTTAGAAGAATCCTAATTTTTCTTGCTATTACTTTTCGTTCGCTGACTATTACACTATCGCCTGAATATTCATATAAAAGATTGCCTGAAATTTGAACAATTACTTTTTTTGTTTTGAAAAAAATCATAGTTGAGTAGCATTCAGTTGGAAAAATAGACATGCTGTTTTTCAGATTGTTTAGCTATTAAATATCCGCTAAATTTTTATTAAAAAGACAACGAAACCAAACAAAGAACATCAAAAAATATTAGTCATTATATTTCATCCATTAGCTGTTGATTAGTTGAACTTCGATTCTTTCGATTAAAGTAGTCTAGTATCATTCAGTTGGTTGTAGAGAGATAGGAAACGATTTACAGTTGCACTATTGATCCCGATCCGCAAGATAAGTTTAGAAATCGATGATTATGTGTTGCATAAATGATCACATGTCAGCTGTTCAAAACAGGGAGTGCAATCATTAACATAAAAATTAACAAAACATGAAACTATGGTTCAATCTTACTAAATTAAGTGAGAACTTGTCTTGAATTTGTGTACGTCGAATTAAATTACATAGTCTTACACTAGTAAAACTAGGAGGTTTAGAAAGTTAGAGAATGCAATCGCTACTTCTTCTAGTACTATTGGGCTGCCCATAGTGACAGCATTCTTGATCACCAGATCTTTCTCAATAAAATGTAGGTGCTATTTCATACATATAGCACACTCATCGTTATTCTATGTCGTGTGTTCAACGGTGATTCAGACAAATTAATTACAGGTATTGTTTATTTGGATAAGGACCAACTTATTTTGTATAACGCAAAACATTCTTTTAAATGTATATATAGTAAACGTTTTGATAAACATATCCGATGCCATTTTGAGAAAAACACTATTCTTTTCTTTTCGATAGATAGAAAAACGAGACAAAATTTCAAATTTGTGTATGTTTAATCTTTCGTATCAACAATTAAATTTATCTTGCTAACGTTTGAAGTGTATGCATTCGAATGTCACTTATCAAATTTGTATGCACAATGACAACAGTTGTGATGTGCTTATACTTCAATTTGTTTGATTAATGAAATAAGCATTCCAGCCCAAGGGAATGATTTCGACAATCATGTAATGAAAAGAAAGAATAAGAATGATTTTAAGTGTAGGCACCTAATTTTGATTGTCATATATTACCCTTAGGCTAAATCATGTGTTTATCAATTCGATTTAAATATTCAAAACAGAAAAAGATAAATAGAACCACTCCTTTTTTTGGCTCTTTTCAATAAGATAATTTCATTCTTTTTTGAGTGATCTGATTAACTAAAATCATCAATAGGAGAAAAAATATACATACTTGAAGCCGACAATCGCCTACATATGTAATATCATTATTATGATAGAAGAAGAAAACAGAAAATTTCTTATTTTTCTTCTCCCTCCTTCTTAGATTAGACAAGAGACAGAAGAAATAGTATATAAAGTCATAGGAACAGTTCATTCAGCAATTGTTATCTCATCGGATCATGTGTTTAATAAAATTGTTACCTCCGTTTGTCAGTGATAATTGCCGATGAGGAAATTTGAACATCAAAATATTAAAACAACGTCTATAGATTTATAAGCTTCTGTTTGACATGTCATGAAAATTTAGGGTTGCATACAGATTAATACGTATGTTTTTTTAAAGTAATATTTTAGATTCGAGCTTCATTTATATTAATTCTTTACTAATTCTAATCCGATCATAATGATTTACAATCCAATAATCTATACACTTTTATTCACGATGGGTAAGTTAAAATATATTTAGTTGAAAAAACACCTGTATAGATATATTCAAGAAAAAGATAATTCGAATGATAAATGATCATCATTTATGTAGTTGCACTGCCTACGGATAACTGTACGAAAATTATTATTTTTTCTTTTTCCAGGTTTTACTCTTTTGATTGATTCATTTCAAGCTTCACCCATTCATAATGATGAATTACATACTGATAAAGCATCAGACGAAGATCTGACCGATTCTACGGCATCATTTTACAAGCGTACTTTTAGTAACAGTGACATTCCTGATGGTTATGTAGGTATCATGTTGGGCAAACGTCGATTAGAATCACGTGCAGTTCGACTTCCAACCGAAGCTATTCTTCTTGGTAAACGTCGATTACCCCATGAAGCTGTGCTCTTGGGAAGACGAGATTTACCAAATGAAGCGATTCTCTTAGGCAAACGTCGAATACCTTATGAAGCTGTGCTCTTAGGCAAACGCGATTTACCCAACGAAGCCATACTTTTGGGAAGACGCGATTTACCCAACGAAGCTATACTTTTGGGAAAACGAGATTTACCTAATGAAGCTATACTTTTGGGAAAACGAGATTTACCTAATGAAGCTATACTTTTGGGAAAGCGAGATTTACCTAATGAAGCTATACTTTTGGGAAAACGAGATTTACCTAATGAAGGTGTTCTTCTTGGCAAATGACGATAAAAAACGAACATTTCCTAATGAAACTTAATATTAATACAGCACGTATTCATACAGTGCTCTTTTTGTGGAATGTGCTTTGAAAACAAAAATATTTGAAAATAAAACTAAATAATACATAATCTATTTGAAATTTTCCTTTGCAATATTCTTTTAAAAAGCGTAACGAATATTTATAGGCGTAGAATTGATGATTATTTCTCATAGTTGTGGAAAAATAGATAGTTTCAAAGGACGAGAAAGAGAACATCTGATATACAACTTTACGCAAAGGCCAACGAATAAATTAATAGTTTTCGAGCATGTCTTTTCCTTTCTTTTTAAAAGCTAGCCAATGGACCTTGAAATAAGACCTTAAATCTCGATATAAATCTTCGAGATTAAAAAATCAAACAAGAACAAAATTAAATTTAAAAAAAAGGCTTATCCATTCATATGGGATGATGAACGAAATTGTTTATATGAAATAGTATCATCGGTCAGTACAATGAAAAGAAAAAGACGTGATGCACGTAACTATGATCTATACGAGAATAAAATTCTAATAATTTGAGCATTTTTTCATATGATTATATTTATTTTTCAAAATAATTTGAGCATTTTTGTGGAACTCACATATATTTTCGAAGAAAATGGTGAGTGTAAGTTTAAAGGCGAGATTTTTGCGGCTCCCCACCCCCCCCCTCCCCATTACAGACATCAATGAGTTTAAAATTGTGCTAATTAGAAGCTTGACTAATTAGGCTGCTATTTCTTCCCTTTTTAATTACAGACTACACGAAAAAGCTATGCTTGCCCATTACAGACCATAGTAACTAGCTTAGGGTACCCTTACAGACCATAGTAACTAGTCTCTGCCATTATTAAATATATGAGCTAACAATTAATACTCAATTACAGACATAACGTGCAAATAAACAATGATCTAATTATGGGTTTTGGAAATCAGGGTAGATTTTTCAGATGAATTATTTTGAATTATTTTAGTAAGCCGAAGGGATATATGTGAGTTCCACATTTGAGCCCCAAAGGGGCTGCGCTAACAAGCTTTTTCATATGATTATATTTATTTTTCAACATGTCGAAAGATCAAATAATATGTTTATCATCGTTCAATTTTCAAATGTTCTGATAGTAAAATTTCGAAATCGTTAACTCTTCGTACTATTGAATTTTTATAAAATGTTTCTGGTGAATCTTTAAGACGGAACAATCATTGGTATTTCTTTGTCACAAATAAATTAAAAATATGTATATATTAACAGATTTTAAGAATATTCTTGATGTAGAAGACGTGAGCAATGAATTATTGTAATTTGTATTTCATATTTCAATACCGAATAAGAATTTTCGTTCAAAAGATTTTTTTCTATTATTTTGCTATCAGAAGGTTTACAGTAATGGAATTTTGTTGAAGCGAAATCTATATGAAAACGAGTATGAGAGAGTGTAACATATGAAACTTCTTTCTTGATATCGTAAATACTCATTTATGCTTAATTAATTATTCTATTAGAAACAATTGCAGCACAACTGTTGTAGTACAATGTGCTGTCTTTTCAAAGTTGATTTCAATTTTTACTGATTTCGGACAAAAATGTATATTCGTTCGTTTGTAAATGTTAAGACAAAATTTTTCTCTCCTCTTGAGTAATCTATTTAAACTCTACTCTGTCCACATAGTTAGGCTTCATAAGCCACTTTGTTTTATTTTAGTAGACTCTATTTAATGATATTATCTGGTCTATGAGATAGGAATGGCTATTATCGAGTAACTCCATTACTTGTTCTTAAGTTGACCAAGAAACAGTACTTTGTCCTTGCAAACAGTATGTTTAGTCCAAACACAATCATTTATGACACCTAAGCACCGTTTCGAACCAGAAAATAGCAATATATTGACCTTTATGGAATAGCATAGGAACGTTATTATTTATATGTATTGTATACATATATAATATTGTTTTTCATGCTACTTACGAAGGTTAACGTCTTGCTATTTTCTGCGTTGGAACAGCATTTCGATACGATAAACGAGAATTTTAGACAATAGATACCGATTAAAACGATAGAAAAAAAGACTGCTTTCTGAATTATATGTGATAGGAGAGAGATTGAGGTATTTTTTCAAGTATCTAGATTTGTTTCAGATAATACAATTTTGAAAGATTCATTTAGAGTTCTTTAGTAAATGTATGAACTTCATTGCCTTGATGGATACTGAGTCAACTTGAAAAGTTTTTTTGTTAATATTTTTATTACGATAAAGCTAACATTTTAATTAATTTAAGCGATAAAAAAATTCGCCGATGTATAAAGAAAAAGTACGTGAACTCCGGCGGCTGAAATAGATTTGTTTGTTTTTCGAAACAGCAGTACAAGGTTGACTCCAGTGAAATGCATTAATCAACACATATCTTACGAGCGTGCCTGCCATCGGCAGCAGAAAAGATTCAGCAACTTTTCTGCTAGAAAATTTTGCATGACAAAGCAGATATTTTTCAAGAAGTATAGACTAATTTTTGTCAGACACCACAGGGTAGTTATGAATTCCTTATAAATTTATGAGCTTATCTTTAGGTTTAACGAATACATTCAAAAAGAGTAAATCGATCGGCAGCGACATTGTTTTTACGGGCGTCTCATAGTAAGAAAAATATCCGCGAGACACATCAACCCGACTCAGATTGCTCGAGCACACGAATGCACAGAGCAAGAGTTTTTATAGATTTTTACAAATGAAACAGATCGTCTGACTATTCTAATTCTTTTATGTCACTGTTGAGATTATAATGTATCGAAATAAGACTTCTATAGTAAATATGATGGCGCTACACATCATTGCTTTAAATTTTCTTCAAGATGGCACTATTGTTTCAAAGTAAAGTAAAGAAGAAGGCCTCTTTTGGTGTGCACAGTTACCAGTTGAATAATGGCCATCATAGAAGCATCTGTAACTTTTTTTGCCATTTAAGCACACAAATCAAACATTTGCTTTTTCTTTATTTTTCTATTATTATTGCAAGCTATTTATTTTACAAATATAACAGAAATTTTCTGTTTTTCTTAGTTTTTTTGCTCTCTAGATTACTAGAATATTTTTGTATTATTCTATTCACTCCATTGTAAATCGTGGCATCAATTAAATTTAACATTTAAACGGCAAATTAAAAAATTGATGAATCTCATTACTTCATTAAACATGCAACAACAATTATTTATTATATTTTGAACAGTTCGATTCAATAAGAACAATAAAACAAGTATGTCATAAATGTATTGTCTCAATGATTATTAATCTAATAAGAATTTAAAAGATAATTATCATATGCAAATAAAAGCGAATATATTGATGAATGTTTCAAAAGCAAAATAAACATATTAATCTGATAAGAAAAAGCTCAGTAGTAATAAGATATCGTTGATAAGCTCAAAAATTAATGTGTTCATTGATTATTTGAAAGAGACTTAAGAGAGAAAAATCATTATCGTTCGGTTTTTTTTCTTCTTCTTCTTCTTCTTCTTCTCATTTGTGTATTATTGATTCAATGCGATGACGAGTTTGAGATGTTGATATTCTAATCTTACTTTCTTGTTTGTTTCTCTCTATCGTTCGTTGTCGTAAGAGAGCCGAGTACATGCGTTTATTGAATTGGCACGTTGAAATAGTTGAGCAAGCGATGAGCGATGATGATGATGATGTACCAACAACCGTTACTACTCCTACTGTTGTGTTGCGTCAGCGCATTTACTGATAGTGATGACGTTCTTTCTTTCTTTCTTTTTATTTTATTTTATTTCGTCATTGAAGGATAATCAAGATCAGCGATTAGGAGGATATAATCTTTGATTACGTCCATTTACATTCATCCTCGACTTCGAGGAAAAGAAAGCGGGTAGGTCATCATCACGTTTCTTTTTTTGGATGTTGTTTTTTCAAAAAATCAATATTATTTATAAGTTTCGAAATATTTTTGTTTCTGATTCATTTTAATCGCTAACATTTATGTATTGGTACATTCATAATTTTAATTCTTTTTATAATAATAATAATAATAATAATAATAATAATAATAATAATAATAATAATAACAACCAAAACAATCAATTTCTTAAAATTAGGACAAAACTAAAACCGATGACAAAAAGAAAAATCTTTTCTTCTTAATTTTATATTTTGTTTCTTTTTGTTGCTATACTTGAAAATAACCTTGCTTTTATTATGTACTTCACTTCTCGGAAGAATTTTTTGAAGGCTATTGTCGACGAAAAATAGCAATCTAAGAGAATAACAGAAGAAAAATAAAGAATTTTAAGATAAGACGGCACATGAGAGGTAACGAAATTTTTATTGTCACCGAATGTTGACAAAAAAAACGCTCCGAATACTTTGGTCTTTTATTTAAAAAAGAAAGAAAGAAAAAGAAAAGAAGAACGTGCCACTATGTGCGTCACAAACAAATGAGAGAAACTGGACCGTGGAAGACCTTGATGAACATGCGTTGCCTCTTCATCTCTGCCATTATGTGGTTTCTATTCGTCGATCTCTTTTCTTTTTCTCTCTTTCCCTGCATTTCAACATACTCATCGTTTGCAAAAGTCTACTTTCAGTTGAGAAGACGAAAGAATGAATGAGTGTCCTGTTCTGTAATGCACCGTTGTTGACGCTGTTTTTAATCACATTTTACAAATGCAATTCTCACCTCTCCACCCTCCCCTCTCGTTCTCTCTTTTTTAGTTTTTAGCTGATGTGTATTTATTTCCAACACACATGCAAACAAAAAAAGAAAAAAAAACAACAGTAGACTATTAATCTTGTTTAAACACTGTCGCATCATTGTATTTTTCTAACAAAATTAAATACTATTGAACAGGTACGTTAAAAAACAACCGAACTGACGGGAAAATATTTGGCTCCTAATCAAGACGACAAAAGAAGAAGAAGAAGAAGAAACTCTTTAAGAATTATTTTTACGATATGTAAAAAATAAAGAAAA